TATTTTTCGATAAATAATATATAATTTAATAATTAATTAAAAACTTAATTTTTAATAATTATAATATAATTATTTTAAAATTATAATTTTTTTTTTAAAATTATTAATATTTAACGTTAATTTTAATAAAATATAATTTATAATTATAAATATCGTTTTTAATAATAATAAATTAAATAATATTTTTTTTATAATATAAAATCGTAATTTTATATAAATATTTATATTTAATTAATTTTTATTAATAATAATTGTTGTTATAACTTTTTTATTATTTTAATTAATTATATTTAAATTAATAATAATAAATAAAATTTTTATTATTAAATATATTATTTATAATTTTTATTTTTACGTTTTTTATAATATATACGTAAAATTTTTATTATTTAATAATATTTTAAAAAATATTATACGTTTTTTTAAATAAATTAAAAAATAATTATAAATTATATAAAAATAATAACACTTTTTTTTTTAAAACTTTTTTTAAAATTTTTTTTAACATTTATTTATAATTAAAAATTAAAGATTTAATTAAAAAATTTAAATAATTTAAAATTAAAAAAATTAAATCGGTAATGTTAATATAAAATTTTATAAAAGTTTTAATAAATAATATAATTATAATAAATTTTAAAAAAATTATCAATTTTAATTAAATAAATAATATCATTTTTATTATTTACGTATTATTATTTTAAAAATTTATAATAATTTTAAAATAAATATATATAATTTTTAATTAAATAAATAACTTTAAAATATAATAAGGTAAAACTATATATTTATTAAAAAACAATATTAATTTTAATATAAATTAAATAAGTAATAATATATTAACTTATCTTACGTAAAAGTAGATATGCTATATCCTTATTAAAATTTTACTGTATACTTAGTGTTACTGGATTTAATGTGCGTGTGGAGGATCATCAGTGCAACCCGTTACACTAAACAAACGAACAGACTGGTTCCTCGGTTGGTCACATCGTGGAAACACCCAAAAATTTCAATGCCTAGTATAAATAGATATTCAGCTGTCGTCACATTGTAACATCGTGGGTCTTATCCCAAATAGCACCCATAGGTAAGAAATGAAAATTAGCCCGTGCTTTCAGCGTGATAGACGACAAGTCTAGGTACCCCACGATCAATACCTATTACGTGTAGGTAAGGCTAGTTCGATTAGACTGGATCTGCGGTATAAGGCGGTATGCCTTACTAGCCCTAAAAACTGCAGCGTTCGGTCGATTGCATTATTATATGCGTAAGGTACGCTCCTTGCTTCCTCTGATTCTCAATATTGCTACGAACCGAGAAGATAAACACTGGGTTTAAAGATACATCTATGTTCTATACTACGAACAAACCAAGCAATATTATTGTCTTGATCCTAAGGACACTCATGTTTCTTACGAGTCTACTTCCCCAATACTAAGAACAGCAAGCCGTATGCAAATTGTAAAATGACGGACATCGGGGAAGATTCTCTTTTTGGTAGGTGAGCGAAAATTCATGCATAACGAAATCGTTAGTACCGACGTGACCGCGTCGATGAATGGTGAAAGACTCGGTGGCGTTTCTGCACCAACGGGTGGCTGGAAATGGTGGCGCTCGATTTTCTTCTTTCTAGTTTTACAAACGACTCTCCGCGCTCTGTTTCTACGAGGTCGGAATATTGCGCTCAAACTCTGGAAAGTGCATACTAGGATATGCGGGATGAATACCGGTGGCACCGAAAGCCCTACCCTAAAAGCATACCGAGACATTGTAGACAGCCTTGAGAAGTAGGGATACATTTGTATAGCTACCCGTGCTTTAGCTTGTGACTCTTCGTGTAACATGACTACCCTAATGCTAAGTTTACACGGCGGTGGCTTGAATATCCTATGCGATGAGCCTTGAGGCCAAAGTCTTAGGTAACATCATGATTGGTGGTAGAATAGTAGGTATAAAAGACGAAACTACGAGATAGAGAAAAGTATTCCTGGGCGAAGACGACATTGTGATGAATCCACAATTCGCTATAGTGAGGCATTGAATGGATTTTAAAAGAATTGTATGCGATATATTAGGTAGGCACGCAAGTAAGCAGCATTCAGAATAGCATAGGTAGTTAAGCCAATTTGTCTATATCGGGCTATTATCAACACTCCTTAATGTTTCCATTTCCATTGGCTCAAGACTTGACTTTGATGACAATATTCCTCGATCCTCCATGATTGTCATATTATTTCAGATGTCAGTATAGACATTACAATTACGATCAATGTGCCGGTAATACCTCACTACCAAGATATGCCCCATATAAGAAGTGGCTCGGTGAGAAACGTGACTCATATCCTACATGGAGGAACCTCGTTGATTTTCTTTTCCATCGTGACCTTTTCTGCCCTTTCGGCCTTTTCCGTAAGTCTTGCCCCGGGATTTTTGTACACCCGCCTCCGTCTTTACTCTGTCTGCCTTGCCTTGCTGGCTAGGCTGCTGGCTGGAACGCCGCTCTATAGACTGTATCTATAAATTTATTAACATAGGCCCGACTATCATCAGATTTTGGGAGTCCACTAACGTTTGGAGCAACGGATCCATTAGTACCTATGATTATTCCATTCGTGAGGCGGATAGGCATGGGGGAGAACCCACCCCATATTGCCGTACATAGCGTTAGGATTCTATCCAGCACCACCATGTCCGGGCCACTGGCCGTTTTGTTGATTGGGTTGTCCCTGCATTTGACTTTGCAAAGCAGCAAAGAACTCGGGGCTGTAGTACGCGCCAGGTTGTTGCCCGGTAAACTGTGGCGGTGGGGGTGGAACGAAGCCTTGTGGAACGTTCTGGGGCCAAGGGAATTGAAACTGCGTATTTGGCTGTTGATGATTGTTCGGTGTTCCGTAGAATGGCAGCGACTGCGGGGGATATGCTGGGTTAGTAACTGGAGGTGGTGCTGGAGAATAGTTGTATTGCTGAGTTTGTGGCTGATAGTCTTGTCCTCGTGGTGGTCTAGGTGGTAATGAATGTCCACCTCGTGAATCTCCGCGATTACCCCTCCCACCACGACCATGCCCATGTCCTCGTTGGCCTCTACCTCGACCACCCCGGAATGAGCCGTTATTGTTGGCGTGATGATTTGAATACCCAGATTCTGGAGCGGTGGATTGGCCCTGCGCGAAGCTCGCTGGCCTTGCAAGTTTTCGATAAGGCCCGTCCTCGTCGTCGTCGTCATACTGTAGGCCAGTCATCGGAGGGAGGGACGAGGCCTCAGTGTGACCTCCCCGCCCTCCTGCGCCGCCCTTGCCGCCGCGGCCTCCTTTCTTTTTAGCCTTCAATTGCCTCTTATGTTCGGCCTCCTTTTCGTCGTCTGAAAACTCGATTTCGTCATCTCCAGCCTCTTCATCATGCCAATTGCTTGCATCCGTGCCCTTTTGCTCCCGAAGCGGTTGAGTGAAGACGTATACCGCGTGCGAAGGTGGATAGAATATTTTGGCCCCTATCTCTAAGCCATAAGACTTGATTTCTTCTTCGTTCGTAAATCTTGCAGTATAACGTGGCTGCCTCACGTTGCCAATTAAATCGGCCACCGCCGCGATAACAGTGCGGTCTTCCGTGCAGAGAACTGAGCCGCTGTCGAGCACTTGGTACTCTCCTGTCGTGATTGCTTTGACTACAGCCGTATTCTCAACGATGTGCTCGATTACGCCAAGTTCGGTGATAGTCATATCCGGTGATATAACGACATCGGGCTTAGGAACTACTTCTTCAGGCAATTCGTTCTTCGTGCGGACTTGTGCACCCGAACCATTCCCTTTCGCCTTCCCCTCTCCTTCATCATCTGAGCCGCCTTCCATTTCCATAAGAATGCGGGCAGTCTCCTCGGGGCCTAGTAGCTCATAATTTTTCCCATCTTCAGACTCGTCATCCGAATCATCCGAACTGCTTGATTCAGACGAGGATTCGTAGGGGGAAGAATCTTCTTCCCACTCAGGATCACCTTGTTCCTCTTGTTCTTGGGGCTGTCCATTCTGCTCTGTGCCATCGGGTTGCGCAGATGACACATTCGGATCCTGTGGTGGGGCATCTAGACCGCCAAGTAGAGCCTCTAGTGCTGAGGTTAAGGAGGGAGGGCTAGGTGCTGCATCTTTGATAGCAACATCAGAACTCTCCGGCTTCTCCGGCTCTTCTGACTTCTCGATCTGTGCCTCACTAATCTGAGGCAATGGTTGACTCTCTGAAGGGGCAGGAGCATCGATATCCATCTCAGTAGCAGGTTGAGAAGTCACAGGTTGAGATTCATTAGGAGCGCTTGTTTGGACTTGAGAGTCATCTGGTACCCTGGAGATGGATAGGCCAGGAATTTCAAAACTCCCAGACATTTTTGTAGATGAACTATAATTCTGTTAGTTGCCATTGCGATAAAAAGTTTATGTTATGAAAGTCCAAGTTGAAGATAATGGTTACACTAGAAAATACCTAACTTACTAGGTTGAGACGGCGTAAATCGCCTTAAGACTGAAACTTGTTGTCACAAATCAGATAGTTATGAAGATTTCGATGAAAACTATCCGAAGAACCTAATTAAACAAAGTAGAAAGTTCGCGAGAAAAAAAAACTACGAACCGAGACGTGTTTTGATAAAGTTCCGGTAATGCAGTCAACCGTGTTTGATTCTGCATGCTTCTGCAAGCCCCGGTTCTAGAAAATTAAAGTGGGCCCGGAATATCTTAGGAGTGGTATATTCCATTGGCCAATCGGCTTACGAATAGAAACCCTTGCACAAGTACCTAGGTAATTATCCGAAAGCAGGGGTCGGGTCCACTCCATTTGTTCACTAGCTAGCACTAGTGCGGACGCAACGTCATCTTCAATTGGAGCTCAACTTTCAACATTTGGGACAGATTTTAAAGCCTTTGCTAGCTGATATTTACGACCGTAACTTCCCCAACATCAAATTCCTCCTCGGTCGCGGTCGTGTGAGCTGCATTGCATGAGCTGCACGGCGCAGACTTAGTAAATATGCCTCCTACAGGAGCTCAATTGCAGCAGCAACAGCAGCAGCGGCAGCAATTTGTTCATCCAGCCGCACAACATGCTAAAAAGAAGTATGTGAGCCGTTCCCAAAAGAGTGAATGGGACTAACGATGTAACATAGAGCAGCGTCCCCGTTCATGATTGAACCCATAAAGGCACTTTACGTCTTCCTAATTGTAAATCTCATATCTGCTTTATTTGCGCCTATTCAAGATTGCGATGAGACCTTCAACTATTGGGAACCGACCCATTACATCTCTCATGGCTACGGGTTACAGACCTGGGAGTATTCACCAGAATATGCCATCCGAAGTTGGTCTTATGTCGGCTTACATGCTATAATTGGAAATATTAGAAGATTATTACCTCAAAATACAAAGGTAAGTATCACTTTTTATACCCTCCCTTCCTCGACGATCTTGTTCTCATTCGTATAGCTCTCCGAGTTTTACTTCGTTCGATATGTCTTGGCATTTGTTTGCTCATTATGCCAAGTGCTCCTATACCGTGTCATCAGCTTCACCCTGAATCCTAGGATTGGCCTATTCTTTCTTATCGCGACGGTTGTATCCCCCGGAAACTTCCACGCCAGTACGGCCTACCTACCCTCTAGCTTCGCCATGTACACGTCCATGCTTGGGGCTGTCGCATTCATGAATTGGAGGGGAGGACTTAAGACGTCATGGGGCATATGGTGGTTTGCCGTTGGTGGCATCCTGGGATGGCCTTTCGCTTCAGCTCTGTGTGCCCCTTTCCTGATCGAGGAGGCTATCTTTGCGGTCCTAAACTATCCCCAGAGTTTTTACGATGCAGTCCTCCGTGTCGGCAGAGGTGTAGTTGCCGCCTTATTGCTCCTTGTAAGTGATTCCGCTTCAAGTTATACACACAATTCTCACCAGGAATAGGTCGGCGACACGGCTATCAATTCTTTCTTCTACAAGAAAATCGAGGTTGTCTCTTGGAACATCGTGAAATACAACATATTCTCTTCTACGGGAGGCCCGAACCTCTACGGAACAGAACCATGGACCTTCTATTTCAGAAACCTTACCATAAACTTCAATATTTGGTTCATTCTAGCCTTACTGTCTTTGCCTCTATTCCTCATCCAAAAGGTCGTCTCCTCAAAGCAGCATAGCTTTGGGACTGGGATGCGTACGGTCGTATTCCTCTCCCCCTTTTATATGTGGCTTGGTATCTTCTCTATGCAGCCACATAAAGAGGAGCGGTTTATGTATCCTATGTATCCATTCATCGCTTTGAATGCCGCCTTGGGGTTTCACATTATCTTGTCGGCCTTCGGCAATCCCGACCCTAAAACCCTCGTCGGAAAGATCCCAGCACGCTTGAAGCTTTTCACCGTTTTGGGCGTACTATTATTATCGCTGGGCCTAGGCCTTACTCGCATTATCGGCGTATATACCGCCTACTCCGCGCCTTTGAAGCTCTACGAACCGCTTGGAGCTGGGAAAATTGGTCAAGAAGGTCTAGGTGGACGCGGGGATTATGTGTGTTACGGTAAGGAATGGTACCGGTTCCCGAGTTCTTACTTTTTACCTCGGGATATGCATGCGAAATTTATTCGGTCAGAGTTCCGTGGGTTACTACCTGGAGAGTTCTCTGAAGCACGAACTGGATTTGGCTTCTGGAGCGGTACCTGGCTGCCTGTAAGCGGCATGAATGATCGCAACGAAGAGGATATGGGTAAGTACGTGGATATCAAAGCATGCAATTTCTTAGTCGACACGCAATATCCGGGGCATGATCAACCCCTACCGCCAAACGAGCCGAATTACATCGCAGACAAGGAGAACTGGGAAATTGTTAAATGCGAAGCGTTCCTAGATGCGGCAAATACGCATCTCCTTGCGAGAGTCTTATGGGTCCCGGACTTGAGTTTCATTCCGGAGAAATATAGAAGAAAATGGGGACAGCACTGTCTGTTGCAGAAGAGAAAGCAATCAGGAGACTCTACTCCCAAGTCCGAGTCTTGAGCGGATAGCGAAACATAGAAGACCACCGTTAAATTGAATGAGTTGAATAGTGTCCCATGTAGCTAGACATCTTGGCGTGATGCTTTTTAGACCAGTTGGATAGTCTATTTCAAGCTATAGATCACGGCAAGGGGTAACCATTTCTGGCACTTCTAATTCGCATGCAACTCAGGTGGACTCTATTGGCAACGTAATGGCCGTACTAGTCTGCTGAGATGGCCGAATTTCCAACCATTAAAATTGGATATTGATCATGGATCGTCGGTATATCCACGGTGACATATACGGCCTGGACTCCGGTCCGCTCGGGTCGAATTGCGTGTGGGCTCGTTAAGCTGCAAGGCGTGGCGTGGCGTGGCAGGCAGCAGTCTAGTGTCAATTAATTACTCGTTAAATATAATATAATACCGGACCTGCTTACGATGTAACCCGTCCATAGTGAAGAATCTCGAAGAGGTTTTGGGTTGAAGTTGTTAAAAACTGGCATTCCAATTTGTTAATATATAGAGGTAATTATAATAGTAATTCAATCACATTGCCAACGTTGTCAATTTAAGCTCAAAAAACCCTTATCCAGATATTCAGGGTAAAGTGATGATCAGTGATGATCGGTGTTGATCATTAACAACCTTAGTGTCGCGACCCATGTCAGCCACGCTTGAATCCTGGGTTCTTGGCTCTTGCACCGACGATCAGCTGCCCTACGAGCTGCCCTACGCACGCATGGCCATATCAGGATTGTTACCAGAAATACCAAATGCTAAATCGCAGCAGGATTGTCTAGACAAATGATCCCGAAAATGTTGAATTAGGCAGGTGAACCTTTTTTGATAAGAATAATCTGATCTTATGAGACGAATTAGGCTCATGTAACGTTGTTCCTTACGGCTAAGACTTGGCACTTGACATATAGTGTAAGTGTGAAGGGGGATCCGTCTGGGGTTGATAGGAATGGCTTAGCGAGATCTATAATACAATGGTGCTAACAGGGCTTCAGGCACCGGTGCATCAAGATCTTGTTTATAGCTCCCCCTTAGAAAACACACCATTGCCACCCAAGCAATACAAAAGATCCCGGCTTATGCAGGACTTTCCACGTTCTCATTGGACGAACGCTCCAGGTGGCTTCGTCGACGCATTCTATTCTCATATCCTTCCCGTTGCGGCATCGCCCGACTCTGCACCCCGTGATGGGACTTGCTCAACTATGTTCCTCTAAATGCTTAAGGTTTAAGGCGTGTTTCTCGTTTATTGGCGTAGACGGTCCCCTTGCGGTGTTTCAACTCTCCTAGAAAGCTACCCTCGCTGGAAATTGTTCCCATTGTTCCATCAGGATGTTAGGAGAGCTACCCCCGGAACTACCGAGACAGCTAAACAAAGGAGCTGGCTCTATTACGGGCTCCGTCCTAGTTTAGCTACATTGTTCTTTGCGCAACAACGTATTCGGTTTTCCACAGTTCCATCGCTTCGTGACGAATGCTAAGAAGGACCGAAGGACCGAATAATACCGAAAGTGTTCATCTTCTTGGATTCTATAAATACTAGCCATCATGGCCGCTGAAAAAGTGAGGATAAACTCGTCCATCAGATACGTAGCCTCATTCCGCCCAGTTAGCTTCGACCAGCAATAGCCATGAAGAGCTTCCTCCTCCTATTCGGCGCCGGCCTAGTTGCCGGCCTCCCGTCCAAAAATGCTGCCCGAGCTGCAGCTGAACTACCAACCCTTGGTCTGACCAACTTGACCAAGATCGATATGGCCAACGGCGGCGGCTTACAAGGTCGCCGTCTAGCCGGTCCGTTCATGGGGGTCGATTTTCCTGACCCGAGTCTCATCTGGGGTGACGGCTCGTGGAAAGCTTACGGGACTTCATCGAACGGCAAGAAGATTCCTGTCGCCACATCGTCTGATACTTGGTCCTGGACGCTTACCGGCAATGACGCTTTGCCGAACCCTGGGTCCTGGGTCGACCCTAACGACCAGGGAATTTGGGCTCCCGATGTAAACAAGAACGTAAGTCTTCCTAGCAGACGGAGTAGCATATAGAGATACCCGGGGGCTTGAACTAATAACTATTCTAGGACGCCGGTGTGTATGTGATGTACTACACTGCCCGCCAGAATGGTGGTAACCATTGTATCGGTGCTGCAACGTCAAACTCAGCGTTAGGACCTTTCACACCGCAAAGCCAGCCGCTGATCTGTGACGGCGCCAATGGAGGTGTAATTGATGCGTCGGGTTACGACGACGGTGTGAACCGATGGATCTTATGGAAGGTTGACGGAAACAGCCTCGGTGGCGCGACTACATGCCAAGGCGGAACGCCGTCGGGAGCTTACCGGTCAACACCGATTAAGATCCAGCGTGTGGCACGGGATGCTCTGACGCTGCTCGACAGCCCCAAGACAATCCTGGATAACGAGGGTGCCTCCAACAACGGCGTAGTCGAGGCCCCTTCCCTGTACAAGATTGCCGACGGCAACTACGTCTTGTTCTACAGCGCCCACTGCTACTCCAGCGACGACTACGACGTCGAATACGCCTTCTCCAGCACCATCGACGGCAGCTACACTAACCGCGGTATCCTCATCCGCACCGTTGATAACCGCGGTGTCTTTGGCCCCGGAGGTCTCGATATCGACCCCAACGGCAAGAGCGTCGTGTTTCACGGCCGCTTGAATGCGAACCAAGGGAACGCTGCGCGTGAGCTGTACAGCGCCGAGCTGACGATTAACGGACGATCGATCGGTCTGTAAAGAGTCTCGGCGCGTGCTGCCTGCGCCATCATATTTGCTTTTTTGTTAGCGAGGATGTGCTTATGACGATGTGACGACTACGTAAGTGGCGGGTTCGCTTATTGCCTGAGAAGTGAGCCGTCGTGTGAATATTGATCTCGGTATTTTTGTATATACCTACTCTTTCTACCTTGCATATATGTAGCGATTTTGGTTTATATCAGATTGGTAAATAGTAACATTTATTGTATATAGTATAGAAATTGAATGTCTGAAGTTTAACTGTTACATTACATATGCGTATATATCAGCCCTTATTATGATGTCCTTCAAAGCAGCCAATTAACTACCTACCTAAAGTAATACTGACGAACATGAATAAAGAAGATTTATAGCGAGACCGCACTGCGACCTAGGGTATACCTCCTTAGAAAATCACTACCACACCCCCCTTATCTCACTCATCTATAGGGAATGTAACTTGGAGTCCTTAGTCCAGCGGCGAAATTGCTTCCCCCAGGGGATGAAGACAACCAAGCCAAGGATCGAGAAGCCGCATGTAAGGGCCATTAGTAGCAGTACAGGAGGAATGAACCCGGACCGTGTTGCCCAATCATTGAAATAGAAAATCATACCGAACTACGAAATAGTTAGCATCGGACCGGGGTGGAGAGGGGGGAAGATCTAGATATGACGACTTACCCCGAAGGTATTCTTCACGATGGTGGCAGCGATCATAATCTCACCGGGAAGTGCTTTGTACTGTATGTGATGTGACACGTTAGCGATGATAGGTATCCTAGCTCAGCTTGCAAAAAGCAAGGGATATGCACTGCTTACCGAATCGACCGCATATGCGATCGAAATGGCCGGGATCCCCACGACCTGCAGCCCAACAAGCGAGTACCCAACCATAACGATAACCTCCCACGCCCAAGATCGCTGGTACCCCACAGCCGTAACCACCATGCCGACGAGATTGGCGCAGATATACGGCACCAGTGCCGGCAGCCTCATCTCCGCCTCCAACACACCCCCGTTGGCCCTTGCGCGCCTCAGCGCAATCCAATCAGACAACGGACCCGCCGTGACCAAGGCAATAACAGCACCCACCACAAACGCAAAGTTAACATAGCCGATCTGATCGGGCGTGAAGAAATACGGGGGTGCGCCGAACACCTGCGTCTGCGTCAGGTTTAGCGCCAATAGCGAGTTTGCCGCGAAGCTCATAGACAACGACGCCCAGAGCACGATCGGGTAGCAGAAGAGAATCTTGATAGGCGAGATGACGTCCCGTGCTAGAACGGCGCCGAGGCTCTGCCCGTGCTCTTTGTACCCGTGGCCGTAGCGGAGGCGCCTCCGGAGAGGTAGGAGGGAGAACTGCGCGCGTGACGGGCGGCCGGTGGCGCTGTGGTCGGCGGCTGTGAGGGCGAAGGGCTGCACCTGCGCTTCGGAGCTGGAACTGGAGACTATACCGTCGTTGGGCTTGCCTGCAGCAGCATTGGAGATCCCAACCTCCGCGGCAGTAATCGGCGCACGGGGTATAGGGCGGTCGTACTTGGTTTCCGGGTGGGCGAGCAGGAGGAAGATGAGACTTGCCTTATGCTTGTGTCAGATCAAAAACGAGTACCTTAGGTAGCTTTGGGCTCTTCTAAATAGTAAAGGTGAGAAGAGGAACTTACACCTTGTAAGATGGTACAGACCCAGAACTAGTCATATCAGGGGTCAGTCGAAGCTCGAAGTCGTTTTTATAGAAATAGGGGCTGTAGCACTTACAAACCACCTCCATGAGATCTGCGAAGCGATTGCCCCTGAAATAATAGGCCCGATGAAAAGGCCTAGGAAATATGCCCAACTAAATATAAATATAAATCGTAAGCATATTATCGTATACTCATCATCATCATACAAGCATCAAATTTCACTTACAAGTACAGCGCCATACTACTGCCCCTCTGATGCTGAAACAGCATATCCGCCACAACCATCGGCATAATACTCTCATTCGCCGCAGCACCCAATCCCGAAATCACACGTGCGCCCAGGAAACTAGAGTAGCTGGTAACGAGCCCTTGCCAGACGTTGGCAAGAATGCAGATAATGCCGCAAACCAAAACGACCGGACGTCGCCCAAAAACATTAGCGGCGGGCACAATAAGAAAGTTAGCATATCCAAGCGTGATGGCGGCCGCGCCGAACAACATGTTGACTTGGGGAAGAGTCTTATCGAACTCGGCCTCGAAGATGAGCGTCATAGGCGCGATAGCCATCGGCGTCATGATGCTCACGAAAACGAAGACGAACTGGTTGAAGATGATGATGGACTTCCACGTTGGGCTCCAGTTCTATATGTAAGACCGTGTTTGTTAGTAGGGGCTTTGCTTGCTTAAAGCTACGGCATGAATTTGAGGATCGGAAACCTACGAGGGGATCATCTGAGCTCGGCGTCGGCTGAGGAATAAGCACGACCTCGCTGGCACTTGCTTCACCGGCATCCTGGCCCGTAAAGACGACGTCGGTGCCGGGGATAATATCCGGTTTCTCGCTCTGGAGTACGGTTTCCATATTACCCTCGTGCTGATCGTAGCGCATACGAATACTAGACATGAAGACAAAAAGCGACTTTTCTTGAGAAACGTCAGACCGGTAGACGCCTTCACCTGAGAGCAATACGGATGGGACAAGCTATATCTTATCCATTTCCGTCGTCCTCGTTATATCTGCCCTCTCTTACTACTAAAGGATCAGCTCCCACCCATATCTTAAAGTTACGTTCTTAGATATCCACCAAGATCCACGACAAGTCTACTTCATACGGCTGAATCTACCCAAAGGCTGTCCTTCTGGACCCCAACGACATGGGTTAGATCCCAAATTTTGGTTCCCACCGGACATTCCTATACCGGAGAGAAGTGTCTCGATGGCTATAGAAGTTTGTATGTGCCATATGACTCAACGGCAAGCCCATCCATCTAGCACGATCTGGAATTTACTAACGTGAGGATTTCGGTTGGGTGTAGTAATTATTTTGTGTCGAGTAGGAACGGCGGTATAGTGGTGTTGGCGTTGAGGCTCCCGCGCCGGACGTCCGGAATGTGGATTGCTTACGGGGGCGTCGAGCCAATAACCAACCCCGTGTCCCGACGCGGTGGTGAATGGGTGGCTCCAGGCCTATCAAAGTTCCCTCCAACTATAATTTGCATCCTTATAACCTCTTCTGGCCCGTGTCGCGACATGATACCTCGGGTCGATAGGTGTTCAACATTTTGGACATTTCTCATAATACATCTTATTATAAATGGTATTGTGGCGTGAAGATAGCGCCACTCAGCTCAACGCCCAGCATTCTACGGAGGCCAAGGCTTGGCCATGTCTATTATCATATCTCAGGCCAGCTCCAAAGTTTTAGATGCACATTTGACACACACCTGGCGCTAACTACAGCTGGCTTGAGGTTATATCAAAAGGTCCCTACATACTCGTAGGACCATAACCGGGATCTATTCACATCTAGGTATACTCTATTCGTCTCCTTACTGCTGTTTCTAGCCGAAAGCTTCAATTACTTATGCTTATCATCCTTCTATGCTCTCCCCTACCTTCTATTAGTAGTGAAGCTTGCGATTCACTACGTTGATAAGCGGCTTCCCAGTAGCTAGCTTTTCAAGGTTAAGTTCTAGGATGTCCAGCAATCTATCCCAGAGGTGTTCGGTCTTCCAGCTTACGTGCGGAGTGATGAGGATATTAGGGGCCCGCCACAGTGGATGCTCACTGGGTAGGGGCTCTGGATCTGTCACATCTAGCGCAGCCCCCCGAATCTGACCTGTCTCTAGCGCCTTAATGAGCGCATCTTGGTTGATGTGGCCGCCCCTCGCGATATTTGCCACGAAGGTCTTGCTCTTACTAAGGATCTCGAACTGCTCGTCAGATATAATATGTCGCGTCTCTGGTGTTAGCGGTAAGCTAATAACTAGTAGGTCGAGGCCTTGGGCAAGGAATTCGTTGACGTCTTCCTTCCTCGTGCCGTGGAACCACTTGGCTGGTAAAATCCCATCAGGGTCGCCGGTACCCGGCACGCAGTAGCTGTCATCTTTGCGCGACTCGGGGGTAGACCGTTCACTGCGCGTATAAGCATAGACCTCCATGCCCAAGACAGTAGCTAAGCGTGCACATTGCCTGCCGATTGCGCCATATCCTAAGATACCCCTTACAAAGGTTAGTGTTATTATTTGGCATTAGCAGTGTTAACCCAATGAACTCACATTCGCTGTCCAGTTGAATCCTGAATACGGGATGCAAAGGGTGATTCCCAGTTTCCCGCCTTCATGTTCGAAGCGTAGTGTAGGAAGTTATGTTGATGCGAAAGCCAGGCGCCAATGACCCATTCCGCGATCTGCGGCCTTTGCGATGCGTCAGCTCATAGTCAGCTCATAGTTGCTACTATATAACTAGAAGAGCCGACCTACGCGTGAATACCGTTCGAGGTAGAGAACTTGACTTTCTCGTCCTGATATGTAGGATGGCTCGGCCACCTATCCACACCGGCCGAGGTAACCTGGACGAAGCGGACGTTTGGTATCAGCTCGGCCGGAGGCGGCCTAAACGTGGAGAGTATAGTTACGCCGTCCCACAGCTCCGCGGCGATATCTGTAGCTTCTACGACGGAATGGTCGGGGTTTATCGCATTGGCCCACCGCACTTGAAGGCCTTTGAAGCGACTGGTAATGTGTTCTATCCATTCCTTTCTCTCTGCAAAAGGGAAGAAGACCAAAAGGACGTCGTTGCTTAGGGCCCCATCGCCTACGCCCGCTTCTTCGACCGTAGACATAGCTGCTGATATCGCAAGGTCCGAACTTTTCGAAGCTAGGATATGATGACTTTTCAACTTGGAAGTGAGGTGGTCTATTGCTTAATTGATCATAATTTTAATCGTACTTAAGGTATAATGATTAGGGTAAGTAATAAGCTTATACTCAATTCAAATAGTTTAACCCTTTTTTATTAGGTGACAACCGAACGTCTATCGTGACAAAGATAATTCGGATGATGTAGAGTTTGTAAGAGTCTTAGAATTGATGGTGACTTTGGGTTTCAAAGTTTATTGTTCAATTAGATCCATTAACAATGTAACCGAGGGGAGTCTTCGCCAACTATTTAGGCAATCTCGAACGTCTCGCAGCATGTGCCTGCCTTTAAAGACGTTGTTTGCGTTATACCTACCGTAAGATACAAAGTTAACTTGCCCCACTAGTAGCAAACGAAGCAGATAAACTAGAGCGTCATTGCTGATTAGCATTGCGCAATTTCGGTAAGCCCGGTAAGTGCGATCCAACATAGGAAGTTTAACTTATAGGTGAACCGCGACCTTACTAAAAAGTCTTAGGACGTAAATGGAACTGATATAGGCGAGTTTCCAGGATTTAACATTGTTAATTACTTATCATAAAGATGAAATAGTTTCAATATGCTAAATGTTGTACATGGGAGCATAAAATTCATTAAGTTACCTGACCCAATCCGCCTGGCCGATATAAGTAACGCCGATGCTTGTTGATACAGTTCAAATCCAGATATGGAATACATCTACTCTCCTCTCATTTGAGTAATACCATCCGCGGCAGTTTCGACGACTTGGAAACCGGCGGCATTACCAGCGCCTCTAGCGGCGCGGTCAAAGGCCTCATCACTTCTAAAGAAGGGGTCAGCAAGAATGTAATTTTAACCTCATATACGAGGCGCCAAGGGTGGGTAGACATACCTATCACAGAGGGTGTCGATATCCTCGTCACTTAAAATCCTGTCACCACCTGAATGCTGGTACACTTCACCATCCTTCAACAACAAGGCTAGAAGCGTCTCCTTATCCAGAGTCTCGGCATTATCAAGCTTTTGGCCCATTGTCTTAAATCCTCCCTTTTTGATTACGAGCTTCTCTAGCCTGCGCTTTGCGTCTGCGCTAAGGAGGAGCTCTTCCTCAACAGTTCCCTTTGTGGCAAGTCGGTAAACGACGACTGGGCGTGTTTGGCCAATTCGGTGGCAGCGATCCTGTGCCTGTAAATCTTGCTGCGGGTTCCAATCACTAATTTACGTTAACTGGCTGGCCCCTCGTATAGGCCAAAAAAAGGCGAGCTTACCTATCGAATAGTATCACGGTATCTGCGCTCGCAAGGTTGATACCCTGACCACCCGCTCTGGTCGACAATAAGAATATCCTAAAGTCGGGGTTCTCGTTGAACTCTTTAATCTGCTGTCTTCTATCTTCTTGGGAGACACCTCCATCGATGCGACAGACATTCCACCCACGCAATTCAGCGCAATAATCATGAAGTATGTCCAACTGCGTCTTGAACTGCGAAAAGATGAGGACCTTGTGTCCACGTTTAAACAATTCTGGAAGTAATCTATCCAGGAGAAGCATCTTTCCAGAAGCTGTCACGATGCTCTCGTCGACTGGGATATTATCGCCATATGTCCATGGGCTGTAGAAGTTGTGAGGGCTATTGCACACAAGTCTTAGCTGCATCAAGGGATTGCCAAGTTTTTTATCGGCGATTTGAAGCTCTATGGTATGTTAGACTAGTCGTATAGCCTGGGATTCTAAACTTACTAGCAAGGTCGAGCGTGGCTGCACGCTCAATTTCTTCTTCATCCCGCATGTCTTCATCAGACTCATCATCTTTGGCGGCAAGTTCAGCTGCCAGTTTTGCTTCGAATGCATCATCATCCAATTTGTCCTCATCAGAGTCATCTGCTGTCTTATACGAAGGACGACCTCTGCGTGGTCGTCCTCGAACGCTGCTAGCTGGAGTGGATTGTCGGCTCGATTTACTGCTCTTTGGGGATGAGGCTTCGCTAGTAGGCGCGACTTTCCGCTTGCTGGTCCCTTCAGCTTGAGGAGCAGGTGAGCTATTCTTGGACATTGCCTTCAATGTCGCCCCTCCTTTCTTACCCATCATCATGGCAAACGCATTGCTTGCGGATGGAGATGGCGCCTGACTTACTCGGGCACTGCTCGTACGGGACGATTGACGACTCGACCTTCCAGTACTGGCCGATGTGTTACGGGTCTCCGTCAACTGTTCGACCACTTTATTCTCCAAATAAGCTCTTGTGTCGGTCTTCCTATCGCCGATCACATTATATAGATCCGTCTGCTCTTTGGTCATTGGTGCAAACAGTACGTATTCTCGCTTCTTTGGTAAGTAGTTGGCTACATCTGCCTTAATTCGGCGAAGGAGTAGAGGCTGTAGAACTTTGTGTATTTTGGAAACGAGGTCTTGGTTTTTCTTATCTTCAATGAACTGCGTAGTACCCTCTTCGTCTTGCAGATCACTAAAATCAAACCATACTTCGAATGCTTCCCAATCGAGGAACGTTTCTGGCATCAAGAAGTGAAGGAGTGACCACAATTCTTTGAGATTATTCTGCAAAGGTGTACCAGTGATGAGAAGCCGAGTAGCTGACTTGAACTGCTGTAGCTCTCTAAAAAGCTTAGCGTCGGAATTTTTCATGCGATGTCCTTCATCCTACAATATGTCAATGACCAGAAACTTAATCAAAAACAGATATACTCACAACGACGATGAAGGCCCAGTCAATCTTGGAGAGGCTTGCGCGGTCTCTAAGGACCATTTCGTAACTGGTACAAACCACAGGGAATCGCTGGGTTGGACGACCCTTCTGATAATTTTTCATAATCTTATCACGAAAGATCTGCTGCCGTTCTTGGGGAGTACCATGATATAATACGAACGGTATCGTAGGAGTCCACTTGCGAAACTCGTCCTGCCAGTTTGATAATGTACTCAATGGAGCGATGATCAGATGTGGTCCGAAATAGTTCTCCTGTTCTCTGAGTAAGGCAACAAGAGAAATGACTTGGATCGTTTTTCCTAAACCCATCTCATCTGCCAATATGCCACTGAGGCCTTGTAAACATATCTCGTACATCCACGTGAGACCTTCAAGCTGGTAATCGCGCATAGTTCCACCACTCATGATTTTCGGTTGCTGTTTTAACTGTAAGCCAGCATCGGCCAATGCCTGGTTGTCGAAGTCGCGGCCGACACGACCGAGAGCTTTCGTCTTCTGCGTTAAAATGTCGCTAAAAACTTTACTTTTGCGGAGGAGTTCGTCGAGTTCCTTAGCCTTGCGAGCCCTCTCCTGGGGAGATAGCTGAACTTTGCGCTTCCTCCGAGCAGCGAGTCGCTTTGCCTCTGCTCTAGTATTCTCGGCTCTGGCCTTCTTCTCCTCGGTGAGCATTTGCTGCTCAGTGAAAGTTGAAGTGAGGCCCATTTTAAGACTGTCTAGGTCATCGGCCAGGGGTGGCGACGAAGGAACACTAGTGGGTAGGCGAGAGGAAGAGCGGATAGAATCGACGTCTGAAGACGAAGTAGACGCCATTCCAAAGGAAATAATAAGGGAGGAAATAAGAAGATTCTAGGTAGGTAATTAGGTACCGTAGGTAGAGGATTATAAGTGACGATTACAAGCTAATAGATTAATTACGAAGGAGTGAATTGGAGTAGGTAGATCGGAGACTAAAGCATCACAAAAAAGCAAAACTAAACAGGTACCAGAGGAGGAATGATGATTTCACAAAATTACAATTACCAATTTACTTTTAACCCCGGTGTTAGTAGATCACTAGGTTAGCGCGTCGAAGAGCGCTGAGAGACGACGCGAGCGGGTTGCGCTATCACGCGTTAAGTGGTTGTGTGGACCTGCCCGGAAACGTCCCTGCAAGATGTACGTAACAGACAGGGATATGAATCTGCGACTGCTGTTAGGGCGTGTGAGCCTTTTGGCTACTGTGAGGGAATCTCTAGCAGGTGTCATGCACCGCCACGAAGTCAATTGCGATCCGTTACATAGGTACATAGAGGTACCTACCTAAACCTCTAGTGCACAGCCATAATCGGTACCCCGGCCAATCTATCCCCGCTAATGCTAGGTACGACATCCTTGACTAATCTCAATTGCCATTCCATTTGTCGCAATCCTACCGCTTTCAACAACAACCGCCATCCACGATCATCTCCCGATTTGATCCCTCACGCAGTCGCGCCGGCCTACCGTCCCGATAATTACAATATCATACTATATACGTTCCATCTACCGGTAATAACTATCAAGATGGCTACTACCGGCCAGAACTTCTATGAATTATACCGGCGGAGCAGGTATAGCGTCATCTTCAACCCACACCGTTTAGGTCTCCGTTGACAATCTGTATTGCAGCGTCGGGACCGCGTTAACGGATACCCTCGATGATCTCATCACGGAGCACCGAATAGATCCTCAACTTGCCATGAAGATTCTCGCCAACTTCGACCGCGCTATTACCGAGGTCCTACAGGACAAGGTCAAGGCTCGCTTGAGCTTCAAGGTAAATACTGATATTCCGGTGCTATCGCACATGATGGAGCTGGGCGTTAATCATCCGGCTTTGCGCGGCCGTATAGGGGAGTTTGGATACCTACCGATTTTGCGACGAAGTCTGGACTTTCCAGCTCAAGAATGTCACATTCAAGATGGAGAATGGTGGACAAGTGGTCTCAGCGGACAAAGTCAAAATAGTATCCTGCACCGCGAAGCCTACTGGTAGCAATAACGCGTAGACGGCAACCCACGTGTCTCTGAATAGTTCTTGGTTTCGGCGACGGAAGGTGGTCCAAGATGGTACCCGAAGCATCCCTCTATGCACTGTTTTGGAGCTCGCGATCTCTTTTTCGTGCGTCACGGTAGAACGAGCCAAGGATTGCCGCCGTTTCCCGCCCTCTGCGATAAAAGCCGAAGCTAGCAATCTTCGAACGAATATTCATTGACGGTTAGTCTCGAAAAAATGATAAGTTTAGTAGGGGACTATAATGCGGCAGTAGGGCGTGGAGTTTTTGTAGAATTATGCCTTTTTAAGACGGCCACGGGTTTATTAGCATATGACGGCGTAACGCGTATACGGCGGGTTTCACGGCGTTTTATGGGAAAAGGCATACTAAATTGTGCAACTTGCATTACAATTCGGACTAGGTATTAGCATGCGTTTAATAGAGAATATTAAGCCCATCTACTAAACTTGCCTTAATATCTGTTGTTGGTTAACTAGGAGGTAGTTAGTGGTTTTGGGTAAACTAAGGTTATAACCTTGATAGTATCGTAGCATAGTTATAACTCTTGTCCAAGCGTCTTAAGCCATATTTCCCAAGAGATACCTATCCAATCCTTGCCATACAAATGAAATTTCATATATCTGCCGTAGTGTTTTATGTCAAACTGCCAACAAGGAATTAAAGGCTTTAAGGTGGACTTCAAATCTATTTCTATCCATTTATCTGGACATATATTCGATATATATAGGTGGTAGTCATAGGCATCAGTCTTCTCCGAGCTCGTTAAAGAGCAAATGTATACCTACCTACTCTCTATATCTCCCGATAAATCTGTCGCTTATCCTAAGCGTACGCCGATTCAATTTAAATCTCCCAAGAGGGCAACGTCCTCATCCTCATCGTCCTTCTCTACAGGTAGGATGCCCTCGACCTGCGGGGCTACGCCGGTCCCGCGGCCCAACTCGGCTGCCGATTCGGCGTCGTGATCGTCGTTAATGTTTTCTTCATCATGATATCCACCCTCATCTAAGGTAGCTGCCGTCTCGCTGCCTTCTTCCTGCTTGCCTCTACCGATGATGACGTTCCCGGCGACAAGTAATGCGGCGCCGGCCCACCAGAGTGGTGGCAACGACTCGGAGAAGATAACTAGCCCGAGCAAAGCCGTGATGACGAAGTTGGCAGACGTGTTCATGATGGAAACTTGTGTTGTTGAGTTTCCTTTTGCGAGGGCTTGTGTGAAAAGGGTCCACATCTAGGAGTTTTATGTTAGATAGGTAGTTATAATGACTTCTAATACGGGTTAATTAGTGAGATGTGAACTCAACATACCACTCCATTGAAGGCTAAATTAAGACCGAAGAAACTCTGTAGAAAGATGGTGTTAGCAACCAGTATACTTATCTCGAGTATAAGTCAAAAGAGACTTACAGCTCGCACAATAACCTCGACAACTCGTTCCAGGTCTGTCAACCCAAAGAGTCCCGAGATTCCCCGGGCTATATGAGTAGAAAGTTCATTTGTAGTCCTATTCGTCAAGTGATCTTACATTAGCATCAAGCTGAACTTGGTTTCATAATATGTTGCTTATTTTTATTTTTTTATTTTTCAAGAGATTGGATTTTAAAATTTCATAAACCGAAAGGTCGCCTTTTCAGAAAGACGACTAAGTTGGGATGAAAGAGATATGAAAGAGAATAGTTAAAGAATATAAGATAAACTCACAATTTGGCAAAAACACCGTTAAAAGCAGCGCAAGCACCACTAGCAACAGCAAATACAATCCACCGATTCCTAACCGTCCAGGAAGCCATAGCGGCAGAATCTCCGGCAGCGTAGCCGTCGTCGTCGTCGTCGTCTTCCGAAGATGCCGGACCGTCGCCGCTACGGGGTATATTTGTCCGTCTCTTCTCGGCAGCAGCAGCTACGGCAGATTTCCTCGCTCGGACGGAGGCGGAAGTAATTGAGGAGGAAGAATTAGTAGTCGCAGTCGCGGTCGCGGTCGCGGTCGCAGTCGCAGACTGGGGTTTCCCGGGTCGGGGCATTGTGGATAGCCTAAGGTTACTAAGAAGTCCGGATACGTCGGTACGGGGCTGCGAATGAGGTGTGTTACGTAGCCAGTTACAAAGATAGCAACGCAGGAATAAGTGCGCCTGACTGACTACTGGGACCAATGGAATGGCAGAATGGCACACGGGTTTTGGTGCTGTGCCGAGAATGTCTCAACATCCAATTCAGGTATTTCTTATCACCGAATTATATTCCGGACGCGTGGCTTTTTTAAGGCTTGGTTGTTTGACTTGAAATAATAGGTAGTTACGTCAACACTATTCGAGAAGACAAGTCGTATCGTGGGTCCTTTTAAAACAGGTCGGTAAGCTACGTGCATATGCGGATATCCATCTCGGATTCGTGCATTTCAAGTTCGGCATTTAATCGCGTTCCTGCAGCGGAAAACAATAATTAGCCCCGCTATTCGTTCCCAGCTAATTAATATCCATTATTCCGTACATATGTAGAACTTGCCTCGTTGCAGATCACGGGATTTCGTATATACTAAATCTATATATTCTCTGAGCATTTTCACAAGTATAGAATATCAATTTGGTAAACAGGCAATTAGTTCGTGTATATTTCGAGTTATCAAATCTATCTATTTTCTAATTCAACCCCGTCATCAACACCTACATCCTCATCGCCGTCCATGATCTGCCCGCCTGCTCTCTCGTTCGCCGCGCTCCCGAGCCGTATACGGCCACCGGTTGCGCTCGCGACTTTTACCGAGACCCATCCGCCAACTCTATTCATAACACCCCAGAGCTTCTCGTAGACCTCCAAGATTTCATGATCGTCACGGGGGTTCTCGGCTGCCTCCGCCTTGAACTGATATCTCAAGCAGTCCTTTGCCGTGACCAGACCTGACAGGCGCCCGTGGTGCTCTATTAAGATCACGCGCGGTCCAATCTTGCGGAATAGTTCCATCACTGTCTCTAGCGGTAGCCGTGGGTGCACCGTAACTGGCGTCGCATCTACGTACCGACTGAAGTCGAGAGATGCCGATGACGCACTATAATCCGTGCCGCTGATGGTTACGGTGGGGGTGATTGGCGTTACCGTACTGATCGCTGGAGGCGAGAAGGTGCATTTAGCCTCGGGGCTGATCGGAATCGCTCGCTCGCGACGTATACGGTCAACCGCATAACGTAGCTCCGTACGACCAATATATCCGACAAGAATCTTCTTTGTCAGATCCTCAACGACAGGGAAACCTTGATACTTCGGTTGCTTTAGGACATCCTCAACAGCTTTTAGCGTCATTCCATGGACAGGTATGACTATCACATCGTTGGTCATCGCTGCTGATACTGGAACGCCAAAGTTGTGTTCTTCCTTGTTATCCAAAAATGGGAAGCCGCTAAACCAAATCATCCGGTCAGCAATCCCACCTTTGCCGAACAGGTCTGATACCATTTTCGTAACACCGACGACAATCATGGTAGGTAAGATATATGTCAAGGCTCCAGTGAGTTCGAACATAATAACCACAACCGACACGGTGATATGCATTATGCCACTGAGTGCAGCAGCAGCCCCGAGAAAAGCATAAGTCCCGGGAGTAATGCAAGGCTCGTCCGGCTGACAAGCAGCAAAAAAGGCGCTATCCGGATGAGCATCGTGGATAGCCTGCATAATAATCCCAACAGTCCGGCCGAAGGTTGCCCCTACCGCCATAGACGGCACAAATATACCGGCGGGTACTTTGCAACCGTACGAGATAATGATTAGGAATATTCGAACTGCTGTTGCAATGGCCAGTGATAAGATATTGGCCCATCGCTTATCATGCTCACAGAGTCCATGGTAGTCTTCGGTGCCTTCGCACTCCAGAAATAGAATTTCCATGCTCTCCGTCATATCAATTCGGAGAAACGCATTGGGATAGCATATGATAGCTGTTCCTGCAGCTAGCAGCGTAGCTTCAAGAATTGCCCACTTCGTAAGATACTTCTTTCGGAACGCTTGAGCACGTAAATTCCACTTAATCACGAACGCACCGTAGAGACCTCCAAATATTCCAATGAAGATGTAGGGTACCGTTTCGAAGAAGTGCCACGACCGGTCATATTTGACCTGGAACATGACGAGCTGGCCAGTCCTAAAGGGGTTCATCGCTGCTAAGACTGCTGTTGCGACGAGCGCACAGAAGTAGCTCCTCCACATAGTCTTAAGGGGGAAATAGTTGGACATTTCCTCTAAGGAGAATAAAACGCCACCGATAGGGCTGCCGAACGCGACTCCGACTCCTGCAGCTGCACAAGCACTAAGTATCTCCCGTGTCTTGGATGCGTTCCGCTTATACTTATCAAACATCCTCGAAATGACATTGCCCGTGCATACTGCATAGTGCACACTAGGACCTTCCTTACCGACCGAAAGGCCAGAAGAGATGGCCAAAGGTAGAGCGACAGATTTGATGACTAAAGTTCGGAGACCTAGGAATCCTTTCATAACAAACCCGGCAATGATGCACTTGATTTCGGAAATGCCCGACCCAGCAGCATAAGGTGCGAATGACTTGACAAGGGTAGCCGAGGTGAAGGCAAAGGCAGTCTAAAGAGTTTAGTTGTAAGGTTATGAAGCAGTTAAGAGGAATAGAACTTACTCCAAACGTAATATATATAAGATAATTGACAGGTTCGAATCCCGTCCAGCGATGCCAGTGATCACATCCGTTGTCCTCACCCCAGCAGCAGAAATTCTCGTTGAGATAGAAGGCCGTCGTGCAGTAACCTATTTTGATATCGGCCAGCCATTCGGTTATTATATTCAAAAGGGCGGCGTTGAGCCCAATAGCAGCACCTATTAGGGTCACGACGATCCAGCCCTGGGCAGCATCATAAGACTCCCATAATCTATACCTCCACGACACTCTGCCATTGCCGGGATTCTGTCTGCGGCGCGCTTTCCGGCGTAATCTTTCTTGGGCTGCATCCTGTACCCAGTCTATGTTTTTGTCTTAATATCTCCTCACTACGAAATTGGATCGGGTCTCGTTGGCGCGCATACCTATGGTAGTAAAGTCCTAGGCATTACATTAGCGAAAGGGGCGCAACTAGCATCGCAGGACGGCGCCGGAGAGCGCACCTCATATCTCTTGATCTCCGCTATTTCTTCGTCGATCTGATGCTCCACTGGCGCATTGCTTCCCAGCCCCTCTCCTTGCTCGACAGTCGATACGGCGAAGGATAACCTGGAACTAACAGACGGTCGGCGGGATAGCTGGGAGCGCGATGCGGAGAAAGAGGTGGTACGGGAAGACATGAAGGGCCGCGACCATTCTCAACTATTCATTTGCGGGGTTACTGGTTACTATATACTAGCAGACTAGATAATTCGATTGCGACATGCGCAGTTTAGATAGGTAAGTATAGGTAAAGATTGGATTACCTATGCGGCCAAGGCTGAATGCTGATCTTGAGTTGGAATATGTACAAGTAATGGTTGTACAAGTAATGGTTAGAGCTGATTGCTCATACGTAATTGGCCTGAGGCTATGTTAGGTACCTAATATTGGAAGCAAGGGTCCTGTGTTTTAGTGGTTATTCAAGCTTTCCCAGCCTTGGCTATGGGGGCTATGGGGGTACCAAGTGTCCTACCATGTGTAACCTGCACGGTATGAGGTGCCCCATTCACATGTCATGTAAGAGAAACAGCCACTGAAGTTAGTACATTCTTGTCCTTGTCATAGGTACTTTCTGCACAGTATCAATACAGTTTTTTCAAGTTTAATGGAATCGCGTCTCCGCAGCCTTTCACGCGTTTACGTACATGCAACGAAATGCAACAAAATGCTTCGGAATACAAGCATTTTAATCGTATCTTATATAAAGAAGCTCGGAAAGCTACAACGATTATTAAATATCGGTCGATAGGAATAATTACTATTTGAACATCTTCCAACTGGAGGTAAGTTCAGCTTCCATAAGACGGGACTCGAAATATAAAATCGCAGTATTCCTTTATTACATCCCCAATCTCCGTTACTAACATAACTCATAGTTCCTACGTCTCCAAACACCCTTTAGGAGCTCGGCCTATTCGTATTTCTACCATCCAAGAGGAATCGTGTCGCAATGCCTTATAACACAACGGCAATTCCGCCTCGCAAGGAGGTTACAGGCCAAACTCAGCTGCCCTGTGAGCTCACCTTTTGCATTTTTTTATTCTTCATATACCTACCATATCCTTCCTAACCATTCAACGTTACAGTATCACGAGTGAAGAAGATCATAGCACAGGACCAGGACATTAACATATGTTCCAACAACGCCGCATTCGTCATCACCCTTGCAACCGTGAGCATAACCCCTTCATCTTTCTCAACCCAACCCCCTACTAAACCCCCACCCAGGAGATGTTCATCCAATACCTCGCCAACGAAAGCTACAACATGGCCAAAGTCGGCAAGCCCCGCCGCAACATCCAGTACAAGGATCTAGCCGCAGCAGTCTCGCACCGCGACAACCTCGAGTTCCTCGAGGACGTGATCCCCAAGACAGCCCCGTACAAGCAGATCAAAGCGCAAGCAGCCGCGACGCGCAACCAGCTCAGCAGCGGCACGCCCGGCATCGAACGGGCGGGCGATAAGCAGCGCGAGGCACCGGCGACGAATGGAGGGGGTTCGGCGAAGAAGCACAGACCTAGCACCAGTCGTTCGAGCTTAAATGGAGGCAGCTTCGTGGGCGCTAGTGGTGCTCGCATAATGAGCGATGACGACGGTGCGGAGATGGACCCGGCAGATCAATTGCATCATGAGATGCGACAGGCGAATCAGGAAGGGGATGAGGATGTCCATATGAGTGGATAGGGGCTATATCTCTAGTTTCGAGGTTGATGATGAGTTACTAAATATAAGTCTGGCGGAATGCTCTAATTCTACTTACGCAAGGCTGAATTTAGTTGTGGCAGGATAGAGCACATTGTGTGAATTATTCCCGGGTGGTTAGTTCGTGGCGTGTCAGTCACCATGAATCGATTTACTTGCTTGCGTCCGCTGGCGAAAGAATTGCATTATTGCCTATTCCATGGGTATACCCGACTTTTCATTTTGTGACCATGAACTATACGCCAAATTACCACCTCCTCGCTCTAATTTGCACCCTCAAATAAGGTAGGGAAGTATCTCACTCCTCCATCTCGTCGTTCAAATGCACACCAGCCGGAATCCTGCCCTCTCGCAGCATAGCCTCGAGCCTTGTAATCTCGTCCAGGCTCGTAGCTTTTTTGATCATGTCCTGCAGGCGCTGCTTCTCCTTCTCCGTAAGCTTGATGCGCGACATGCGCGTCGGTAAGGCCCCGGAGGGAGCACCGTTAGCAGAAAGCGCCGAGTCGAACGTCTTGGACTTGACGCCCATGATCTTGGAGGCCAAGTCAGTGGGCTCCTCCGCGGTGCCGAATAGGGTCGCGGCTTGTTTTCGCTCTGCGTCCTTCACCTTCTCGAAGTCGAGGAATCGGACCGTCGGGCAGCGCCATAGGACCCAGTAACGGTAGTGCTGTGGTTCGGCAGAGCATATTAGTCTATGCTTATGATCATTATTTACTTGGGTGTTATTCAGCCTACCTCCTTCTTCGTGACGGGGTTATCTCGTAGTACTAAGTGTGTCAACCTTGGGAAAGATCCAAGCGGGTCTAGGTCCGCCAGTTCGTTTAGGTTGTTTGACTCTAGTTGCAGGGTCGTGAGGTTCGGGATCGAGTTCACGAGGGTGGGTTGTATGGATGAGATGCGGTTTCGCTGTAGGAGAAGGGAACGTATGCGCGGAGATAGGGGGAAGTTCCCCAACACCTGGATATCATTGTCGACGAAATCTATGCAATCTTGCGGCTAAGTATCATGCACGCATTAGTAATTGTGTCTTTCAATAAGAGAAGAGTAAACAAAAGGACAGCTCGCTTACACCTGCAACGCCCAGATTCTCGATGGTGGGGATACGATGTCCTGTTCACAGCCGGCAAGGGCATCGCTATCAATTCTGCTCTTGTAGATCAAAAAGTGTAGTATCTGTTCTTTTCCGACGTACCTCGTAGCTCGAGCTCACGCTCTTTCAACGCGTTAAGCCAGGAGGGGGAGTTCTGAAGGAGCTCGACCGTGAGCCTCATGTTGGGCGAGGGTCTGCGAGAAGTTTACCGTTTCAATTTATACCTTAAATATGTTGCCTTCGTGATTTTGACTAGGAGTTAGTTCGGATGATAGGAATTGTCAGGCTCTCGTGTTTAGCTGAATTGTTGTCGCGTGCTTGTGGTGCTTCCAGCTGTCTAACATCGAACAAGACAAGGCTGAACAAATAAAAAATCGGAATGCCAATGGACGGAAGCTTAAACCAAGCTGCCAGCCCACCACACCAGCCTCAAATTATGGGGTGCGGGGTGGAATGTATAATACCCTAGGAGGTACGTACCTGTATGTACCTAGGTACCCTATCAAAACTGATGGCTGCACTTCGTCGACCAACCCAAAGATCGGACTCTTCTTCTTTATAGAAAACCTTAGCCTTTAGGTACCTCTTAACCAATATCTTTTTTTGCTATGATTATTCAAATGAATTCATCCCATTATTGGATCCCTAATTTCTCCATCTGCTCCCGTTCATATGTCCCATTTTGCTCAATTATCTTATCCCATACCGATGAATCAGATAATGTCAGAATTAATCCCACCGGTTCATTTTCCTGACTTTCTTTTTCCTCCTTCCTTGCCACATACTCGGTGTAGTGTACGGAAGTCGCCTTCAAAAGTTTTGTCCATAGGTCAGCCCTTGTCAGCTTAGCAAAGCTTGGCAACAACTGTCGGCCGCAATAATGAATGTATTCCTAAACATGCCATATTTTCATTTACTTATTATATTTTAGATAAAAGGGCTATTACAGCACAACCTATACCATATTAAAGAAAATTGTTCATTTTATATTATAATTAAGAATTTCAATTTTTCTGATTTATTTCATTGCGTAATCATTCATATAACAAGGGGTTAATTTTAATATACTTCGAAATTCTAAGCTGCCAGGTGGGTCGGACTGCCGGACAGCTGTACCAAAAGCTGACAGGCTCTTAGTATGGACATAACTTTTGAAGGCGACTTCCGTACGAATTTGGATTCACCATACTCATCTTCCCAAACACATTTTACCCCGTGTTCATCCCACACCTTCTGCCGCACTTCTTCAATACGTTTGTGAAACTGTATCGCGTTGCTGATGGGAACCTTACTGACTCCACTAGGATGACGAATATAAGATGTGCCGTTATCTATATACCAAGCCCACGATTCCTCAAAACTTCGCTTTAGTAAGACAGTGTAAAGCGATTCTGTCAGCTGGTCGTTAAGAAGCGTAAAGTGTGAAATTTGGGGACTTCCCGGTAGAATGCCCTCCGCATCGGTTCCATCATTGGTGTGTCGTATCGAAGTGTAGGTTTTTTTCGGCTTCTCTAGACGGCGTTGCCCGTAGTACCGCCAGGTCTTATCGGTGACTCTCCTTCCTGATATTTGGTTGGACTCATTCGAACCAATATTCGTCCCAATGCTATCATTAGATGGGTTTGATTCGTCCTTTACTTTGAGAAACTCGACGAACTTAGTATCATCCCCCAACAGTTCCTTTATGGCCTGGGTTGCTTCTCCGGGTAGTGTTGACTGTTTTCTGAGCATAACGACAACTCTATCCCTCTTCTCTTTATTTTCGCTTCCAAGTAGCGGTACTATGTCTTTTAGTATATCGTTGGGTATGTCTGAAATACCCTCCAAGACTTCCATCGCCGCCCGCCAATAGCTATCTTTGTCACCCAATTGTGCCACCAGAGCCCTCAGCACCTCATAGGAGAGGCTTGGTCGCTCTCGTAACGCTTTTACACAAACACTTCTCACTCCTAAGTCATGATCTTTAAGTCGGTCCACTATATATCTTACCACCTCATCGGACAGATATCCCTGGACTCCTAAAGTTTCTACTGCGAGTTCTCTGAGGGCTCTTTCTTTCCGGCCTAACCACTCGACCACAGATTTGACCGCATCGCTCGGCAAGCCAATGTGGAACTTTCGTATTATAGTACATACAATACGTTCCATAGACCCAGATAGGTCTGCCTCCAGTAAAGGAATTACCGCTGCAATAGTGCTATATGAAACATGTGATCGATATCTTACAAACATAAGAATCCGTTGTTGGTCATATTCGATTGAATGCTGTAGGGCAGTGACTAGTGCAGAGTCAGGAAAGTCGATATCTTTCACCAAGTTTGGAATTCTTGTGATATTTCGTTCGAGAAGTAGCCACCCTGACAATGTCATTTCCAGTTTTGCTCTGAATGGTGTCCTAGTTGATACTTCGCTTAAACAGTGCATTATCAATCTTTGGTGAGTAGGTCCTAGTAGGTCACCTGGTTCTTCCTCGACCGCCTGGAGAAATCGAACAGCTTCTTCGTCCTCTTCAGTATCAAGCAAACCGGCAACGAAACGCCACATGATGTCTAAATAGTCTGCGTATTTGTATCGTCGTATAAAATTAATAGGATCGATATCCTGATTAGTTGTAGCCTGTTGTTGGACTAAATGCTTTCGAGTTTTCCATTGACGAACAAAGTACCGAGCCGCAAAGTATTCTTGGTATGTTAGATGTATGAAGTGGTAATTTTGGTCTCTTGGATTTAATGAAGAGTCTGATGTCCGCAGAAAGGATAGGCGTCGTATAGTGTAGTTAAGAATGGTATTTTTCTTTGGTATCTCGTCTAGATATTTACTATCGAAGTCTATCTTATGGTCGAGCATCGCTTTGAATGCAAGCCCCTCGAGGAAGTGGATTTCATTATCAGCAAGTTTTTCAATATTTAACCGCGATTCATGCTGTATTTGATCCTCTGTTACTGAATTCCCTTCATGCGTTTTCCCTAATCTTGGGATGTCTTTTCTCCACAGTCCTAGTTCAATGTCTTGGTAGATAGCGGTCATAGTCTGCGGTGCGAGATTAAGAGAACCACGCCAGGTATAACAGAGTGCATCTAATTGAATTGGAATTCGAACAAGATCCTTAATAAGCCGATGCTTCTCAAGAAAAGACTCGACTACGAGGTTTTCTTGGTTTGTAGAATCTTTAAAGGTACTTTGAAGATATTCTTTGACTTGCACTGGATCGAACCCAATTGTCTCTAATTCGAGGTCAACCCCCTGGAGTTGGCTCAGAGACGTCACATATGGCCGAGAAGTGATGATGATGTTTGACTGATTTAAAAGGTTTTGAAGAAGTTCGTATTTTGGCTCGTCTCGTTTTAACTCATGCAGTACTTCATCCAAGCCGTCAAGGATGAATAAGGTCTTCTTGGGACTCGCCCTTAATGCATGCCACAGTGTTTTGGCATAAACGTGGCCATCCGGGCAATTGGAGAAATACTCCCGATAGAATAGCTCTTCAAAATCGCACCAGTTGAATTCCCAAGTTTTCAACCTCCGTAAAGGTATCCAAAGTACCCGGTCAAATAAGGTGTTCCACATTGTACCGAAAACGAACTCATGAATGATTTTTTTGCATAAGGTCGTTTTCCCTACTCCCGCACGGCCTCTAATCAATATTCTCCTAGGCCGTAGAGGATCACCTTCATCTCTTGGAGCCTTACGTGGTTCGAATATTTTTTCCAGTTCGACGCGACTCTGCTCGTCTGGCATTTCAACCTTTAACCGAGCCGTGAGTGTAAATGGAGAAGGTTGGGGCAGTTGAGATTCCTCTATTTGATCCCGGGAATGATTTTCGGATTGTTTTATGAGGGCTAGATTGATATAACACTGACCCATCGGTAGAAGGTCACCCGAGAGCCGCTCAATCTTAAGTCTTTCCGCAGTATAGCGCTTCGTTCGTATCCAAGCATCCGCCCTCTCAAGTAATGTACCCTCTCGAATATGCCTTAGAATGTTCTTCACTTTTCCAATAACTATATTATATTCCTTGTCGTTAGGCCCGAAGAATTTGTTCATGGTTATATGAGGGCGATCGAACGGCAATGGATCCAGGACAATATCCGGGGTTGCAGAATATTGGTCGACGAGCTATTGAGGTTTAGCTATCCACTCCGGATTAAGTCCAGCACTAATAAGTAGGGTCAAGAGTGTAACCGAGTACTTTTACTTACAAGCTTTCCTTGGCGAATCCAACACTTGTTTGTTGGTTGTGTTTCATAGAAGCTAACAACTTGACAAGGGTGTTCCGAGTCTTTACATAGTCCAGTGAAATTCCGCAGAAGCTCTCCGGTATCGAAAGTCGAGGCCTTGGTATATTCAAGAAGCGAGGATACCTGCTGGCCTTGAATTGAAGCTCGGGCCTTCAGAACCAATTCTGCCCATGTAGCTACGCCATGGAACGCTGTGCCTCGGAAAGGTGTAGCAAGAAAGACTATGCCGCGCGTCGAGCGTCGGATATGAAAATATTCTGGATTAAGGTTGGCCATCACAAGGGTTTTCATCAGAATGATGCCGCCAAGACATGAAGCGATAAATACAAGCGGTCGTTCCTGATCTTCTGCACGAACATCATGGATTGCGGTAAGCAACAGCCGAGCAAGTTCCTCGATCCTTTTTGGGACCGAGTCCGATGGTTCAAATAGGTCGGCAGGCCAGTCACAAGTAAAAATACGGGCTTTTCCCACTTGACTGGGGAGCATGTCCGGGTGGGACAACCAATTCATTTCACCCGACTCTCCAGATTTCCATGTCCATGTATCGGGTGACTTCGTATCCAGGCCATGGACAGCGATTATGTCAACGTCAGCTTCCGTCTCGGTACTGCTGGGAAATGTATTGACTTGATGAATGCGGACGCCTCTTTGCTTTGGAACTGAAAGACATTCATTCGAGGATGGCGGTCTCAACTCGGGATACGTAATCCTACCGTGAGGCCTAATATAGAAGATAATGGTACCCGCCGCTAGGAGAATTACTAGAATGAGATAACCAGCGGCAATCATGATTGTTGCTAGAAGAGTTGAGTTTATGTGTATCGTGCTCTATAACTTGGAAGCCTCCTAGCGCATGATTGAATGTTAGATGGAAAGCAATTAGTATCAACCGCTTTGCAAAGATCAATTGAAATTACATTTTTCGTGCAGAAGGCTGTGCAGGTAGTATTAGATATTGGTACTGACGTATTATCACAGTGATGATTACCCCACCTTGTCGGTGGACAAGGTCTAACGTTAGAACTTCTAAGGTCAGAGATGGGTGCGAGGTAGCAAAGTGAGAGATATAATATATTAACGATGATGATCAAGATCTAAGTGCGTCGTCTCCTTCGGAGACGACGCCTATATATGATCACATGTAGGTTACGTAAGCTACTACATAACTAGCACGTAGCCGGCGCGCAGCTAGCGCACAGCTGCACTCCCAACACACCTTCCGATAATCTGTAGTCTTACGGATCTCGACGAAGAAGTCGATGCGGAAATAAACTTTCGGCTTAGATGTGGGTCGCGGGACGGTCCATAGGTTAGGTCCGGGTACCTAGCGCCCTACCTGTCTGCGGGGGCTTACTATGACTTCCAGCCGCATTATTCCGTACAGTTATAGGTATTTTCAAAATGATCATCTACCACATAGTCTTGGCTAACCTTCTCCCGTTCCTTCTCAGACTCCATTTCTGACATACCCGCCCAGCTTGTAAATTGGGCTTGTTCGAAGTAGATCGGTTACTGTGATTCAAGGTATTAGTTATGGTTATCTGCTGGAAGCGCATAAGGGAGTACGTGTAGGTAATCGCAATATTTTGTTTCTCTTTACTATTAAGAACAACTCTGCACGTCTGGACCGTAACTCTGAAAATAAGGCACTAAGTCTAGGTATTCGGGATAATATACAACTAATTTTCTATACGCCCATCCGTACAGTATTTAGTACCTAAGTTCTTGCGAATCAGATTAAACCGTCAGATCTGATGAAGTTGCTGATGCCAGCGGAGCAGCATTCTCGCTCGGTGTACGGACTCCGCTGCATTGCTTCCGGCTTAACGTCAGCCCGCCGACCGAGTACATGTCAGAAAAAACATGGTATTTAGAGCATCACAAGTCGGACACGGTTAAACTTAATATTCTAGGTAAGTCATTATCGTTGCCGGTAGCTAGGGTCTCACCTCAGCTGCTCACCCTGCGCTGAGCATTGGCATTCACGAATCACGATAGGGGCCAGGCGGAAGCAGTCTTGTATTTACGTGAGTGTATATATAGGAGGTATCCAATACAGTCTACTAGATGATCAACATGAATGGCAATTTTCATCTGCCGATACCTATTCATAACATTGGCAACGATGCATTTTTATAAGAGTCAAATACTGGGTTCTTTACTTGCCTTGGCACCCCAAGCAAGCCATGCTTACCCAAGTATTAGCCCAGAGTGTTCTCTCGATAACCTATCCCACCAGCTATCCTCGATCGCCAGTTCATTATCTAACAATGCGACAATACTATCGGTTACTCATGTTCAACTGAATGGTAGCTACGGCGATCTCAATTCACCTCAGGGTCTCCCACCTCTGGTCTCAACAGGCCTTCCGGATCTCTGTGCCGTCGAGGTTAACGTAACTTCGTCCGAATCATCGTCCTACACAATCTCTATTTTCCTACCTTCTAAGTGGAATTCAAGATTCCTCGCGACTGGTGGGGGTGGTACAGGCGGATACGTCAACTACCTTGACATGGGCGTTGGATCGCAATATGGATTTGCTACGATGTCTACGGATAACGGTCATAGGGGCTCCCCTTATGATGTTGAATGGGCCTACAAGAACCCCCAAAAGTTGATCGATTGGGGCTGGCGTGCTATGCATAGATCCGTTGAGCTTTCCAAACAATTGATTAAAGGTTACTACGGCAAAAAGATTCAGTACTCCTATTACATTGGCTGTTCTACCGGTGGCCGGCAGGGTCTCAAGGAAGCCCAGGTCGGTGCCGATAGCTTTGATGGCATGCTCATCGGTGCGCCAGCTTGGTGGATAAGCCATCAAGTGGCCTGGAATACTAAGATCAGCAAGGATTACTACCCCGTGGACGACCCGAAGAGCATCCCCAATGAGTTATTCTCAACCCTAATAGCCCAAACTGTAGCTGATCAATGCGACGCAATCGACGGTGTCAGGGATGGCATTATCAGTGACCCCGAAAACTGCCATCCTGACTTCGAAGCGTTGTCCTGCAATAGCACCGGTGCCAATTCATCTGCGTGCCTCACGTCCTTGCAGCTGGAGACTTTAGCAAAGGTCTATGAGGACTATTACATCGGGTCAGAGTTTGTGCACCCTGGCCTTGAGCTTTCTTCTGAACCAGGGTGGCCGCAATACCTATTTGCCGACGCGCCAACTTCCTGGGGAATCGACTACATTAGATACATTGTATTTGAAGATCTGAATTGATCTCTATACGAGTATAACTCAAGTGTTTACGACCGGTTAAAGAACCTGGAATCATCGCACGAAATTGATGCGGATCAGTTCGATATGTCTCCTTACCGAGACCACGGTGGAAAAATACTGATGTACCACGGCTTATCTGACCCCTTAATCGTTACGCGCGGTTCGTCGTACTTCTATGAGCAGGTTGAACTAGCGACTGGAGAGACTTACCCAATCACCGACTGGTTCCGTCTTTTCTTCGTTCCAGGCATGCTGCATTGTTCGGGTAGTCCGCCCGGGGTTGATGCACCGTGGCATATCAATGGCGCCGGTCAAAACTGGCAGACTGGTTCGGGTGCATACTCTGTACCCGGATTCCAAGACTCCAAGCACGATGCGTTGCTTGCGCTTATGGAATGGGTTGAGGATGGAAAAGCGGTGGAGCAGATTATTGCAACGTTGTGGCATAATTCGACTGACCCAAGTTCTGGAGTATGGAAGCAGCGTCCTCTTTGTCCCCACCCGAAGACTGCCAAGTATAATGGCGTGGGCGACGTCAACGAGGCCCAAAACTGGAACTGTGCCTAATAAGTCCTAGGGAACACGGCGTAAGGGAATTGTATATATCTATAAAAGTTGGCTGAGTTAAGTTACCTCTCTAGTATTGTCATATTTCGTGTATGCATTTAATCTCCGTTAAAGGGTACGTAAATTTCGGTTTAGGATTTGACTTGCCAGAGCTGAGCTGCAGGTGGCTCCTTGGTGGCGTTCTTAATAAGGGCGGAGCGCGTATTCCGGAATATTCGTTGGGACTCAGCCGCACCACGTAGACTGGAAGCTCGACCAATTTATAACCTGCCTGGTTTCTGTGAGCTAATTCTTAGGACCTAAGGACTTAATCTTTTCTATCATCAATCCGAGGAGAAACTACGTAACTTTAGTAATCGTTGATCGAGTGTTTTAATACCTAGCAGGTGGCTAAGCCTCAGTAACCATCCCCTAGTCATGGCAAGCCTAAAGCCAGGGATTTTCCAAGAATTTCAGGAGAGGCATTTACTATCTCACCGTGACTTCAAACCTGTTAGTGTCAAGGTTATCGAATTAGAAAACTTCGAAGTAAGCTATCATCAACATGACTCCCCATCCATACTATATTTATACTAACTAGTGCTCAGGCTGAGAGGCCTACTATTCATTCCTTTATTCTCAACCCGGAGGATTTTGAGGGTTGGTTGGTGATTATGATGCTCTAATGATCCTTGACCGAAGTTAATTATTTTAACATATAATATACAGGATCAAATAATTACTACGAATAATCATAGTTGCCAGAAACCCAAATTTCGTATCATGTAAGTCTTATGCGTCCACCATAATGAGTTGAGAGTCTTGACTTACCTAATCCTCCACACCCAGTCTTGGGTATGTTGGAAAGGGGGCAAAGTATGAATATTTGATGCCTGGCAACGAGTTTAGAACTGGAGACATAACTAGTGAATCGATGACTGCTCTGCCTTTTTCGAAAGAACATTGTCAGCTTATACGCAAGAAACTTGGATTGCCTGATATAACGTCTTTGTTACCGTCCCGAGGAGCTTCCCCTTTAGTGGGTCACTTTCAACTCGTACAGCTTGCATCTGAAGAAGGCAATCCGATATACGGTAGGACTAGTATTAGCAATTATCTGGGATTATAAATAACTGATTCCCATATATAGGCTTAACCTTAAATGCATTTACTAGCTTACTAGTTGGCATTAAAATTGGCGTTTCGATGTCGTACTGTCCTTCCACGGGTGTTACGAATGCTGTGATGATGAGAAGTGGTCCTCGGGATGGATTCAACTGGCTAGAGCAAGACTTAGATCAATTGGCTTCTTTAGCTGATAACCCTTTCCTTGTTCCTACCCTAGTCAGCCAACACCTTACCGAAGCGTTCTGTTCCGCCATAGACCGCAACTTCGATCGGTTGCACGAAGCAGAGTTTAGAAGTGGCCAGACTGGTATCACGATGATCGGAGAGAACGGGATGCCAATGTCGCGGGGTAATTGTGAGGATCCAAACCTGTCAGTAACGGTCCTCGGAGTGGCTCAGCATGTGCTTGCCGTTGAAGCTTATATCAGAGGTCAACTATTGACCGTAGATCTGATCAAGAATGAAATGTTGGCATTTCCATGGCAACAATTTCCCTCCATAAACCAGGACCGTATTAAAGAACAAAATGGGCTTCTCGTCAAACAACTCGATTTTATTAGTCGAACACTCGATATCGCTCTTATTCGCATTGATCATCTAAAGCAGCGAACAACTGTACAGGCAACTGCTGTAAGTCCCTTCTCTGCTACAATTTATAGATCTTCTTCACATGCTATGGCTTTTAGATGGTAATACTGATGCATATACCTACAATTAGATCGCCAATTTACTAGCTCAGCGTAACAATGAGATGAATTGCAGGTTGGCTGAGTCTAGCACAAGCATAGCTCACGATACTAGGCGAGATAGCTTGGCTATGAAGTCTATTGCCGTTCTAACAATGGTCTTTCTCCCGGCTACTTTCGTCGCTGTAAGTGGACGTAACAATTCATTCGAAATGCGAGGAGTATAACTAACTTGCCCGTATCTAAAAAGACATATTTCACTACGCCTGCTGTAGCAGCATTGGAGCCCTCGCAAAGCCTCTACTGGGTCGTCACGGTACCGTTGACCCTGATTGTTGTGATATTGTGGATTTTCTCATTCTATATCCTGGCTAGGGATAAATTTCCATCATTTAATAAAGGTAGCTTGGTGTGACTTAAGGTGGTCTGGTGAAACAATAGTCTTTATGTTCGTCCGAATGGGGCTCGTAAGGGAACTTTTTATCCACGGTTCAACTGCTTCTCATTTGTCTGCCTCTTTACTTGCTTATATCATAGCAGGTATATAATGTTAAACCTCTAACTGGGTGGGTATCAGGTACCTAGGTATAATCCCTTGGGCGCTTCAAGGATAAGTGTGGTACAGAAATAAAGCCGTTGTCACATAAAGGCCGGTCTGTTTTGGTTTATTATCTCGCTGTTAAGTTAAGAAACCAACTTTGTTGTGTAAAACAATGACTGTACTCCTTGTTCCTATTGTTATTTAATATTATAAAGGGATCGTAGATGACATAGCGCTTTTAGAAACTGAATCTAATAAGATTGCAGCGTAACAGGGAATATTCCAAGACTGTGTACTCTAACAAGTGTGCTGATTACGACGAACAACGAAGAGGATACCAGAATTATTCAAAAATTATTGTTGATAAAGTATCGTGGTGCGCTGATTGCCTGTCACTAATTTTCACAATGAACGTCAAAGTCATCACCAATAAACGTGGTAGTATTCTTGGCAAGATTCCGATCAAAATGAGCGAAACACCCCACCATGAGAACACTCGTGATGCTGAGCCCAGAGCTAACAGGTATAGATCTTCTATGTGGCCGGGTAATCAGACTGGTCCAAGAATACCAGATGGTAGAACAACTCGAGCCCGGACTCGAGCAGCACAGATAGAAGATAACGAACATCGCGAGAGGACCCAGCCATCCCGACAACGAGCCAATCTGAATGAGGGCCTCAGGGAGAGCCGAGAAAATGATACCGGAATACCTCGACATAACGAAGGAGCTCCTCCATCATCGCGGGGGGATTACTGGTTTCACGGTAGTTCGATTAGATCTTTAGTTAAGAGCTTCTTAGGGATACATTTACCAGAAGAAATAGCTAGCAGGGGACGTATCTCGTTCGCCGAGGGGGAATCATTTTTCCCGGATCCTATGGTTACCTTCCTAGTTGACCGGCCTAAAAATCTTGTATGTCAAATTTGTCAAACGGTAAAACTCTCAATAGGGCACTTGGCGCAAGCTCCGTGCGAGAATACCCCAGCCATCCTTCCGTGTGGTCACATGGCTTGCCACAATTGTCTAAGAGCTTGGGTTGATTTGCATCAAAGCTGTCCTTTCTGCCGACATGAGATGAAATACGAAAAATGCGGACATACCCTCAGGCCTGCATTGATCGCGCATGATACTATCACCACCTTACCGAAGACACTTTCTCGAGGCGGGAAGATAGCCGAGACTTGCCGCGAATGCCAGGAGAGAGAAAGTAAAGAAAAGGTACTCATATTGTGGAATATGGCTACTGAAGCAGTTAGAAGTAGCCGAGAATTTCCTCCAGATACCGATCCTGAATATGCTAGCCAGGTGGCAGAAGTCACTCGTGGATTTTTCGAATGTGTCCCGCAGTATGCAGCAAATATCGCTCGGGAACGGGACACTTGGTAAGCAGATTAAATTGTTTATCTGGGCTTAAACTTGTCATGGACTGGTTTGGGAATAGACGATCGCTAGTATGTAACGTTCTTGACAAGAGAAACATATTACGTATAAGCAAATCAGATTGTCATTCGCGAATCAATTACCTGAGCCTTTCTCTACATGCAAGTTTTCTTTGTACACGGGTTATTTACTATTTCTTGTAACTAAGGAAAAGTTTATATTGTTTACGTTTTTGTTTTTGTTAAACGTGGCGGTTCCAGGGGTTTCCCCCTTAACGCCCTGTATATGCAAATATACCAAAAAAAAAAAAAAAAAAAAAAAAAAAAAAAGAAAGAAAGAAAAGAAGAAAATACATAGTACTAGTCAAATTCTTATAGCTAATGAAATTTACTACATGTTGTCCTAAGCCTATATAAAGCAAAAGAAACGAGGGTATATTTGAACAAGTATTCTGTTTATCGCTAAGCTTACAATAAGATGGCGGAAAAACCAAGTAGGCCATAACGTGAAATTATGTTATCATCTTAAATACCCTCCGGTACTCACGAAATGCAGCCTAGGTACCATGAGGTATCTGATAGATACTCATCGAAGGAACACGAAGTCCCTTAAACCTTATACGTTGGACAATAAGGAGACTATCAATCTTTAAGTGGACGGTTGATTGCTGTTTCGGATAGTTTCTCTTGGGGTTTTATTCTTATCTATGAGTCTATATACTAGATTTGGTATCCCTGATATTTACCTCTAGGATTGGAGAAGTGGCAGAGCGTATACAAATGATACCCAGATGTTCCATATCAAGAATGTCATCTTATCACTTGGAACACTCCTAAATACTAGGGTTCTTAGTCCAACTAACAATGCCAGGGCCATACCTACAGCTCGCGTAGGTATTGTGGTGTGCCAAAAGTTAGGACATAACACTCCCCAGACAACCATCCAGACAGCCGTAATCCATCGAGCAGGCCCATCACCAAGTACAAGCGGCAATGTGCGCCGGCCTCGAAGAGCATCGCCCTCCTGATCGTACATATCTTGAGTATGTACTGTTGTCATGATGATGCCAGAGATGATACCAAACCACTTTGCAAGAGCTGATGTAGTCGATAGCGGCAGTGGCACACCAAGAGCAACTTCCATCGCACTAGATATAAAGCATATATAACCGAGAGCGTTGATTGCGTTGCGAATCAAGGGGTTTACGTCGGCGCCTCCAAAGTTATTATACCAAGTCCCCAGGAATATCAATCCCACCCCTTGCCTCAAACCGCCTGTAATGAAAACGCTGCAAAGCTGCGCGGAGATGTAGAAAGAAAACATAAGGATCTTGGCTTGGGATGGAGATAACCGACGGCTGGGAAGAGGACGCCAGGGCTTGTTGATAGCATCTTCGGTGATAGCTAGAGGCGTTCTTTGGTTATTTATAGCGAAGGGGAGATAGTGCATCAAAACCCAGAAAAGGACGAGAGGCGATCTTCTCAGAATTTCAGTATAATCGGGAGTTTCAAGAGAAGCGCGGTATTTTGAGGCTGCTAGTGCGTTAACAACGCCGAAGATAGTGCTCGGGATTACTATCGTCTTCAAGTCGCTGAAAGCGAATAGCCACATCGTTCGCGTGTGGAACGCAATGTTAGCTGTGATTCCCATGATATCGAAGTGTACCAAGGTGAACAGATTTGATTCCCGTTAGTGTTATTAGAGGCCTCGGTCTATAATGGAGTCTTTTCTCGAAGATAAATGCCGGATGATCCTTGCGGGAATATGCCAGGGCTAGTATATATATATATTTCTATAGACTGACGATAGCCTACTAATGATCCACATACACGTCACATGCTATCTCTAAACTTGGAATCAAGCTCTATATCAAACGGGCCTATAGCTGGAATAGGATATCAAGAAGCTTCGTACCCCAAACGAAATCACATGCAGCACATATCCTTCAAGCTATGAGTTTTAATGGCGAGCGGTTATGTTGTAGTCCTAAAAGACATGGTGCAGCCAACCAAGAGAACAACCGACCGTTCAAACTATCCGAGTATCCACCAAAGGAATATCCCCCGGTAAACGTTCTTATAACCAACAACCCTCGCAGCATACGTACGCAAGATGGATCGTCCCGGGTGCGTCTACTTTGTTTCGACGTTTAACGATCCTATCCTTCCCTCGGCGGATTCCCGTAAGATAGTGAGGTATCGTCAGCCACACCTTCTCCATTATTACATCCGTTTCCCTATCAATGTCTAAATATCACGAATCTTTTCTTCATCCTTACGGCACGGTACGGCTCGTCTTATGTAGTCTCATCTTCGGACTTCCAAGGCAGTTATTCATTGTACCTGCAACGTTACTTCGCATATATCATGTCTGCTTGGCGTAAACCGCGGTACTCCCGCCTTTTCTGCCTCGGTAACTCATTACGGTTCGTAGGCAAATCGGAGTCCTCGTTTTAAGCAATCACCATTATGTGTAGCCCATACGTGGCTGATTAGATCGTCATCGTCGCTATCTATTGCACTCTTCCGCTTCAGTACAATTTTAAGTACGCCTACTGGATAACTTAAGATTTTAGATTACGTGAGACTATCAGGAGGACCTTTTATTCTCGCCATGACGCCAGTAGGTAGGACTAAGCCGTACGACTCCGGAGGGGTAGAAATGATACAATTGGTTTTACCAATATGCTCATCAACCTTTCGAAAATAGATATAAATCCTACATTTTTGAACTATTTTTATTGCACTATCTTTGAGGGGGCTACTCGTAGCGCTGGCTAACTTCAGGTATATTCTATACTTTACACAGCCTTCCGTCAGATTTCTGGGCCCATCTCTCGCTCCCAACACCCCCCAGAGCGTAAAATAGGTCATCTGGGTCATATTTCGATTTTATTTGGCCGAGTCTATCATAATGTGCCCCGTAAAACGTTGATTCCCATTCGGGTTGCTGGAAATCTGACTCGCTCAGATACGCGCCACCGTTAGGGGTCAGGCTCGAAAGCTGAGGAAGTAAGACATTCGTGATTGCGTTTATGCTCTGCAAGTTGGTCTCCCAGTTCGCGTAGTCGAAAGGAGTCGCTACTACAGCGTCAAATATAGCGTCTCGCAAGTATGGGTTTGCCGCAACTGAGTCCGGAGCGTGTCTTGAGACGTTAAAGGACACGCCGGAAAATAGAGCGCCACTGTATGTAATGTTGCGGATTGCGGCCGTTAAAGCCTCGTTGTTTTCCTCAACGAGTGTTCGAGGGATCAATCGTCCTCCAACGTTGATATTTGAAACATTGACCGGCACTTGGGCGCGGAACGTTTCTAAGAAACTTGAATATTCCTGAGAGTTGTACTGGTATTGTATCTTTGAAGTATCTAGTTCATCCAAAATTGGCTGGAGAAGAGTGTCCACCTCCTTTTTGTCAAGTCCGGGAGCATATAGGGTGGACAGTACAAACGCCTGAGCTGTTACGAGCCAAACGGCAACAGAACCGGCATCGTTAATCGAAGGAACAAGCTGGTTGAAGGAACCAACAGCTCCGAAATAAGTATCAACAATTGCATCCGAAGCGTTTTCGGGAATTGCAAATGTCAAACTGGCTGTCGAGAAAGATATTGCTGGATAAGCCTTAACCGTCACCGAAAGCACGGCGCCGAAAATACCTCCACCTCCACCGCAGAGTGCCCAATATAGGTCTGCATATGCAGAGTCGGCTGACGCTGTAACTGTCTCCCCGGAGGCAAGCACAACATCCCATTCGAGGACTTGATCAGCGGCCAACCCGTACTTAGACGCTAAAGGACCGTGGCCACCTCCCTGGATATAACCACCAGCGAATCCAAGAGTGGGTTGGTTGCCACCGACAACAACGAGCCCGTGAAAGTCTGCAAACTCGAAAACTTCGGATCCGAGAACGCCGGCTCCGAATTTCAAGGCTGCACCAGAATAATCGGTGCTATTGTATTGTTTCAGCTCTTTGGATTTCAGATTATGAGTCCATAAAGCTAAACCGCCCGCGCCGGTAGACTTTCCATTGTAGTCGTGACCGGTATTCCGAATTACCAGTCTGATATTATGTGAACTACTAAATTCCAATACCTTCTGATAATCAGCGGCATCAGTTGCTTCCACAGCGTACGTGACGTAGTTCCCTAAGCTGCAGGTGGTATCCGGTTCCGAAAAGGGGTTACATGAGTTGTTTGTAAAGAAGGGTGCCATCGTAGATGATGAACTCTGCAGATGCGTCTCTGGGAGAAACCAGGCGTCCTGCAGGTTCCTGCATTGGTCAGAATTGTAACCAGTTGGTGTGTCACGGTGGCAGGGAGCGCCGATTGGGATCGTTGGTATCAACTTCCCTCCCAATGATGTGTTGAATGCGTCCCACACATCGATGGTAGGCCAGCATGTGTCGCCGGGGAAGCATCGGCAAGGGGACTCTGCACCATAGCTGCCATTTTTCAAGATGGCGGCATCTACTGACGCGCAGAACAACGGTAATAAAAGAACGGAAATTGAAGTAAGACTTTTCCTCATAGTCATGGTGTGCAAGATGACGATAATCTTTTCCAAAAAAAAAAAAAAAAACAAAAAAAAAAAAAAACACCGGAAGGTCTTAAATAATAAGAAAATCTACGAATCCGAAACGATAAATCCCAAAACGGTTTCTTTCCCTATACGCATCGGATTCCACCTTACGATCTTGGAATTCTACATATTGGATACTTACCAAACCCGACTGTGCCACTGAAATCCATGAATGGTGTCTTTAAGCCCAAGAGAGCATCAGACCGTGTTGAGTATGAGATCAATCCTCCGGCTAATTCGTACGAAAAGCACACTGGGGTTTTGATTCGGTAAGCATATGCTGTCCACTCGTACGTCCGCTAGGAGTAATGCGCTCAAAAGGCGCAGCAGTGGCTTGAATTACCGCTACAAGTGCCGTTGGTGCTGTTGGTGCTGTTGGTGCTGTTGGTGCTGTTGGGGGCCGCCAAGTTCTCCAGATTCCACTATAAAGCGGTTAATCCACTCGATTGGCCCCCAAGCAGCCAACTCGGACTTGCGTACCATCGTGATTTGCAAGCCTTCTTATTTCCATGAAGTCGCGAAGGAGCGTCGTCAGGGTTCAATGATGTAGTAGCCGAGGATTCATCATTGGCGTTCCTCCGGTATGCGAACAGTTAGTTACATTACGTTCCTCTGATCGTAAGGCGTATAAGATATTTGCCGCCTACCCGTCCTAGCGGTTAGCAAACAAGCCGTTCTATATATAAAGACCTAGGTTACGCATAACTACCTAACCTACCTACTTCATTGGCGGTATCCACTCTATCAGTAGTTCATGTCTTGTGGTGTCGATCGATCAGATCTAATGCCCCCAAGAGTTTTGTAAACGAATGATCGAGCGGTATCTTTCAGCATGTTGGGGGCGTGAATAAAAGATGTATGAGCGCTAGCGGCAGGACTACGGTATATTTAGCTGTTTACTTTCGTAAAACGCTAAAACGATTTCCAGAGTATAGATTAATTGGTTCTCTTAGGAGTTTATCATGTCGTTGCAAACCCGCGGGGTTCCCATAAGAGAGATTTGATATCTGAAATATTGGATACATTCCTTCTGCTGTAAGCACTTTACATAGACTACATTATACTAGGTACATTAGGTAGACCCGGACTTGATCGATCTTGGTTCGTTATGTAATTCAAGATTCCGCACATCTTTCCTAAGAGGGATAGGGCTTGGATTTTAATTGGCTAGTTCGCTTTGCTACATGTATGTATGCTACGGCCCGTAGTTAGAAACTTTATCATAGAAATCTTTCTTCTCCACTCTCTATTCAATCATGTGACTTTACGGTTAACTCCCACCGTTTTCTCTTTTACCCACTCCCCTTTTCTTTCAACTACCACCTATTTTACTCCAATCGTTGCTACAATATAAATAATCGGAATCCTTCAGTGTTACTTCATTTATTGATTATCTTGGCTCTTTAACATCATCAAGTTACACCCGACCTCGTAAACTACTATCTTTCTAGCCAGTCTACCTCTACGTGATAAGTACGCGAACCGTTCATTCCTAGAGAAGTATAACATTCGGATCTGAATCCTAGTTTTTTCACATCTCATTTCTGTTCCTTTGTTAGGTAGCCATAGCGGTTTTACCTCTACGCCACTCGGTTATTTCTTTTTACCTTATGCGAAGGTGAGATCCCTCAAGGTGTGCCCCATCCTTACATGACGCTTAATTCGTAAGAGTCGTCCAGATCTTCAGCCAAGCCTTAACTAGAATGTACCCACTAACAGCTCTCACATCAGGGTTCTCGCTTCAACTTGTATACTACTGACCCAGTCAGGACCCATTGAATAACTCCCTAATCGAACAGAGTGATAATGCACACGTAAATTGTATACACATCAAGGTAGCAAGGTTGGCCCCTTAGTTAACCCTCCAGCTCTTAGTCACGTTGATAGTGCTGTATGGTTCAACGTTCTCTCCTAGCCTTGTCATTTCTACCGGTTCCTCGCTGTGGCCGGAGTTGGCCGTGTTTACCCGGGCGTAGGTTCGGCCAACCTGTTGCGTCCATGCCCTTTCTTCGTCAAAGCTACCTCGGCTCGCTCCCGTCATGCTCAACGGGTACAGCTTGTCCATTTGCTTCTGGACTCGAGCCTTCTCTACGTCATCGTTCACCGACGACACGTTTCCCTGCTTGTCGCTCGCCTCGCTGAGCTTGACGGAGCCGTGAGTATTCCTACGGTATCCGAATGAGAAGGTGCTGAAAAGTCCCCTTAATCCACCGTCCTCGGATCCTAGAGACATCTTTATTTTCTCCGCGAATGAAGTCAATAACTGGGGCATGGCCGGAAGGCATGCGCAGACAATAGACAGGTTCGCTTCTAGGGCGCCGAGGAGCGTCGCGATACCACCGTATTTGGTAAAGTGAGTAAGCATATACTCTAGTTGGGTTGCGAGACGGACGAAAGAGATAGCACAGATCCTATTCCGCTCTATTAGTCCCCCGCCCCTCACATATAGCATGAGAAATAGGAGTAAAACTTACAAGATACCAATGGTGAATAGGAAAGTCAAAGCGACCTTTTTGCTCGTCTTCATCGACAGAGTCCACACAACTGGCACCGGCAGTAAGAGGATTAGACAGTCAAGAACAGCTCCGATGGCTGTCTGGGCGACATAGAAGTGCGACGTGTTAATGCATTGGTAATCCGGATATGATAATTTATCCCAGTTAGCTTCGAAAGGCCGGCATCCGGCTAGAGTAACGATGGTAAAGCTGATCCCATAGGCGCTCGTAATTGCCATTAGGGTATAATCCGCAATGCGAAAGACATTGTTAGTTGCGAAGACGGAAAGCAGAAAGTCAAGGATCGAGATTTTGACGAATGTCACTGCCAGCGTTCCGCAGATGATGATGACCAAGAATTGCTATAACTCGAATTATTGAACGCTCGTGAAATGGCTAACACTATTAAGCATACCTTGTTCGAGAATAATAACTCCTCAAGAGATGCATCGGCTGAACTCTGGCCTATTCCTCCCTTCGTAACGATATAGTTCTCGCTAATAACGAGGCCAAGAGCAAATATCTAAGAGGGGGGGTCAACCGTGTACACGCAAATAGATATTATCCAATATTACTCACCCACGAAACAACGATCGTATAATCAGAAAGTCTCACCTTAGCTCGCCGCATAGAACGAGACCAGAACCTTAACCCAACAGCAGCAAACGAGATCGCGAGACCGACACTATTGACCACGAGAACCGCGGTAGGGAATCGCATGCTCGGTGTATAGGGGGCCATGTTTGCGACGATTTTGATAACTTTGCTGATGACGGACAAGAAACGAGCGGCGTGAGGAGGACTGAAGAGATATCTACTAGTGTGATCCCCGCGTCCTCGTACCGACTGAGCTGGTCTCTGCGCCGTATGGGAGTACGTAAGTTGATGAGGGGGAAGTACCGCAGCTCTTATTTGTGGTTATAGGCGCATTCTGCAATATAAGAGCTGTGCCATGCGCATAAGCCAACAGATCAATGAGTTGAATTTACGAGGATATTCTGCAGCGCTTAGTATGGGTTACATCGTAGCATTTCCATATGCAATCCTACACGCTCTACTCTAAAACGTGTGACTAGGATCTATATAACTACGTGCTACTCTAGTTTATCATATATTTAAAAATAAATCCAATGTGATTTAATCAAGGGGCCAGCGAGGTTCTACATACCAGACTCACCTTATAGACACCGCGTTCAACGAAATCCGATTCCTAACGCCAACCCCCTTACTACTATGGTCATTTTATTTTCTATTGCATTATCATGGAGCACGAGGCATACATTCTTAGGCGGAATTTCTCCGCAAATGCCAGGTAGGTTTGAACACCAGCTACAAACCTCGACGTCGTCTCGACTCGTGGGTTAATAAGTGAACTAGGTTGAACCTGTAATACTTTCTTTGGAAAGATGGCGGCTTCTCTCTCCACCCCAGCATCCCGGCGAATGTTGAAAACCTACGGGTGGCGGAGATAGGTGTTGGTACTGGGTATTTTCTCCCGGCCCGCGATCATGGTGGCGATGCTAAAACACATCTCGTAGGATTTGGTTGGTTGACTTGGCGCGATACCTTCCTCCTTCGGCCCAAATCGATGGCTTTGACATCGACTTAACTCAATGTCCACCGAGAGAATGGTTGCCGTCTAATGTGGCCGTACACAAGGTAGACTGTTTGAGCCCGTTGCCTGAGCATTTGCTTGAGCAGTATGATATCGTTCATATTCAACTCTTTCACCTTGCAGTGCATAACAATGATCCCGCGCCCATAATACGGAACCTGCTCGGGCTTCTCAGTATGTTATCTGCGGAATTATACCCCTCTAAATACGATATAATTACTGATACGTAGAATAGAGCCTGGAGGATGGATCTCGTGGGGAGAAATGGACTACAGCACCTTCAAGATCATCCGCACAGAAGAGGGGAAAGATGCTGAGGATTATCTAACTCCCCTTCTCGAGGTAATTGGGACATTAGGCGGAACAAGGCCAAACTGGACAGCGGATGAGTAAGTGACAACTGGTATACCAAGTAACTATGGCAGTACAGGCATTGACTGAATCATATTACAGCTGGCCGATCAGGTTGCCCCAATTCTTCGAGGATAACGGACTCACCAATGTCGCAGTTAACAACCGTCCGTTTCCGTTAGAGCTACTACCTTTCCAACTCGATACAGCGCTTATGGCATCCGAGGAGGTGAGTTATAAAGCCTTGGACCCTATGCGCAACGGCACTGGTGATCGATGCAGGGACTTGATTTTCAAGATCTTTCAAAACAGGCAGAAGCTGGCTTATAACGTAGGGAGATTGACTGTAGTCGGACAGCGACCATTACAATGATGCATCGAGTAATCATGATCGTATATAGCTGAATAGAGCAACCCAAATACCTAGATTTTATTGACTACACTTAGATCTATAATTGAATCCTGTAAGGCTTCTAGACTAGCCTCTCAACTAAGCCTGCCCACTGATCTCGGCGATGAGTGCTTCAGCAGTCCACTCGGGCTTGCTAATAAAGGGAGAGTGGCCCGCATCGACTTCAACAACTTTCTCAATCTTGTGCGGTCCGCTCGCTTTTGCGGTATCAACAAGATACCGCGCAGCAACCACGGTCGATGGCTTGTCTCCTAGACACAAGATATATGTGGTTGGGATATAGCGCCAGGCAGCATATGTTGTGGTACTCCAGAACGCCCCAAAACTCTGAGGGCGTAAGTCCTTGACTAACTCAGCAATAGTAGCGTCATCTAGTTCTTGATAGAACATATCCTTAGCATGCTCGGGTGCCACAGTGATAACGCCAGCCTAGCAAACGTAAGAAGTTAGAGTGCGTTGAATAAAGGAGTAAAGCAATATCGGAGTAAGTGATATCTTACATCAAAATCGGTTATCATCTCCGGTACCATGTTGTCGCGCGTCCCATGTGCCGAGTACTGGAAGCCCTCCGGTACAAGGAAGGCCGCGATGTAAATCAGTCGTATGACGCCGCCCTTCAGTCCCTTTGACGCACGCGTCTCTTTGTCCAAGCCTTCCAAGGCCGTACCCCCAGTCATACCACTGAAGCTGTGCGCAACGACGACGACATCATTCTCTTGGGAGAGGAGGTCTTCAACAGTTTTCCTGATGGTTTCGATATCCTTAGACCAGTCAGGTGTAGGTGGCGTAGATCCCGTCGAGGGTAAGGCTGGAGCAACAGCCGAGTAGCCTGCCTTGCCCAGTGCAGTGATGAGACTATCCCAGCATTTAGGACTGTGCCACGCACCATGAAGGAGAACGAATACTGGCTTAGACATATTCTGCTATGATAATGAACAACTTAGGGGGCTGTTTGGAGAGTATGCTGGGGGTAAGGATCAGCTTTAGTCTGCGATATCGAACGAGACTGCGAAGGAATTCTATTTAAAAGGTAATCCGGCTTGCAGTAAATCGATCGATTGAATCGATCGATTCAACTACATAGGGGGTTACGATATCAGATATCGAATTTATTTCCATGTACAAACCAATACTACTACCCCACGACATGAATGGAACGATGTTGGTTGGTGACCCAACTTACCTTACCCCCTGTCACTACATCCCCTGTCACTACATCCCCTGTCACTACATCCCCTGTCACTACATAAGGCATAGATTGGATACGCTAGATCCTTCTGCAGGTGGTATCCGACGTAAGGGTCCCAACTGATTCGACCGTTTTATTCCTTTCTCCGAAACAAAAACGGGACAGTCAGGTTTTTACCGTTTCATACGAAGAATCTTGAGAAATACATCTGTGAAGTGCCGATGTAACGGACATGACTAAACTATACCAAATATATACCTCCTGTTTTTTGATTCGCGTACGACAGTATTTCGCTGCTAATTATAGGCTAACCATATATACCTACCTATATATGTATATATATATATATATATATCAGATCGTATAATACAGAAGTCTTTTGTAAAAAAAAAAATAATGATAGATAATCGACGCTCTTACTTTAAAGCTGACCACCATAGGATAAGCGTAAAACTTCCAGTACTACATTCTATGTATAATATTAATAAATAATCGGACTCGAACCCTCGGACTCTTTCTACGGACTAGACTAGTTAGATTGAAAATGAATTTGCTGTTTTCTACCAACCGAGAGGATGGAGTGGATAATCGAGTGAGGCCATTCCTGATGGTTTACCAAGGCGCTTAAGTGCCGTAGGATCGATGCAATGGGTTACCTACAGGTACCGAAAATAACCTTATTTACCCCTGTACACTAGTTAATATACGGATCCTCATCAAGTTGTTAGTTTGTAGTACGACTCGCGGCCTAAGTCCTTTGATGGATATGTTGGAAAGAGTTGCTGATGCCCAGTAAAAGTGACGACGACGCCGAGTCGTCAGAGATAGGGGTTTTGTTTTCCGAAGAATGCCGTCCCCCATCTGTTAGCTACCTACATATAGTCATTCTTTTAGAATAGTTTCTACAGAATTGCCTTCCCGACCGGCATCTTTCCCCTTCACTAGTGAACTCTGACGCCTTCGCTTGGCACGATCTCTTAGTATGCTGTCTACTACGACCAGTTACGCTTGCCTAGGGGCCGCTGCCCTGGGAGCTTTCTCCCATTTTGCTATCTTTATTCGAGGTGAATGGCATATGCAAGCGCCTGCGCTCTTTACGATCTACTCTTTCCTCGCTTTCGTCATCTTTTTCGTTGAACAGCGACTCGGAGCAGACATCAACACTAGTTTCAAGATTACTTCTCTGATAGTAAGCTCATATGCAACTGCGTTATTCACTAGCATCGTCATATATCGAAAGTTCTTCCACAGACTACGGCACTTCCCCGGTCCCTGGCTAGCAGGAGCCACGAAGTTTTGGCACGTATGGCAATGTCGTACGGGGAAGAATTTCTTCGTCATCGAGGAGCTGCGCAAGAAATACGGCCCAGTTATTCGGACTGGCCCAGAGGAAATCACCTTCGTCGACGCTGCTGTCCCTCCAGCTGTTGATGGACCCAGGAATAAGTGTACCAAGGCTGTCTGGTACGACTTCTTGCTTCCTGAAATTGCAGTCAATACAACTCGAAACATAAAGGAGCACGACACTCGACGACGTGTCTGGGACCGAGGCTTCAGCAATAAAGCTCTTGCCATCTATGAAGAACGTGTCGTGGAATATGCAGAAACACTTGCATCACAGATTGAGAAGCTTGCGGTGGAAAACTCCCCCGTCAATGTATCGGACTGGTTTTACTGGTTTACATTTGATGTTATGGGCGAATTCGCCTTTGCACGATCATTCGGAATGTTGAAAGATAAGAAGTGGCACTTCGCAGTCCGCTTATTGAGGAGAGCTATGAGCTTGCTAGGGCCATTTAGTCCAGTGCCCTGGATTGCTCAAATCGCGTTCTATATTACACCCTGGATGTATATCGTTCGGGATTGGCTTGGTATGATGCAATGGTGTAAGGACCGCATGGGTGAACGGATAGCAGTATGTTTCTCCCCACCACGTCTTCGTTTTGAAGATTCTAACAAGTCAATAGAGGAAAGTGGAGAGGCCTGATGTCTCACACTGGCTCATCGAGGCGTCTCTTGAAAAGGGGTCCTTGGAAGCTGACCGTGAGTGGCTGAATGGTGATGCCATCACCATCATCATTGCTGGAAGGTAAGCCCACGGCATTATCACATCATCACTCGGCTCGTTTTACTAACCAACCTTAGCGACACCATCGCCCCAACCCTCGTCTTCGCTTTCTACGAGCTTGCTCGCAGCCCTCGGCACCAAGACATACTACTTTCCGAACTCAAGGATGTAGATATTTACGACAAGTCACAGCTCCAGAACTGTGACCACCTCACCGCCCTTATTAACGAGACATTGCGGTTGTACCCTCCCGTACCTACTGGTGGCTACCGCCAATCACCCCCAACTGGAATGACCATTAACGACGTATATATCCCCGGTAATGTTACAATTGTTGCGCCCAGATACTCTCTCGCGCGTCTTGACTCCTCGTACGAAGAGCCCGATCAGTTCATCCCCGAGCGCTGGACCACGCGGCCAGAAATGGTCAAGGATGCCCGCGGGTTTGCCCCGTTCTCCCAAGGCCGGTTCAACTGCATCGGCAAGAACCTCGCCATGACCGAGATGCGATTCGTCATCGCCCTACTCGTAAAGAAGTTTAAAGTTGAGTTCTGGGGCGATGAGAAAGGAGAAAAGTTGTTCGCCGATTTAAGAGATCAGTTCACAGCCGCGCCAGGACGGCTGGACTTAAGATTCCGGCTTAGAGAACAATCATCTTAAGCTGTAAATCTAGGTATATATTCTTTTATTATACTTGTTCCTATTAGATATATGAAGCGTCTGTATGAATGATTTAGATGTACCCAATGTACATTTCGGATATAAATGTTGGAAGCGAATGCCACAGCGGCAAGAATGATACCCAATAACGCCCTTCTTTTACCGTATGGTGTCGGATTAGTTTATAAGATATTATATCGATCCCATTATGTTAAATTATTTTTCAGAAGTGTACTATTAGGTGTTTAAACCCACGTCATTCATCCTCGTAATGCTCTATAATACGCGTATGCCTTAGATAATGGAGCAAATGGCTACGTGAGAGCCTATATAACTACAAGAAACTTTCTTAATGCTCGGAATGGAGCTGATAAACTATTTTTTGAGGGAATTCTAAAATGTATAAATACTTGTCAAGTATCTACCCACTACAACGACCAGGAGGTTAAGAAAGTTCCTTTATTTAAGCAAGATCTTGGTATCCCAAGAGAAAAGGGGGGTAATCACTATGATATCGGCAACTGTTGGGACTCCTATATAAATCTGCTCTTCACTGCAGAGTCCTGGGATAGTGTTCAAAATCAAGGGCAGCTTTTCCCCGAGGTGATGAGATTAGCATATCAAAAATATCATCTACTTCTAACTCTTCATAGTCTATAATGGCCCTGTTGATGTCCAAGTCGAGTTGATCGGTGACGGGTAAGGTTCAAAGTGCTTGTTAGGGGGTTCCAGCCCAGTCCAGCACGGAGAAATCGGTCTCTTGACAGATCAGTGGACGACTTTCTGATCAATATCCATTAATTCTTTTGTGGAATAGTTGTAGCGCATTTTCTAGTTCATGGTTTATTCCTACTATATGTCTTTCGTTATCCTTCCGCATTTTGAAAGTGTGCCAGAAATGTTTACTTATTCGAATATGGCCGTAGTCGGGTTAACGTCTTATAATTCTTAATTTATCTACTGCAAAAGGAGTCCTATGAAGAACTAGCTGCGTTGCCCGCCCGCGCAAGCCCGTACGGGGGAAAAGGGGGGATTCCTGCGCAAAACTCACGCCACACCTTAGCGCACGTCCGATGAATTGTTCGTAAAATTAATTGAATTATTTTACTTTTGGGTGAATTTTCTAATAATTGGTATTGTTTGATAGAATGGCAAAGGAAAATGTCGCCAACTTCGGGGCGATTCTAAAGATCTAATTGGATCTTGAGGCTCAACCAATGAGATGGCATATATCGACCTGTCATTCCCAATTTAAGAGACTGACGTCATGACTTATACACAACTACGTGAACCTTGACGAAGATGAGCGTCACGAGTATCTGATACTACGCCATCAAATCCAACTTCTTTGTCCGGATTCTGAAAGTTCTTACATGACTTGATCTTTTCCTCGGTGACGTAGTTTGGAGTGTGGCAGCTATCTGGAGAGCTATAAGAGCACGCATAACCCCGTAGTGAATAAGCCACAACATTATTAAACACTATCAAGTATTCAAATTGAATCCTACTTTATAAAAAGCTATATTTACTAAAACAACTACCGTTAGAATTGAATCGCCATCATGGGTCTCGCAGCGGGTGTCGGTCACTTCTTCCAATCAATCATCGAAGTGATCCAAGGTTTCTTAGGAGCTGTCATCAACTTCTTCCAATTGATTCTCAACACAGTTATTGGTCTATTCCAAGGCTTCGTCAGCTTCGTTGAAGGCACTCTTGGCTTCGCAATTCGTGAGTCTAGCCGTCGTCCCTCGGCTCACTTCCAATTAATCGTCCATACTAATTCGCTATAGACAATTTCTTTATCTTGGGTACCTTGGCCGCGGCTGTATTCGCATATCTCCTCTACTCTCAGAGGAAAGGAACCACTCCTGTTAGCCGGGCAGTTAAGAACAAATGAAATTAGTGTACGGAAAAGGGGTTGAACTTGGGCGCCTCGGTTGTTATCAAGCGAGCTAGGAGCCATGATTGAACGATTACATACGTCAGGGGTATTGTGCTCGGGCGTTGGGGAGACTGATCCTTTGAGTATACGATAATTTGAGTCGATGCTAATGATATTTGTACTATATGGATGTATTTATCTCGATGTAAGAGGCAATAAGCCAGCTATTATATGAATGATTCTCTAGGATATCCTACCAACGTTTCTAATGCTATAATTGTCTAGCTCACAGTTTATTTATAAGTTTAGGATAAGAGTTGGTGTTAAGCGGCCCCTGTGATTTTAATGCCTTGGATATTTTATAAGCTGATTTTGAGTAACTACCTACCTAAGGTATAAGTAAGTCAACGTATTTATTCTCGAGGTAAGTGTCGGTGTATATCTTCTATAGTCTAAAATTGAGTGACCCTATTGTGAGATCCTTCCTACCAAAGCACCATACCGGGATAGGACTTGGCGTGTTTGGGATTTCTCTATCAGTTCTTTTATCTAGGATATTTGGGACGTGGCGCGATAATCTGATGTCGATAGGGTCGAAAATCGCCCCGCATCGTGATCAGCTTCAGGGGTTAATAGACCCTTTGTTGTTTTAGTGACGCGTGCGCCAAGACTCACTTCACCCAAATTGTTCATCTCAAACAACAGTCTCCGTCGAAAGTCTTCTGGCCCGCGATGGCGTTAGTTCTAGAGCGACCACATGCATAAGGACCGGGTTGTTCCCATTACATATCTTCATTCTGCGCGCCAATTTTAAGGCTGATAGTGTATCTGAATTTCAGGAGTCAGTAACCCACTGCTTCGCGCCGCATATGAAACCTTCTAACAAGCCATCTCCGTGGTTCTCATTTCGCCCAACCAAGTCCCCAACTCAACTCCTTTATTTTGAACTCAGAATGCAGGTGCATTTTCTTGGCAAATTGATATTCCACCAATTCGAGAACTCATTTGAACCGAAACCCTGTTTAGTATGTTCGTGCATAGCGCCGACCCAACACCACGGTGGATCGACATGATCTTCGTCTTCCCGAATGCCACTGTAAAAGACCCAAATGCGGCTTCTGGTAGACATGGGTAGGGCTTTCAGTAAGTTAATATAAGGAGGACGAGTATTCTCTCGACTTGATTCCGTCTCTCTTGGTTTATCAGACTACCTATCACAAGTCTTCGTTCATTCCTTTGAAGCCACCTTCATCACACTCGTTCTTGCTTTCATACTTGACTTGAAGTCAATTCACATTCGTTACCGCAAGTCGGCCTTCACGAACAGTCTATATTTCACGTATCGCACATATAAGCAACCAAGTTCAATATGCCTTCTGCACTTAGATCCAGCTTATTGGCTGCCATTGCCGGTGCCGTTTCTGTTTCTGCCCATGGTCATGTTACCACTGTGACTATCGACGGCAAATCCTATACAGGATTCGATCCCACTTCTGCGCCTTACGCAACTCAGCCGGACAGTATTACTTGGAGCAACGGGGCTACAGACAACGGCTTCGTGCTCTCGTCGGCGCTCCAAGACCCCGATATCATCTGTCACTTGGACGCTACCAATGCTGCTTTGTCTGCACCTGTCACCGCCGGTAGCAACGTCTCAATCACCTGGAACCAATGGCCGGATTCTCATAAGGGACCGGTTATTGACTATCTAGCGGACTGCGGTGGTAACTGCTCGAGTGTCGATAAGACTACTCTCAAGTGGTTTAAGATAGCGGAAGCAGGTCAGCTCACGCTGGGTGCCGGCAGTGGTACAACCGGCAAGTGGGCCGATGATTTAATAATCGAGGACAGCCTTACTTGGCAGGTTACTATTCCCAGCGCCCTTAAGTCTGGAAACTACGTTCTTCGCCACGAAATCATTGCTCTACATGAGGGTGGCACTGAAGGAAAGGCGCAGATGTATCCTCAGTGTATCAACCTCCAGGTTTCTGGGTCCGGTACTCAGTCACCGGATGGCGTCGTCGGTACACAGCTTTACACCTCTACCGACCCCGGAATCTTACACAACATCTACAATGACGAAAAGCTTACGTCGGTTTCTGATTACGTGATTCCCGGACCTGCTTTAGTGAAGTTTGATGGATCATCGTCCAGCAACGGTGGTGCTTCTTCTTCGTCTGCTGCTTCGGCTCAACCCACCACCACCGCTCCTACTGCTACTTCTGCTGCCACTTCTGCTGCCACTTCTTCTATCGCTACTTCTAGCGCTAGTAGCACTTCTACTGCTGCCGCCAACACTCAGCCGGCTGCCAGCTCACCTGCTGCTTCTTCAACGCCGAAGAAGACTTGCTCCAGCAAGCGTCATGCTCGGCGCCACGCTCGTCAGCTCAAGAGCCTGTAAGAAGGAGAATTGAATTATACTAGGGATCAATCAAGTAGGTGGTGGTTAGGGTTTTAATTCGCTGTATATATAGGATGAACTCAATATTATAGTGAAATTACGAGATCTTGAGATAGTATCATAAATAAACTGAAAATGAAGCAGCTCGTATAATACTCAAGTTCCCTTTGAGAATCTCGCGTGTCTATATTGTGAAGACATGTTTATTTTCCCCTTACATTGGACGTGTCCCTGTTTATGCATCTACTATGCTATATGAATTAGTAGCATTGCATACAGATTGTTCTATCTAGTAAATAGATGCTCATAAAGAGTCTATCATTATGTAAGAGTTATGTACCCCGGTAGCTCACCTCAATCCGTTTTAAGCTTCATCTCTCGCCCCCACCAAAGCTACAACTACAACAACTTCCATGTACATAACAACTACGTGCTCTACATCTCAAAGCTATTGGATGCGCAATGCAGACAGCGTCATTTGCGTTATAAATTATAATGGGACCTTCACCGATTAGAGAGGATAATACGGCTGAGAATAGCGCTTCCTTTGACATCGTCCAGCACGGCCACAAGGATCTAGTCCAAGCAATCGCTTTCAACGCATACGGCGACAGATGCGCTACGGGTAGTGTAGACGGGAAGATTCGCGTCTTCAATCGCCACCAAGATGGTATCTGGCGATTATGCGATAATTGGAAAGCTCATACAGGCGAGATTCTAGAGGTTCGTTTTTCTTAAACTCGGATAATTCATAGCCTTAGTAGCATAGCGACGAGGTTTATAAGGTTGTTTAGCTTCAACATATTTCTAACAGTTCGTCTAGCTTCAATGGCTACCACCCACCATATATCCTAATTTACTAGCCTCCCTCGGTATTGAGGGCCGCTTTAGACTATGGGCTGAGGACCCTTCAGCCGCCCCGGGAAGGCGTTTCAGCGCGAGGGACGGGAATGGCAAGAACGTTTCCGAGCTGAGGTCCGCCCGGTATCCTTATAGGTCCTTTTCGGTCAAGCATGATGAGGTGACCCGGTCTACATATGTTGCCCTTCTTGCTTCGGACGGCCATCTTACGGTATTCGAAGGCGAAGAGCCGGAGACTCTAAACGACTACTCAAAGTCTGATGACTTTCAGGCTTGCGCTAAGCCGAATCGTGGCGAGGAAACATGTTTCAAAGTTCGCTTCGACCCGAATCCTGAGCCTTGCTATAATGCCCTGAGAGCCGGCGTACCAGCAGATGCATTGAGTCTGGTAGTATCGGGCTTAACTACGGTAAAAATCTTTAGAACTCGTGATACTGTTGCTAGTTCCTTCGGTGCCCCGACAAGGCAAAGACAGTTCTACCTAGCTATTGAGATCAGAGATCATAATCACTTAGTCCGAGACGTCGCCTGGGCTCCCGGAAACTATAGGGGCTACGACATGATTGCTACGGCATGCCAAGACGGCTTTGTGCGGGTATTTCGAGTCGATACTCCCTTTTCACAAGATGACGGCAAGTCCTGGGCTCTAGCAGATATTCTGGGTAACGCAAAAACCGACGAAAACTCCGCTTCTAAAAGTGGTCATCTCCGTAGATCTTCTCAAGCTCCTTCCGGCATAAGAGCCGAGATCGACAAGTCTGGGACTCACGGAGAACGTACCTCAACCGATCTACCGGGACAGGTCCACCACACCGTTAAGCTGCTGTCTAAACTCAGTGCTCACCGGTCTCCTGTATGGAGAGTCGACTTCGACGACGACGGTCAAATTCTAGGGAGCGTCGGAGATGAGGGCAAGTTAATATGCTACCGGCAACTTCCCGACGGGTCGTGGGCAAAGAGCTCAGAATTAGCCATGATGAAAGCTAGGATGACCGCACCGCCCGTCCACGTGGGATGAAGGGCCCGTAAACGACGACTAAACTCACAATACCATGATACCCCGCATCGAAATAAACGAATAGAACTAAACGATCGCTCAATATGGATAGAGTACCTTGGGTGGTGTGGTTGAGAGGACCCCTTATTCTTATAGAGCTAATCAAACAAATTATACATAAATATTCAATTTTTGATCCCTTGCTCAACGTTATAAGGAATCGCAATTCCACGCTCGCCCATTCCGGAAATCTCAGTGAGCTCTTATATTACAAATAAGTACTCGCTGAAACATGCGCTCCGCTTGAACGATTAAATATCATCACCCTCTCCATTATTTCCTCTTTAATTTCTCAGACTATCACTTTTTAAACACCAAGTCAAACACAAAATATAGCGTACTTCACTTCATCAAAACAAGGACCACTCCAAAACAGTATTTATTACCTAACACTGGTTGCATATATACATCTATCTAACTGTATATACCTATACAGCTGCAGTACAATGGTTGCAGGGGTTATAGGTAGCGTACATACCAGTAACCCACGTGGATCCCCTGACGTCAACACTCCAGCATAATCGCATACATTCATTCCTCACGATTCTAGAGCAGACGTTGACCGCCGCTTAAAACTAAAGATGCCGTAAATCCGTAGAAGAAATATCTTCGAATGTTTTCGAGAAGGGGGGAAATAGACAACCTACCCAAGACAGTTCGTCTGTTACTCAAACGGGAAGTGTGGTCTCGCCACTTTTTTTTCGATCGATCACGAGTCTTAATTTGTTAGTGTAGTCTTGGACCCCTTTTATAGCTCCAATTCCCCAAGTCCCCCAAATCCCATGTCGCTCGTTCAACATGTCACCGCAAACGAGGGCATCGACCGCGTAGCCCCAAGAATACGAAGAATACGGAGAGGAAGAGACTCTATGGCGCACCCCGAGTAGGTTACGACGCCTTCGGCCACAGAGACGATACTGCCACTATGGCCTCGCAAGAGTCTCTCTTACTCGATTCTATTCCTGCTTATGAGGTCCCCGCTGTGAAGAGAGCAGGTAAGTAGCTCCATCTCATATCACCTACCTATGGATAATATAACCTAACCTAATTGACCCCTTCTAGCCCAAGTCGCGTTCGCCATCGTATCATGCTGGTTCGCCGCCGGCATCGTATACGGTTTCGCATCGCTAAAACCCGTGTTAATCGACGAGGGCGTATACGACTACCTTTGCTCTCACGATGGCCGCGATGAGAGCGGCATTAGTGACGACGGTACTGACTTGGTGCCCTGCGCGGCGCAGGATATGCGTCTAAATCTATTCTTCATTGTCGCGTCCACCACGACCAATGTCTCGTCCCTAGTCGTTGGATGGGCTCTCGACCGCTACGGACGTCGCCCATGCTATGTTATCTCGGGCATATTGATGATCGCGGGGTGTGTGCTGATGGGACTCGCGTTTAAGATCTCCCAATTTGACGGGTACTTGGTGGCCAACATATTGTTAAGTCTAGGCGGGACATTCGTGTTCATCCCTAGCTACCAGCTTGCGAATGCATTCCCGCGATACTCGGGTATTATCGTCGCGCTAGTGACGGGTGCCTTCGACGGCTCCGCTGCTATATTCTTATTCTACCGGCTAGCATGGGAGTCATCGGGCCGCACCTTTACGCCCTCGCATTTCTTCTTAGCGTATACGACTGTGGGCGTGCTACTTCTTGTAGGAGAGTTTACGCTCATGCCTCCGCGAGCATATCACTCGGCGTCTGAGAACGAGCGCAAGCTTGAGACAGGGCAGGATGAAACAAGAGACGTACACGACTCAGACGACGACCTTGAAGATCCTGACGAAATCCAACGGGTGAGGAATGCACGCTTGGAGCGGCGTACTGCTAAACTCAAACGGATTAAAGAATTAGTAGGCAATGAGACGGAGCGCGAGACTCGCCTGCAGGTTGAGCAGAAGCGGCAGGCGGCCAGTGGTATCTGGGGTATCCTACACGGCCTACCGGCGCACCGGCAGATGATGACGGGGTGGTTTATTCTCCTCCTACTACTGACGGTATTACAGATGCTGCGTATGAACTTTTTCATCGCTACCATCCGCGCCCAGTACCGGTACTTATTAGAATCAGAACGGCTCGCCGAAAAGATCAACCACTTCTTCGACGCGGCGCTGCCCGTAGGAGGGGTCTTTGCGACGCCGTTTATCGGACTCCTGATCAATAGCTTGAGCGTAGCAGCAGAATCAGCTGTATTGACCTCTTTCATTCTGGTCGTCGGGGTACTCAACTGTCTCCCCCAACTATGGGCCGGGTACGCGACAGTAGTAGCCTTCGTATTATTCCGGCCGCTATACTACAGCGCGGTCAGCGACTTTGCCACTAAAATATTCGGCTTCGGAACCTTTGGCCGCATCTACGGCACCATTATTTGCATGTCGGGTCTCGTTAACTTCGCGCAATCAGGCCTCGACGCGCTGATGCACGGCCCGCTACACGGTGATCCGACGCCGATCAACATCGTCTTTGCGGTAGCCGGTACGATCCTTGGCGCGACACTGACTGCTTACGTCGTCATCCGGGGCCGGTCCTTCAGGCGAAAGTTACAGCAGAATGCAGCCGCTGGGATGATCCAAGAGAGGCTTCATCTAATACGGGAAGAAAGGGAAGCGGAAGAAGAATGCTACAGCGCAATAGATTAATTAGTAGTTCAAATTGAAGAGGACCTGAAATAGTAGTGGATAAGATGTTGTTGTTTTGGGAAAGATTCTAATACTCCACTTTCAAGTGGGAAATCTTATATATACCCCTTTATATACCCCTTATTATTATTACTCCTTCCCACAAACCCAACCCTCAAAAAAGAAAAGCGATAATTACCTAAAATATAGAGTACCGTATACCTTGGGGTAATATGAATAAATATCTATATACCTACATATAACCAAGACGCCAGAGGGTAACATGGATAAATACCCAAAAAAGGATCGGATCCTGAACGGTGTGATCAAGAATCGATACTCAGTGAATAATACAACATAATTTTATATTCTCTCCCCCCCCTGCAACGCCTTTATCCAATTCCAAGACTTAGCCGACACACCTTCTCCATGCCGCAGAGGCAATCCAAAAGGTATGCTAGGTACTAAGGAGAGCCATTAAAGTCTTAGAGGGTATTTCTCTCTTAGCTGCGCACCAAACTTGAATATGATGATAGGGATAGGGATCATAGCCACGCTGACAAAGCCAAGAACGGAGCTCCCCCAGCCTACCCCTAGGTTACCAAACAGTGCCGGTCCGCATAGAGGAAGAAACGCAGCAATGACGCTGCGCAAGACAGTGAAGGCAGCTATCCCCGACGCAGCGTACGAAGGATAAGCGTCGATAATATAGGCTTGTGTAGGCATGAAGACTCCAATCACACCAAAGCCGAGAGGAAGCAGGCCTAGGACCGGCACGATCCAGTGCGTCTTCATCTGAGCTGACCATCCGTACCAGAAAAATGAGAGCGGGCAGAGGAATGAGTACCAAATCATAATGGTTAAGCGGAACTCCGGTTGGAATGCTCCGCCGTTAGCTTTCGTCAGGCGGACTACTGTTCTGTCTGACATCACTGAGAAAATCCAAAGGCCGACCATATAACCCACGCCGATAGAGATAAAAACCAATCCGGAGATACCGGTACTCCATCCGTAACGAGTTTCGAAAGTCGGTGGGATAGAGTTATACATCAAATAGACGCATCCGTAGATGAAAGATACATATAGAGACTGTATAAAAATCATAGGCGTCAACACAAGCATCTTCAGTGGCCGCAGCATACCAGCTCTCATGATATTTAGTTGAGATGATTTTCCGGATCCAGCATCGTAGCAAGTCCTAAGGTCCGTTCGCTTCAGCTCTTTATTTAAACGCTTAGCCTTCCGTTGTAAGAGGACGTTGTGGTTCGTCTCGGGGAGGAAAATGGCCAAAATGAAAGTAATAATAGCAGACGGGATCAGCACGATCCAAAACGACCAACGCCATCCAATAGATCCGGCAATGAAAGCACCTATTATTGGGCCTACTGTTGGCCCTATGAGTGGTCCCAACATCCACAGAGAGAGAGCCATGCCGCGCTTCTCGACGGGGAATAGGTCGCCAATGATGGCGCCTCCGAGTGTCATGCAGCCGCTACCTCCAATACCAGCCAGGAATCGAAATCCTATCAGTATCGCGAGACTAGGGGATAAAGCACATCCGATATGCCATAAGCAGAAGAAAATATTAGAATAAGTGAGCACGTTGCAACGGCCAAAGATCTCAGAAAGGGGGGCGAGTAATAAAGGTCCCGTGGCATAACCCAACAGATAAATGCTGACTGGGAATGCACCATACGTAGCGTTGGAGTTATGGAAGTCTTTGCTGATGTACTCGATAGCGGGAGCTAGGACGGACGATGAGAAGGGCGACATAAAAGTAATGGCCGACAGCGCCCATACAATTACCCACTTCCGGGTCGCTGAGAAGTTTAAGGGCATCTTTGGGTCATCTTGACTCTCCCATCCAACGATAGAGTTCTCAAGATCGGAAAGCGGAAGCAAGGTAGGCGCAATTCCATCCTCCTCCTTTGGAGTAGATGGGCTCTCTTGACCCTCTTCGTTGTCGAGTTGTGTGAGCCTGCCTGGGGTCTCTCTCGCTAATCCACTTGTAGAGCGAACTTTTCGCATCTGGTCCCGATCGAGGGTGAGTTTTCCAGTAGAGTAGGCTGATCGTATTTGATCTTGATCTAAGACAAACGAGAGGCGAACTACATCCAATGATGAACGCACTTCGTTCTTCATCCGCGCTACCTCAAGTCGTATATCCATCTTCTCTTCGTCTGTTTTTGAGGCATGACTACTATCGTCTGTTCCAGTCCCAAGCTTTTGCGAATCGCTTCGTTCCTTGTCCGGCTTCGAAGTACGGCTGCTCTCATCCGTAGCATTTTCCTGCTTCTGCGGACCGTCTTGTATTACATCCAGTTTGCGAGTTTCCTGATCTTCATCTTGTTTCGAGGTATTGTTACTCTCTTCTGGTTGGTGGGACTCAGTATCTGGTATCTTTGGTTCAGCTTCCTTCTCCTCATCAGAATTTGCAGGGGGAATGTCGTTGTTCTCTGCTCTAGTTTCAGTGTTCTGAGCCATGGCAGCAAGAGTTGGCCTGGTATTAGTGATGGCTATTAGAATAGGGAACGAAATGAGCCAATTCCACCAGAACATTATTATCAACAAGTAGACGCATCGTTACTTGAGGATTCAGTTTTGGTCTTAAGCCAGACTTAAGATAGAGATCAGAGGGCACGAGATGACATAACTAGGTTCTCAACCATCAGTCTGGGGTTTACGTGGAAAGCTTCTCGGGACTTCAAACAAACTTCCCGCTGCGAGAAATCGGGACAGGGCTTCAAGTAATATCCATTTCCGACGTCTGGTCACCGACTCTTGCAGTACCTAAGGTATAGGACTAGGTTACCTATTTGAATAGGATTAGGATACCTGTAAGACTTGAGGATTATGACCACTCGCGCGGGCCATGCTTGGTTACTTTCGGCAGGGAAGTCAATGGTAAGCTTGCGAGGATCAAGACAGTAGTTTGAAGTTTTGAGTGTTGGGATAGAGTTCCAAGTTAAAGCTAGAGATCAGCCGTGTCACTTAAGATGCCGAACCACAGACGTAAACACACCACCAGAGATCTAATAATTGTTGGTGATAGATAGAACTGATATAGCTTCAAAGGTCGTGAATTTGAGGATTTGATATGTTGAGATGACTGAGAAGCAGCACTGCAAATCATTCTGAAATTTACCAAACAAGCCTCATTTTTGATTAGATGGGGAGGATGAGAGGATATCACCAAATCGTATCCATAAGAGTTTGCAAATCAAGGCCATAAGAGGATGTGAACAAACAAGACCATGTCAATTAGGTAGTAAAGTGTAAAGTTGTTCTCGTGCGTACGTAAACTAAAGGAGATCTGACTTTGTGAAGTTAATTTCAGCCAATTTTACCGAACGGCCGGGTAGCAAATGCGACCAGGTGATGACAATCCCCCGTGCCTGCTGCCCGATAGGCAAACAGGTATACTATAAAGTTGACCAGACTGCTGCCAGATAAGGTTGTTATGACATAAAACTTGCAGGAGCTACTTCGTGATGCTTGCCTTTCTTGCAGTTGGTGTACTAAGACCCATAATTGAAGCTTTCTTACATACAGACCATACGGGCATAGATTCGTTGTACAAACGCGTGATTGGTTACAATCCGATCGGCAAGATCCACGTGCGTTTCAGTACCTAATGTAAATGCTGCATTAAGTAGCGTGTATCGTAATGTACATGTGTACTTCGTATTTGTCCACTGCAGCCTTAATTCGTAATTCGTGAACACCATCAATTAAGGCCACGACGCACCTCCCATTACCATCCGACTTGACTTTAATGTGATAACCCAAAGGTCGGACAATGGGGTTCCTCTCGCCGATTCCTTGACCTAACAATATTGGTTACCTCCTATGTTATGTCTGAGCCGCAAAGATGCCGACCGCCGCGCAATCCTCCCAGCTCTCCAACGCCGAGACCTTGTACCTTTCCAGCCTCTCGTTGGTTTGCGTCGCTGTCCTCATACGAACATTTGAGGGTGAAGGAGAACCTCTCGTCGCCTCCCTGGCCCTTAGTGGTATCGCCTTCGCTGCTTCCTATGCTATGATACGATGGCTCGGCCCGACGTTTATTAAAGCTGGTTTGAAAGGTCGCGATCTCTCCAAGGTGAACAATAGCAACTACATACCGGAATGCATGGGTGGTATATGCGCAGTGGTCTACCTATTGATCATCATTGTCTTCATACCATTCCCGTTCTACAAGGATATCGTGGTTGCTACTAGTGGTGGTGGAAACCGTGATGTCGTCAAGAACGTGGAATTTGTTCAGCAGGGAAGGTTACTTCACAAGTTTCCTCATAGCAAGGTACGAGTTATCAAGTTATCATCGCAAGTCTCATAGCAAGTCGAGTTAGGAATATAGGAATGACCAACTGACGAGTTCCTGTCTTTATACAGCTAGCCTCTTACCTCTCCGCCATCATCTCACTCCAGTCTATCACTCTCCTTGGAATTGGTGACGACTTATTCGATATCCGCTGGCGGCATAAATTCTTCATCCCGGCCTTTGCCTCCATCCCGCTTCTAGTCATCTACTTCATTGACTTCGGCGTCACTTCGATTGTACTTCCAACCTTTCTCCAACCTTATATCGGTCGCGAGTTATTCGATCTCGGAATCCTTTACTATGGATACATGTCAGCCTTTTCCATCTTCAGTCCCAATAGCATCAACATTCTTGCTGGAATCAATGGTATCGAGGTCAGCCAGAGTATTGTCATTGCGCTGCTTCTCGCATTCAATGATGCGCTCTACCTACTCACGCCATACCCTCATCCAGCTACTGACTCGCACTTGTTCTCCCTCTACTTCCTCTTACCCTTCCTAGGTGTGAGTTTCGCGCTGCTGATCCACAATTGGTATCCTGCCCGCGTCTTCTGTGGAGACACGTATTGTTACTTCGCCGGCATGGTATTCGTGGTGGTTAGTATCCTAGGCCATTTTTCGAAGACTCTGATTCTACTGCTGGTCCCTCAGATCTTCAATTTTGTCTACAGCACACCCCAGCTATTTGGGCTGATCCCGTGCCCACGTCACCGCCTGCCACACTTTAACGCGCGGACCGGCTTACTCGAGCCAAGTGTGACCAAGTGGGAAAAGGACAAGCAACCCCGTCTTATTATCGCAAAGGCCCTACGGCTATTGTCGCAGCTCAGGTTATTACGCCTCAAGGAGGATGAACAGGGTCTAATTGAGGAGACAAGCAACTTGACGATTCTGAATCTCTGGCTAGTCTGGAGAGGCCCGATGCGTGAGGATAGACTTGCCAAGGAGATCACAGCCATGCAGACGGTATTGGGCTTGTTTGGCCTTTTTGTCAGACACAAACTGGCCCTCCTCATCTTCAGGGAGGATAATCTAAACATTAGAAGCGCTGTTTAGCCAAAAGTTTGACTAGACTACTTCTGCAGATACCCATTGCATACCCGTTGCGAATTATTGTACAAATAATGAAACTCTAGCTGGACCACGTATATAGACTCAGGCAATTCGCCTAAACGCGAGATCTGATAGTAATCGGATCGATGATTTACAAACTACGTCCCATATTCCCTATTTCGTGAACTAGAACCCTGTACGAGCTAAACTTGGAAATATATTACCCTGTTAAGACCTGCAGTAGTCTCTCGAACAAGGGTTCAACATCCCGCTCATCATAGTCAAGGTCAAGACCTAGTGATACCCTGGCGAAGGATCCTTCCGATCTACACAGATCTATGTATCATAGGCTTGGTGAGTACTACATGATAAGTCAAGTCGTACGTCCAGTCAAAACATAGTGTTGTCTTAGTTCCGTGTCTTGCCTTAATAATAAGAGCCATCTACTTCGGATCAAGTCACAATAACGAGTCTTGTTCAAAAACGTACCTATTTACAGATATGTGTACCCAGGTAAGTAGACTATCGCTTATGCACTCGAAGGAATATCTTACATCATGCGAGCCTTTAAGGCCAGAAGATGATTGGCTCGAAGCAGCAAAAGTACTATACTCGATAGAGACGTCACTACATGTAGGTAGCTATGGATTAATACAGTTAAGACCCCACGTTATTACCACGCGTGAATCCGACATATATTATCTGTATGTATCTACATGTACCTACCTACCTAATATATGACGTCCCTCACCGCAGAAGAAATAGCGCACGGCTTTATCCGGATCGACTACCTACTATATATGTATACACATCTATATATCAATATACTTAGAGGTGAACACCATTTACGGAATCATGACACAACCGATATATCGATATGAGATACAGAAATGTTCCACATCCCCTATGGTTTACCGTGTACCATAGGAAGGCCATCTTCTGGCCAATCCAACATCCACCACAACTAACTTCTGTCCCCTCCCATCAGTCACCTACGAGTATCTAACTCAGTGAGACGCGTACCTTGTTCTAGTTAGACATATAAGGGAAGTAGTCCACATCATATGACCGACATCCCATCCATCTTGCTATACGTCAGGAGAAGTCAGGTGAGCCTATGGGAGGAGCTTACTCGCCACCCTAGATAATAGAACATATGCAAGCATCTAAGTTCGAATAGTTAAGAAGACATAATGTGATCTTTCATAAATCCCACTCAACTCGCATCGATATCCCATTTGAAATGGAACGAACCTATGCCGAGCTGAGCTAGTCTCACATTAGTTGTGAAGTTGCAGCTATCGACTTCAAGTAGTAGTACATATAGACATACGAATCTCTACACCTTTTGGACTCCGCCCATTCCAGTCCTCGTGACTACCGACTGCCTCAGAGTTGCATTCCGTATTGTCGGTACAACTTGAGCAGTCAGAATGGCCGACTCATCAACGTTCAAGTCCTGTTCATGTAAAATCCCACCAAGCCAAGCCGCGTGAAGCCCCTCGCGCCGTAACGCGTTAAGAATGATTCATACCGAATCTAATGAAAATAAATAAAACCGATATCTTTTGGAAGATCTTCATGCCGATGCCCTGTCGTGGACCGCACCATACCCCCCCATTTAAGACCTACCCCAACGCCTGACGTAGAAAATGACGTTACCCATTCGGCGTGTCCACCGCTGAGACCCCAGTACTCCATACGGAGACCTAAGGCCAAGATGCAATCAAGAGATACGCCTCGAGAGGGTGCTGTCAAGTATCTGGACGTCCCACTGTATATTACAAGTATTCCCGACTCGACATGTCGCTTCTAGTTGAAGCGATCATTCAGCGCTTTTATCAGCAACGGGAGCTTCTAGGGTAGTAATATCCGAGCTTGTTGGTGATTTAGCCTCCTCCAATACAATACTTGGCGGCTTCAAAGAGACTCCTGCTGGTTTTGTCGCCGCTGCCTTATTCATCCTGCTTTTCGTATAGTCGCTCAAACTCAGCTTCTTCTTGATTGGGCTAGGTTGAACCGCAACGCCGTTAACCGACGCCGGTGCGAATGGACTAGGTAGATTGCTACTGGAGAATGGCGACTGGGTTGGGGTCCCAGATGCAGACAACGGAGTCGTAACACTAGGAACTACCGTGCCATTAAACGCGGGGACAGGCGGCATTTGAACACGTAGTTCGGGCGACTTGTTTTTTATCGGCTTAGGTATTGCCGGAACCACAACCGGGGGACTTTTGGTATCTGTGGGCGACACTGGTGCATCCTCCATCGATGTGTCAATAGGTGACTCGACTTGTGGTGGCGTTGACTTATCCAGCTTTTCTGCTTCAGGGACGACCGTCAAGTTGTGCTCCACCTTCGGGGAGTCCAGGTCCATCTTGACAGTAGCGGACGTTATCGAAGTGGGAGAGGCGGAATGAGCCTTTCTCTTTCGTTCTTCATCTGCCCGCAAGCGATGTCGAGATTCCAGTAAACGCTTTGACAATGATACAACTCGTCTTTTTGGCTTTGGCGTTTGGCAGTCACCACTAAACCATTCACCATCGACCGGGTCCGTTTGAACGGAAGCATCGCAATACGCAGGTCGGGCTCCCTGGGAGGAATGTCGTGCAAGAGCCCGCGTAGAGAGGTTGCGCGGATCGTAATGTTTAGAATGACCAGTCGTGTGTGGCGAGACCGCGCTGGATGGAGAACCAGACATGCTCCTCGAAGTACCGGCGTCAACGTAACGACGTTCTACGACCCCATTAGAAAGACCTCCTGGATGACTAAACGAACCTCTCGGTTTTGACTTTGAGGTGGGATTTGAATTGCTAGAACCATCTGAAGTTCTTTTCTTCTTCCGTGGAGGTTGCTGCTGTTGTTCCATGCGACGGAACGAATCTTCAACCATCTGGACCTTTCGCTTATCTCTATCTGTGAGTTCTGTTAAGACGCCTAGCGTATCGAAAGAGCCTTGTCGTGGTGCTGGAGTCATATCTCGGCTGGGAGGTTTGCTACGCGAAGACCCAGAATCGTTATCCGCACCATCATCGCCGTGGCCCTCACTAGGGGCACGGCTATTAGTCGCGTGGCCGGTGCTTGTGGGAGAAATGGCGCTTGCTTTGGTCTTCCGAGATTTCTTTTTCACACCCTTGATTTCTTTTGATTGTTGTGGCTTGAGTATATAGGTTCGATGGAAACGAGCAAACGCGCAGTCCGGTCCCAAGTCGCACGCACACCCACCGTATTCTGAAAGAACAGCATGAACCCATGAAGCAATACTCTGGTATGTCTCCGTCTCTTTTTCATCATACTCGGGTTGAGTACCTGCTTCCTCATCTGCAAGACCAAGCAACTGTTCCCACCTCCGCGCTACGTCCTTCTGAAGATTGAACTCCCATGGGATCGTGATCTGCTCAGAAGGTAGTATCCGTCGATCGCTAACCAGCCAGAAGTGATACTCAGAACCATCAGATAAGTATGTATCTAGCACCGCATTTGGCTTACAACTTCGTCGTACATAGCGAGCAAGAGAGCCTTCTTTTCGGGTATCAATGTAAATAGGAAGCATGGGATGAAAGAAAACAAAAGGGAGCGGCGTGCTTAATTCTTGCCAACGATTTTCCGGGTCCTCGCAATAATCCTTTTGTATTCCGATTTGGCCGTTTAACTCCATCAAAGGTGTGTTCTTTTCGATTGTTTCGGACGTCCTAAGGTGCTGCCAGTGTACGATCGTATCCGGTCCAACGGGCAACTTCCTTGTCTCGATCCGTGGTAATGTTCTAAGGGAGTCAATATTTGGCGGTAGGGACTGGAAAACCTCGTCAAATTTGCACCCTGCCTCTGCTTTCAATCTATCGTGATCCCGCAGCCATAAAGATAGCACGTTAGATATAGAGAGAGTTGCAAAGGAATTTGTCTGGACGATAGGTACATCGCGGTCGTCTTTATACAGGTTTAAGAAAGCATTCGAATATTGTATTTCAAGTTCGTGGGGAATATCTGGAGGTGTTGTGGCGGGACTGGGCGGATGACCGTGGGGATTCCCAGTCCTTTGCCCGTACGAAGGGCTGCGTTTCGGATTTTGGGAACTAATTGATTGACTAGGCCGGTGTGTACTTTTGGACTTCTTATGTTGGTGAGTGGGAGGGTGGTCTTGAGAATATTTTAAGTTGGTATCGAAATTAATCTGGCCACTTGGCCCAAGGTCTGTTGGTTTGGTTTTCTTTTTTGTCGTCTTAGTGGGAGGTCGTTTAACTTTTCGTTCGGACGCCTCCATCGTACTGGGCTTGCTCCGTCGCAGTCGTTGTCTGTCGAAGGCACCTTGGCGATCGAGCGGTCTGGGTTTACACTCGACACACGAGTGTGCAAAATCTTCCCGTAAGGCCTCGTCGACGTTAAGTGGATAGTAGCATTCGATATGCTGCCAGGTATCACATGTTTCGCAATAGATAGTGTTCCCGTCATCGTCAGTGAAGTTGCAGATACACTTGATCGTGTACGGTTCTTCTTCGATCGCGCCCTGGACCTTATTCGAGACATAGTTCGGTAAGGTAGGGGTAGATTTTGGGCTAAGTACGACCGTCTGACTCGGAGTCACTGATTGCGTAGGCAAGGATGAGATCCTGTCTGTCATAATCTAACATGCACCCCACGAGGTGATTATCGGCGAGGTTTACGTAGGGAAATGGAGTTTATCGTAGAAGCCCGGATGGCATGACGACGAATCCGGGTCCGACGTGGATGTAGTCGACTTCTGGGGACTCGAATATTCGAAAACAGCTAGCCGGGAAATCATACGTCGGTGTCGAAGAGCTGCAGACCAGGGCGCGGCGCGTTGTGAGGATTGTTGTTATTGTTGTTGCTGCTGTGTGGTAGATCTGACACGTCCAGACTCGAAAAATGGGCGCAGATGAGCAGACAAAGAACGGTCCCGGAAACAAAAGAAAACTCGACGTCTTGACGTAGGACGGATAAGAGAGTCAAGTCGTCTGATCGTAAATATCAAGGAAGGAGTGTATCTCGATAGCGTGTGTTGAATAAAATGGTGAAATAGAGATTCAAGAACGTGGTCGCGAAAGGGACGTGGCGACGGGAAATGACAATTTCGAGCTTTTTCGTCTTCCTTGGCTTGAGAAAGAATGCGCCTCGGGGGTGAATGGAATTGGAACGGATCGGGGGCGAATGACGAGTTCGGAATTAAGTTAAGTTAAGTTTGGGAGTTTCTCGAAAGATTCGACGCTTGGGGACCAGGAAGATGTAATTCGTGTTTGACTTGTTCGAGGAGATTGAGGATGAGGGACGGGAAGAGAATTGAGGAGTACGAGAAGGGAGAGAGTAGAATAGGTAGACAGGGTGGGAAAGAGAGCGAGAATGCGCACCAAGCAAAGAGAGTGATTACCTTACCTAGGCCTGGCTAGGTACCTCTTACCTACTACCCTACCTGTCTACTACCTCCTGCTGGACTGGCCTGCCCTGCAAGAGCGGAGCGGAGAGGTAGCGCGAAGCGTTGCAGGGCACCCGCAGCTTCTACTGACAATTTTGAGTAGTGGTGCGTGCACCAGCACCAGCACCAGCACCAATTGGCATAGGAGCGAAAACGGGAAAAAATTAGTGCCTGGGAAGGCCAGTAAAAAAAGAGTAGTACATACTAATGTACTTGTACAATAGTGCTGTGGTGCAGCAACAGTGCCCCATCACGGCTCTTGTGTGGCTGCTGCTCAGAGCGGGTTATGCGGGGCCACTTTTTCTCTTTTTGCAAGATTGAATTTTTTGGTGCTGGAACCACCTAAAAAAAGGGCCCCTTCGAAACTCACTCGGGTCAGCCATCACGCTGGTGAGGACTGCGGTACTTGCAACCAGTAAAAAGCGGGGAGATATTGAAAAAGTGAATAGAGAGCGGAGGCAGGAAGGAAATCAGATGGAAAGCGTTGAGACACACCAACCTATTACCTATGCCTGTGTACATTAGTGAACCATACCCAAAAATAATGATAATAAAAATAATGATAATAATAATAATAAAAGATAACGATAAGAAAGCATGGGCCATATGATATCAAGTAAAAATTTGCGCTTAGCTACAAAAAGCAAAGCCCAGAGAGGAGGAAAAGGATTGAGGGAGAGGAGAGAGTGCGCAAGAGCGAGAGAAGCTGAAGCTGGGGGGAGAGAGGGAAGCAACTCATCTGCAGTGCATTGCGTATTGGGCAATCCTCGAGACAGACACTAATCCGAAAAAGGTATAAGACCACAGCACACAAATTTGGACCAATGAAAATAGCCGCTTATGCTTGTACTTCCTGCAACCTTTTCTACCAGGCCATCAAAGAAATGGACTCCGGCTTCCCATCACCACAGCCCCGGGGGAAAATAGCGTGTAAAAAGGAAGGGCCGTCATTTCTTGTAACGAGTCGATCAAGTCGGGTTCAATGGTCGACGAGTAATTTCTGAATTCATATCAAAATTAGCCAACTGATTCTTCAAGCCATCCTCGAAATGATTTATTTCAAATGAGTAAAATTATTTCCGGCGTGATCTAGAACAAATCATTGTGACGATGGTAGAATACGTAAAGTGTAGGGAATTAAGGAAAAAAAAAATCCACCTTAGTCTTGGTGATTGATAGAGTGATTGATGGAAAGGGCACAGTTGGGCGGCACGCATAGTAGTGGATGAATATGTCTTCGCAGGTACAAGCCTGCAATAAGAGGGGAAAGGAATTTATGTCATGATGAAAGAATAGAGAAAGTTAGGTCTAGGTCATCCTTGACACAGTGCGTAGCAAGGGGGAGTAAGGGAGGGTAAGATAGCCAATTGTTGGCCACGATATGACTGGTTTGGATGGTTAGCCGAAACTTGAAATCGCATAAGGAAAGGGTGGGGTTTCTAAACTTGTGCAGATGCAACGGTTAATCATTCCGTTTATGTATTCCGTATTGCAATACGGGAAGTTTAATATACCGTTACAAATAATCTAAGATACGGACTACTTACACTACTAGATCAAGTACCTTACATACGTACGCGCCCAGCATTTGTAGGTACCGCACTTGTAACAAGTTGAGTTCCGACGTAAAAAAAAGAACATAAAGTTTTCAACTCGGAACACGAACGCGTCGGCGGAACATGTGAAAAATCGTACCTATCTCGTCATCCTTGTATCAATTTACTATTAGCTAGCATCAGGTTGCTTTTGCTCACCAATTAAGTATTACGAGGGACTTCACAAGATTCGGCAAAACTTTTCTCGTGGTCGTGATAGATAACGGAATAATGATTCATCTCTCATTTGCGTGCGTACTCGCAAACTACGCAAGGTCTGTAACAATTAAAGATCTGGGCCGCGTGAGATAAAACACTTTCTGATGAAAGCGGGGGAAAGACTCCGGTACCGTTACTCTGTGCTATATTCCACCGACATATAATTGGGCTGTTTGCTAAGAGACGAGTTCCTGGCATCCAAGGTCTGTCCAAGCCTATGTAAGAGCTGGGCGTTCCGTTTCGCTGCGTTGACCCGGACTTGCGGCATTCATCCTGTAAGATGATCGTGTGATAGACCCTAAAAACTCCTATGATTCGTGGGCAGACAGGCAGAGCCTCGCTTTGGAAGCATCACAGATACATATGATACATATGGCTGCTTCGGGTGCATTTTCTTGACCGCTTCTCTGGTTGCTGTTCATCCGTTTGCGTATAAGAGACGAAGCTGTTTGGCTGTATATGTATCGATCAATACGGCAGTGTGCGTTGAGCGTCTCGGCCAAGATCCGATACTTTAGTTTACAAGGTCTCGATGGTCATCATCGGTTGCATCCCGGCCTACAAATGCATGACATCGTGGCTATGCTTGCAAGTCTGATCTCGCATGCCCAATCATCAGTCTGTGCATAGTCCAGAAGCCTGCATACATAAATCTTATCATCCCCAAAACTAGGCAGAAGTTCTGAGAGGCGCTTCTACGACTATGTGTACATTCATTCAGTACTCTCACTTTTCCTATGCTGACCGTGGTAGCACGACTTTGCAATTCCGATGGCAGATATACCGTATCATAAAACATTTAAGCCCGGCAGACACCTATACACACCGCAGTGAGCAATATATTATATTGATGTAACTGCTACGTGAACAATCAATGGCTCGTTTCATACGACCAACATACATGCCGCGATATTATCATTTATGGTGAATAAAAGCTGTATAGCTTCGGGTAGGGTCAGTAGTATTTATGAAGCCTTAAATTGTCAATGCCAAACTGTGAAATTTATTAGAAGCAAAACCGATCGGCATGCCAATGAATCCAGTGAATTATCCAACTATATTCCTCATAAATATAGGTGCAGACGCACGAGATCTCTTCGTCCTCTTAGGTCTGGAATGGGTTCAAGTGAAACCAACCTTCCGCGGGGTACCAACGCTGCCAGGGTGACCGTCCATGCACGCACATATTAAATAGCTCCAGATAATCACCTCGGTTTGGAAGGGTCTCTCATGTTCATCTCACTTTTGAGATTTCTTAATGTCAGCCTAATATAGTTTGATGGAATTTCAATTCGTAAGACGCCAGTCTCTTGAAACGCGTCATTTCACCCAAAGTAAACGAATGCGGCCGTGCAGGTATAGCTGTATACTAAAGACTCGTTTAGAGGGGTAATGTTAAGTATGAGTTATATATGAGCACGTATATCTCTTATAACCGCATCCAATAGTTTTCCTAATCACCCTGGTATTCAATCCGAGTCAGCAAAAAGGGCAAGCTTAGGACCGAGTTGTCAGCCCTTTAAGCCTTTATGGGGGAAAACTACGAAGGTATGCCTACTCTCCATATATATGATCACCGTATCAAGATAGATTTAAAAGTAGTACAAGTATGTAAGAGCGAACAAGATGATACTAGGCTAGTCCCAGATCGTTGAGAGCCAACTGATATCGAGGTTGGACTCAACACCACAAGGTGGAGACCGCGCTGTTGGGAGTTTATACTAGAGTTGTATTCATTATTGAGAGTAACAGTTGAGGAACTTGGGGTTTATATTGTTCTTAGAAATATAATTAAAGTACTTTGCTTCTAACTACGTCGTGCAATACAAACCTCGAGCGGAGAGATACTTTATTTTGACTAGGAGTATGTTTCCATAATACTGTTTGCTCCTATCTTCATGTCTTGGGTCAAAACTGTCATGACTAATGCTCTTGATCGCCATCTTGGTAGCTTCGTCGATAAAGCAAGCTTATAACTGCCTGGTATATTTGTTATCGCTGCTCATATCAAATGCGAATGCATTACAAGTTAGATGCTGGTCTAGATTATGGGCCCTCGGATTGTTGATAACACTGTTGGTAACAGAATCTCTCTTCAATCTCGCATCCCGATAGACCAAACCACTTCAAAGTCGCCTTGTATTCGGACGCCTAAGGATACGCCGGGAATCGCGAACGGGAAATCGTAAGCCCTTCGTCTTCTTCATAGCACCGCGTAAAGCGACATCCATAATGAAAACAGATGCAAGACAACAAAAATTACGGGAACTACGATCCACGAAGGATAATAGAAGAGGGTTAACTCCGCAATGTGCAATGCAGGTTTCCCCCCTTAAGAGTCCTTATGCTTGAGCAAGGACTCTTCTCCCAAGGTAAGTATGAAGAAGAAAAGAGAAAAGTTCCGTTCGAAAGGAGAGGAAGGAGACGGCCTTTTGTACCCATACGAAACCTGCGAGCTCGGTCCACATTGAAAATGGGTATCTCCGTACCTAAAATTGGACCTTTCCTTTTAGGGTTAGATTTTATATAATCCGAAGATCCGGCATCAGATAGCAAAACCGTTAAATTAACTCGAAAGTAAACCCACTATTATTTTTCTTTTTATTGTTTAACGTCTTTAAGTTAAAGCAAATTTTAAAGTTAATTAAAAAAACTTTCCTTTTACTTGTTTACGTTACATATTTTCGGAGGAAAGTTTTTACTTTTAAATTTCAACCGGGAAAAAAAGGCTTAAAATTCAAGTATACGAATTAATTAATAAAAAAATTAATAAAATAAACTTTTAATTAATTAAATTAACTATTATAAAAGTGGGTAAAAAATGTACTTAATTAAATTAATAAACAATGTTAATAAAAAAACTAATAAAAAATAAATATATATAAGTTAATAATAAAATTAATAAAATAAAATTTATAATTAATAAATATTATTTATAAGTAAAAATATAAGTTAATAGTAAAACGTTGTAATAATTAATTAATTAAATAATATATTAAATTTTAAGTAAATATATTAAAAAGCCTTAAAATTAAAAGGGAGGGTTAATTAATTAAAAGGGTGACTTATAATTTATATTATAAAAAATAAAGTTATTTATATAATTAATTAAATAAAATGTACATATTTAATTAAAAGCCTCGGGATTACGCTTTAATAAACAAATTAATTATATTAAATATAACTTTAAATTTATATTATTTTAATATATTAATTCGATTTTATATAACGGTAAATTATGTGGTTTTTTTTAATTGTAATTTATATATACGCGTTTAACTTATATAATTAATTAATTATAAGTAAGGTTTAATGTAACTTAACGTGGTTAAACTTAATAAAAAAAAGCTTTAACGTAATTTTTTAAGTAAAATTTTTTATATATATTATACCATCTTTTTACTCGAGATTTAATTTTTTATTTCTTTTATAACTTTTTTTATTAACATTATATAATTTTCTTATATATATTAATTTACTAGTATTATAAACTTTACTTTTAAGTTATAAAAGGTTTATTATAATTTATACGGCTTTAAAAAAAGTTATTATTAAATATGTATTTTTTAAATTATTTTATTTCTTTTATATATATAATTTATTTATTTATTTTATCTTTTAAAATTATATATAAATATAACTTTTTTCTTTTTTTTTAAAGTTAAATATTCTTTATTTTTACATTTTTTTTTTTCATTATTTTTAACATTATATATCTTTAAATTTATTATTAAAAATTAATATTATAAGCTTTACTTTTTATTATTAAAATCGTTTATATAAAGTTATTATTAAGTACATATTTCTTAAATTATTTTATTTTATTTATATATAATTTATTTATTTATTTTATTTTTTAAAATTATTTATATATAAGATTTTTCCTTTTTTTTAACTATTTAACCGTTTTTTCTTTTTATATCTTTTTTTTTAACCTTTTTTAATATTATAAATTTATTATTTTACTATTTAAAAGGTAATATTATAAATTTTACTTTTATTTTAATAAGGTTTTTTTAAAATATTTAATAATAAAAGTAACGGCGTATAAATTTTAAAAAAACATGGCCGATTTTATTAATAACTTTTTCCTTTTAACTTATAATAATATGTTTAATATTATTAAAATATGTTATAAATTAAATTTAAATTTATTAAATTTAATTGTATAAGTTAAGTTATTATTATTTACGTGTTATATTAATAAATTTAAATATATTAATTTTTATTATTAATAACTTAATTTTAACCGGTTTATAAATTAAATTAATAATAACTTATTAACGTAAATAATTTATAAATATAATTAATATATAATTATTAATTTATTAATGTTAAGGTTTTAATAGTTAAGATTTTAATAACATTTAAAAAACGCGTTAAATATATATAATTATATAATATACTTATTAAAATTAATACCGAAATGTTAATGTATTACCTCTTTTTTTTATATCTTTTTTATATATTATTTAAATTAATTTACGGGAAGATTTTAATGTTAATAACTTTTTACTATTATTATTATTATTACCATTAATATAACTTTTAATATAACCATTTATATAACCGGTATTAAATTTATTTAAATTATTAATTATTAATAATGTAAATTTAATTTTACTTTAAATTTTTTATAATAATTTAATTTAAAATATTTAAGAATCTTATATTTATTATAAAAAATAATAATTTAATATATGGTTAAAAAATGGCATATATTATAGTTATATAATTTAAAATATAAATTTAAAGTCGGGTAATATATATTTTTTTTTAATTAATAATAACTTTAATTTTAATATTATATTTAAATTCCTCTCGATATTAACGTAAATAAAAAAAATGGTTATATTTCGGTTTTATTATTTTATTAAAATCTGTTAAATTAAAAGTTTATAATATTATTATAAAGATTATGTTTATTATTTTTTCCGGGATATTAACTTTTTATATTAATAATTGTTAAAGTTATTTAAAGAGTTTAATATTATTATATTATAACCGATTAACCTTTAGTTATAACGGTAAATTTATTAAAATTTCCGAGTTTACCGAAGGTATATTATATAATGGCTTTATTTTTTATAAAAAAACCATTTCGGTTATTAAAATATCGTAATTAATAAAAAGTAACTTTTTTAATTATTAAAAGATAATAATATATTGTTATAATTACCGTTATATTAATTAAATGGTAATAATAAAGGTGTTAATAAAGGTATTTTAAATAATAAATTTACCGCTTTTATAAATAAATGTAATATTTTTATAATCTTTGATTTAATTATCTTATAACCGTAATTTAATATTGTATAAAAATTTATTAATAAATTTTATATTATACTTAATTTATTTAATATTTAATTTATCTTTATATTTAAGTTAAATAAAATTTAAGTATTTTTATCTTTTATATTTTTTATTTTTTACTTACATGGCGTAAGTAAATTTATGACTCTTTAATTTTATAATATTAAATTTATAAATTATATTAAATATACTTTTCGATAATATAATAATAGATTTGCCTTTTACCCCCGCTTTTATTATATGGCCTTTAATATATTATAACGTTAATAAGTTAATAATTAAAATATATTTTATATTAATTAAATGGGTTTAATAAATTTTACTAACGTTAATAATATATAAGTTATTTTTAATAAAAATATTTTAAAGGCGTAAATATTATTTAATTTAATAATTTAATATATTATTAACGTATTAAATATTTAATTTTATTAAATAAACCGGTAAATAAAATTAAATTTATAAATTAATATATTCGAGTATTTAACGTTATTTTTCATTTTTAATGTTATTAATATGTAATAAAATAACTTTTATCGGCTTTTACCGAAATATTTAAAATAGTAAAACGCCGATAAAATTTTTAAAATTATTATAACTTGGAATAATTTATAATTATATTCCCATGTTACCGTTTATTACTTTTATATTTAATTTACGAAATTTTTTAAAATTATAATTTTAATTAAATTTAAGATTAATAATTTTTAATATTAATTTAAATGGTAAAATAAAGGTAATTTACATATTTATACTTTATTATAAAGTAATAAATAAAATTTATAAGTTACCGTTTATAATATATTAATATCGGAAAGTTAAAAGAGTTTTACCCGAGTTTAATTTAAATATATTATAATTATAAATTTAACGTTAAATTAAATATTTATAAATAATTTATTTAACCTTTTAATTAATAAAAAGTTATATATCGTTACGTATTTATAAAAGGTTATATAATTTATATAAATTTACATGTATAATTTAAATTATTATTTTTAATTACCGAAAAAAAAATATAACGTTAAAAACTTAAGCGTTAAACTTAAGGTTATTACGTGGGTTTTAAATAAAAAAACAACTTATTTATTAAAGTTTTAAAGGTTTTAAATATTTATTACGGTTTTTTAACATATTTCAAATAAAGGTATTAAATTATTTTAATATAATTACCGTTTTTATTATTTTTATTTATTAATACCGTTAATTAAGATTAATAAATCATTAAACCTTAATTATAACAACTTTATAATTAAATAAAATAATTTAAAGTTAAACTTATATAACGTTATCGTTACGATTAAATAAGGCGTTAATATAAACATGACGCCGTATATTAACGTATATATTATAAAAGTTTATATTATTAAATATTATTTTAAAATTAAAATATTTACTTAAGTTTTTATTGTATTAACCGCTGAAATTATACCTCGTCTTAATAATTAATCTCCGCTTTTATTATTTATAATAAAGTTTATAAATAAAGTACTTAATAAATGTAATATTTTAAAATAAAAGATAATACATAAATTACTTAAATATTCGTTATAAATAAATTTTTATACCATGTTTTAAATAAACTACCGGTTTAATTCCGAAAATACTTAACGTTTTATAATTATTAACAAATAAATTCGAGAGTTAAATTTTTTATTTATTAAATATTATAACCAGTTTAATACATTATTATAAGTAACATTATTTAAATAACTTACTTAATATAATTAAAATTATCTTAAGTTAATTTCTTAACCCCGGGTTTAAAACCGTATCTTTATATATAACTTAAAATATAAGTTAAACAAAGATTAACACGAAGATTATTACCGAATTAAGTTTATATTACACTATTTTTTTTAAGAATTTATTAATAAAATAAAAACCGTTAATAATATTTAATATAAAACATATACCGTTATATATACCGTATATAATAAATAACATTATAATAACCACTTTTTAAATTATTATAAAAAAATCTTAATCTTTATTAATTACAAGGAATTTTAAAATAAAGATATTTTTATTTAAATGGTTTATAATTTATAAGATAAATTAATTAATTTTTAATTAAATAATTAAAAATATAATATAATTTAAAATCGATTAAAGTATTAACTTAAAGATATTTAATATAATTAAACCTTTTAAATCGGTAAATACTTAAATTTTAATAACGGAATTAATTATTAAGTTAAAATTCGGTAATAATATAATAATTTTAATGCTTACGTTATAAATGTTTTTAATGGTATTAAAAATACGTTAAATATAAAGTAATAAAAGTTTTATAATTTATATATAAGTTATTACCGGGATTATCTCGCGGATATAAATTTATTACCGTTATTAATTAACATTAATAAATTAAATAATAATAAAAAAACGTATATATTAAATATTCTTTCGGTATATTTGTAATAATTAACATAAAAATATAATATATAAAACTTAATCTTTCGTATCGCGTTTACGGGAATAACAGTTAATATTATCAACAGTTATATTTTTTATTCCGCTTTTCGGTTACCGGTGTAAAGTGTATTTAACTTTTTATTAATTATAATATTAAACCGGGTTTAACATAAATTTAACGTTGTTTGATACGTTTTTATTAATAAAAAGTTTATAATTAATTTAAAGATTTTTTATTAAATTAACTTTTAATTTAAAAAGATTATAATAAATTTAAATATAATTATAAGCGGTTTAAATGTGGTTATATTAAATAACTTTTAACAATTTTTTTTTATTAACGGCCGATTATTATTTATTTAAGATTTTATTAACGTTAGTTTTAAAGATATAATTAATTATGTAATATACGAGTACTTTAATTAAACGATTTATTTATTTATTATTATATAATAATAAGGCTTTAATTAAAAAATTTTTTATTAAATTTTAAAAATTATTTACTATTTTTATGTAAATTAACTTAAATAAAAGTTATTAAACGTTAAAATATAAGTTAATTTAAGTTTTACCGAGGTTAATTATTTTAACATGGCTTTTCGGATTTTTCTTTAATATAACGTTATAAATAAATATAATTATAATTATTTATTATTATTTAATTACCCGGTGAAAAGCGTTAAAGTAATCGGTATTAATTCGGGTTAAAAATTATTTAATGTTTAATTAACCGGTAATTTCGAATGTTAATTACCCGTAATTATTAACGCGTAATACATGTTAATGTAAAATATTTAAGTAAGTTAAAGCTTTATAAACGGGTTCGTTAACATTATTAAAAATTTCGCGTGGTTAAAAGGCTTTAATTTATTTACTTTACCTTTTTTCGTTATTTTCGTTTTTTTTTTCGGCTATATTAAACCTTTACTTTTTTATACGAAATAAAGTAAAATAATAGTTTTTATTTTTCGCTTAATTTATTCGTATAAAGTTAATAATAAGTTTTATTAACGAAGTTAATTTCCGTTAATAATTATTTTTATTATTATAATTTATAAAACTTAAAGGATTATTTATAATTAAACTATATTAAATATTTTTAAAAAAAAATTTATTACCGGTTTTATTTATATTATAATATTACGTATAAAACAATTAAATAATTTAATGTTTATTGTTTTTTTTAACTTAATTACATTATAACATAACTTTAATAAATTAATTAAATCGCATGTTATAAATTAAAATAAACGTATTAATTAAATTGTGTAATTTTTAATATAAAATAATTATTTATTATAAGTAATAACCCGTTATTAAATACTTTTCGAAAAGGCCGTTAAAGGTATTAAAAGGTATTAAAAGGTGTTTTTTTATATTAAAATTAAAATTTATATATAAATGTTATTATAAGATAATTATTTTATAAATCTTATTAATTATATGTATAATTACGAGGTATAGCCACGTAACCTTTTAATTTTTACATATATCGTATAATTAAATATATTACCTTTTTTATATACTTATATTAAATTTAAAATCGTAATAAAGTTATAATTTTTAAGTTATAATAAAAAAGTTTTCGTCCTTAAAATAATGCTTGCTCGATTTTCACATTGTCTAATTATGTCAATCTGTATGTACTGTACATGTACATCTTTGTAGGTACCTCATATAAGGACCTTCGTCATAGGTAAACTTTGAGCCTCCAATATCAATCAGTCGGAACAGCTTCCACATGTACGAGACATCGCCGTGAAAGGTTCATTCTGTTAGTCAACTCACGAATCTTTATATCAATATGGGCCATAGCAAAGTCATACTTCCAAATGGATTAACTACTATTTAGCATTATACATTACACATTAGGGTTTCCAATCCTGCTAATATCAAAACCGCATAGGAAGCGGCAATGTCTGACCCCATAGCACTTAAGAAGTTAAGCTGAACCATGATAGCTTCTGGGATCTTATACTTTAACGAATCCTGCGATTGTCCAGACTGGTGTCGTATCGATGACCCGGCATAAGAAGCGGCAGAAACCCCGATTTTGAAGAATTTTCAGGCGATGCCGGTCGTGGGTCTGGGGACTTCCCAGGCCCTAGCTTTGCGCCAGGAAGATCCCCCGAGTTTTCCTCCTTGATAATATCCGCGGCCTGTTTATTCATCATTGTCAATACTGTTGCCTATTCATTGCCTCATATAGAGTGGGATAAGTCATACCTTTTCAGCAATAGCGTATATTGCGGCCTGGATATGTGCGCCAGGTAGCAGTGGTATAACGCCCGCATCTACGACTCTCAAGTTCCTCGTACCATATACTCTGAGCGACGGGTCTACTACTCCGCCGTAGGCCAATGGTAACATTGAGGTTGTGCCGCTTAGATGAAATCCGGTAGTAATCTTCCTCCGCATCGTCTCGTCGAGCGCTGTCTTGTTTCGTGCTTCCTCGATGCCAAAGCCTGGCGGAGGCACTGGCTTCAATGCAGCCATTGGCGGTGTCTGGATAAGGCGATCATTGAATTCAAGCCCGAAGAGTAGAAGCTCGCAGTCGACGGGATTTGAACAGAATCGTGGATTAATAATGGGCGGAGAGTTTTTAAATATAGACGACGAATTCGCCATGACTGTGCCTCGAGAGAACGACTTCATGGCGCTTATTGCCAGTTGGCCCCAGGATGTCGACATTACCTCATACGCTGGCGTATCAGTTCGCGGGAGAAGGGATAAAAGCTCGGCTTGCTGTGCGGCATATCCTGTGCGAAGGGTTGTATCGTACGAAGAGGGCAGGTTGCTTGTTGCGTTCGCCGCGTCGTCTAACACCTCTTGGACACGATTGGTTATCCAACTCAAAGCAGGTAGGGCAATGGCATTTACCATCGGGGCCGTCCAGGGTCCTATTACGGGTAAGCGCTTGTTGGAAGTAGGATACCTCCAGTAGACGAACCTGTACGGTTGGCTAGGTATTCCTCTCGGACGACATCCCGCATACTTCCTACAATATCCCATGCCGAAAACACGTCCGGTGCGGCATCTTCTTAATAGTTTAGAAAATGAGATAAAGTCCTAGAAGCGTGTGATACTCACAGTCATAGACAGGCTCTAGGGTAGGATGATCCTGCAAGTTGCGTCCTACTCCCGGTAAATCCACCGCGACGTCGACTCCCAGATTCCTCAGAATATTTGCCGGTCCAATGCCGGAAATCTGCAGTAAAACCGGCGAGAAAATGGAGCCAGCAGCGAGGATAACCTCCTTCTTACATTTGCATATGATTCTGTCGGTTGTCTCGCTGGTAGCAAACTACAATACCATATGGGTTTAGTGCGGGCCTCACGAGTAGTTCTAGTGGCGATGCAGATGCTTACCTCAACACCAGTTATATTCAAGCCGGAAACGCCATGGGTAGAAGTTGAGTTAGAGAATCTTCCGCTACCCTCACCATGGAGGATACGGGTAACGGTGTGACTGGTGACGAGATGTAGGTTCGGACGCTCCAACACGGGATCGAGGTATGCGGTGCGCGCATCGGAACGAGATTGATTTTTCGCTGTCATGCTACTAGGGACTATGCAGGCACCCGTAGCATTCCCGCTATTAGGGTCTTCGTTAGCGGGTATCCCAAGCTTTTGGATGCCGTTCAGGAAGTTGTCTACGTTTTCCCCTAATTAGTATGAAAACCGACGAGGTGAGGCTACGACATACAAGATTGGTTATAAAAATAGTTTGGATAACCAACTTCGATTGGCCCCTCATGGCCATGCTTGCCGATAGCTGGATAGGCGGCTATAGGGATATCTCGTGTTGACTTGTTATCGACCTGGACTGAATAATTCTCGGACTGCACATTTTACGCATGAGCTCATCTATTCCGACTTGAGAAGACAGGTAGTATGGGGCAGGTAAAGAAATCATGGAACATCTTAACTCACTTTCCGAAAGTACGGCAAAAGATCCATCCATCCCCAACCAGGATTACCAAGGTGTTCCCATGCGTCGAAGTCTGCCGCTGATCCTCTCGTCCAGACAAGACCATTGACTATCGTGCTGCCGCCGACAGCCTTTCCTTGAGTAAAGACTCGAGTTTCTCCGTCAAGGAACTTCTGCGGTGCCATTTCTAGCTTTACCTCATACCTACGTGGATCTTCAAGTCCAATATTCCCGGGTATCGAAATATCCTCGGCGCGATCATCACTAAACAGGACGCGCGGTTAGTTAAGGAGGATAGAGTGATTAAGGGATAAGGCGCCTCTATAAAACGTGAATAAAGACCCAGAAACATACAGCTCTCCAGATTCGACCACCAGTACGGATACTATCATACGCAGGTTAGTCTTGTGATCGTTTTCACCGAGTTGTATGCCTTGAAAAAATTACCCGACACATTCTCCGATAGGCGATTCGCAACGACAAGTCCACCTATCCCTGCGCCAACAATAATGTAGTCATAGCTATCTTGAAGCGAGAGGGAGCCATCGATATTCGGGAAAATGCGTACACCAGACGCAAACGGCAGCAAGAAGCTGCTGGTAAAAGCAAGTGCGGTTATGGCGATTGTTAGCATGATTGAAATCCTATGGGGGAATAGATTTTCGAAGCAAAGGGGTATTATGAAAACAAGAATTGCGACGCAGTTAGTTGTTATCATCAAGGTGCCAAGCAGCGTTTGATTACGTGGAAGATTGAGCGTTTTGTCGTGTTGGCGGTTTGGTAAACAAACACACGGTCCGGTACGAAGACTATGACAACTGGTTGGAATTGTCGACCTAATTCTTATCTGATTCATAGGTATTTTTCGAATAATCTTGACTTTGTTCATAGGAATAACGAGTTTACATGGTCGATTATCTCCTAACACTCTGTGAGTTTGCCCCTTTTCTACTCGACTAGGGGTGCGTTATAACCTCTCGAATACTACGCCGCTTAATCTCGAATATTTATCACATTTTCAGTAGATATCTAACATATGGCCCATACTTCATTACAGTATAGATAGCTTTGGTAGTAGTGTAAATACCTGGTTGAGGATATAACTATCCATTTGACTTATATTCTACCCATGATCCGCTTGGATGGAACTAGGTAGGTAGTCAAAATTCGAAAAGCTCGCCCACGAAATATTGCATTATATTACTAAGTCATCCTCGCCTTTTTATATGGAAGGTTAACAAGATACCTAGCTTTTCTTGCGGGTAGTGTTTAGTGAATGCGTATTCACTCCGGTAACCTAGCTACTCATCTACCTACCCGCCTTCCCTTATTACTCTCGCATGGAGGACAACAGAGACACAGGCCCATTTTTGGCTTCCTCGAGACAAGACTAACGAGAGTTTGTAATCAAGATCCATACTTGCTTCTTAAATGTGACTGTTTTAGATGTTAACGGCGGGAGCTTGAATAAAAACCGAGTATTTGGAATCCTTGACTGCCACCGTCTCGGTTTCTACTTAAGCTAGATCTTTACAATACGACATCGGGCTATACATTGGAGTTCCGTAGGGTTGAAGCAATCAATCAGGGGTTAACTCATCCGCGATCTAAAAAATCCAATGCGAGCATGGATACCAGTTATCGTTAAATCCGGGGTATTGATGCAGTGTTGCAAGCGGCGAGAACTGAGCCATTTCCTCAGCCGTGATAATTGCATAAAAATGACACTATCCCGACGGCGGGGAGGCCTCTCATTCGGCGAAAAGAATTCCTACCTAGGTAACGAGTATAAGACAAGAAAGGAAACCCGATGGGTCTGTGGGTGTCACTTGCAAGGAAAAAAAAATCACCTTCACTTTTGATGTCAAAACTAGTGGGGCTCAGACTACGACAGCAATTTGAAAGATTTGGAGTAGAAATATACGGGACGATCGGATGAGAATATCAATTCTTAACTAGCCGATAGCGGTCAAGTAACTGGAACTGCAGGTTCTTCCTGCTTCTTCAGGTACCTAAAGAGGTACCTAACTTACCCGGCATTGTTAGTGCATGCCTTATCAATTGTTATCGTATTCTTGTCTGAATAATAACCCTCGTCACTGGAATTTAGACCTTTAATAAGTTCAAGCCCCTTCCCTCTGCACTTGAAAACTCTCCAAGGCAAATCCAGTTTCCTTGGCCTGTACTTGAAGAAATTGGAGGGATTTGATATGTGGTGGTAGCGTGTTCCCTCGTCAAGCATTCGACGGTCCAAGATGCTCTGTGCGCTATGACAATGCGACTCATGGCCTGGAAGAGGGCAATTTCAAACTTGAATGTGAGTGACATAGTCTTCTTGTAGTTATTGGTATTCTGCGGACTGCGGTCTACTTTCAAGAGAACCGAATGGATCCGCAATCTCTTGCTTAATCTGTTTTGTTTCAAAGATGCCATAATTTTATGATTGAATATTGAATAGGTCCCAACTAACTGTGAATAGACGCCGTCAACCACGGACCTTGGTAGAATCAATGGCTCAAATCTGTTGTCGTTGCGCTCTGCGCCGAGCACGCCCCCAAATTTTGGTGGGCACTCGATAACATTTGCTTCTCCATATACTTCAATTTCAAAATCGGAAAAACAGAAGAAAAGTCTCGACAGGGTATTAAATCTTTCTATTTATTATTTATTAACTCTAGAACTATTTTGACATTATCTCAGGACTTCTTCGTATCGGTCCTCGAGACCTCAGTAACTAAAAGGGATGCTAAGGCATATATGAATAGATTTGTGCCTCTACTAGAAAAGAAAGGGGCGACGGGATTCAAGCAGCGTGCAGCTCAGAGTCGTCCGACAAATGATATAGATACCATCAGAAAAGCATCTGGTATTGGGGCCGCTGCAGCACAGACGAATGCTGCTCATGGACCAAAATCCGAACTGGATCTTGCCATTCAGGTGCCTCTATATGTTGCCCTGGTTAAGTTCCGCGCTCCCCAGGAGGTCAGCGATGCCACTTTAGATGGCGTAGGAAAGACGCTTGGTCAGCTCCGAAAGCTTGGATTAATTAGCATCGTTGTGGTTGAAACTGGCATCACTGGAGAGAACGAGGCCCACCGAAGGCAAACAGCTACCGTGCAAGCTAATCGAATTGCTACGGCGATAGATAACTACGATGCACCTGGGGCACGGGTTATTGATTCGCCAATTACCATCGAAGCTATGCCGGAAGAAGATTCCTCGCCATTTACTTCTCGTGGTCTTTTTGTAGGGAATGCTCACGACCTGATGGCTGCGTTGCAAGAGGAGGTGATTCCTATCATCTCCTCTTTCGGATATACCGCCGATGATTGCGCTGTTAAGCCTGTTAGCGCCAACGATGCCATTTTGGCTTTGACGAGGCAATTATCAGGTCTTCAATTCCTTGGTCAGCCGGTCGAAGACTCAAAGATAATACAGACATCAAGGTCTGCCGAAGTATATCGGCTCATCGTCCTGGATCCACTCGGAGGAATCCCCGCCAAGAACCGTGCTACTGGAAGATACCTGTTTTTGAACCTAGAGCATGAGTTCCAGGAGGTCCGAAATGATCTGACAACATCGACATCTCCAAACTCTAATGTCTCGAGCTCGATTCGCTCGCAGCACTTGGAGAATGCAGAGCTAGCCAAGAATGTCTTGTCCTTGCTGCCACCAACTTCCTCCGCAGTTATCACAACTCCTCAGGAAGTAGCAAACGAACACTCCCCCGAGGAGAATGCCATTGACTGGGCGCTTGTCGGAACGAGACGGGGACAGAATCCGTTAATACACAGTCTCCTGACTGACAAGCCGATCCAATCTTCGTCATTGCCATCTGAACGCTTTAGACCCGTTACATCTTCGACAGGTATGGCTCAGATCGGTTCGTTGACAACCTTGGCTAAACGCGGCGTGCCCTTAACCATATTCCCGGACCCTCGAGTTACTCCTTGGAAACCACCACAGCTGGGACAGGGAAACTTGAACCTAACAGATCCGTGTATAGACCTGCCTCGGCTTGTGAACCTGATTGAAGATTCCTTCGGTAGGAAACTCGATGTAGAGGGTTATTTAAGGAGGATACATGGAAATCTAGCCGGTATAATCATTGCGGGGGAATATGAAGGTGGCGCTCTACTGACTTGGGAGAAGCCTCCCGGAATAGAAGGCTCCGGAGCAGATGTCCCAAGCCGGCTCGTACCTTACCTAGACAAGTTTGCGGTCCTCCGCAAGAGCCAGGGGGCTGGAGGGGTTAGCGATATCATTTTCAACGCTATGGTTCGAGACTGCTTTCCGAACGGGGTCTGTTGGAGGAGCCGGAAAGACAACCCCGTCAACAAATGGTATTTTGAGCGGTCGAGGGGCTCTCTGAAGCTAGGCGGCATGAATTGGACCATGTTCTGGACGACCCCGGGCTTGGCTTTGGACGAGCAGAGATTTAAGGACTACGAAAGTGTCTGCCGGAGTATCGAGCCGTCGTGGGCGGATTAGAAAGCTGTCGATTGAGATAGAGATAGGGCGTAGCGATCAGAGATACACGTAAACAATTACTGATATCTGGATTGTGTATCTGTTCTCTGGGAGAAGATGGAATATTATGAGTTCATTTACAACATATGAAAGTTTAGGCGATTAGGAGTATATGGACATTATGACCCAATCACTAGATGGGAGTTGTACTTGTTCTAATTTGTCAGAAAATATTTTTTTTTCTGACGTCGGCCTTGGTTATAGTCATGTATCAATGTATACAAAATTGTATTGGCCAAATACCTGAATATTTACGTACAGGTATCTATCTAGGTTACTCCCTGATCAACTCACAATGGGTGCTTGAGATGACGGCGGAAAATGTAAAGAGGATACTGGAAAAATCTTCCAAAAACGTGAGCGCATAAAGTTCCGAGCCATCTCGTCGAGGCCTTTTTACTGCTAATAATCCTGATAACGACCGATGATGATCAATACCCGGTGTCTCTATATGAAATGAGCTGTACTGTTTTCTGTACACGTAGCATACGAATCATGAGAATCCGGAATATATGTACCTAAGTAAGTATACCTAAGAGTTAAGCGTCTTGTCGGTAAGGCGGCAAAGCGGTCAGTACGTGAAAACCCCACCATCGTGGTTGGCATTACATAGGTAGTATCAAGGCATGGTGGGGGAGTTGGTGGACTCAAGGCGGGGTGAAGTATATCGTATATCCCGGGGGTGTACATATACACGTGCTAACTGAATTCGGTTGAAAATGAGTAGGTATTTACCTAGTACCTCCTTTCTTGGGATTCTTTGTGAAAGAGCGTGGTTGAAGGTGGCAGACCCAACTGGAATGAACACCACGTGGAAGTCACAATGACGTAATCAATAATCAGACTAAATTAATTCAATAGCAGGTTCTATATTTGGTAGTTCAGTGAATATAAGGAAGAAAGTGATTAATTAGGTATCTATGAATAAAATAAATATTTTATATTTGTTAGTCACCAATATTGAATAAACATTTCATCTGGATGTATTTATTTGGTACATAAAGCAAGGCTGGTTCGATGTAGCGTTACAAAAGAACAAAGAAAAAAAAGCCAAGAGAGCCTTGCGGTCAGACGGTTAGCAATAGATGGAAGTCGAAATGTCCAGAACTTTCGCGATAAACAAAATCGATAGACCCCAGGGGGTAAGATAAGTGAGGGGTTGTATTAGGAACACTAAAGTTCAAAGTCCTTCGCGACCTCCCACTTCGCAGTTTCGGGCAGCTTTTTTTTCCCCTACCTCTAGTAGAATCTTTTTCCCTTTGGGACAAACACAATATTTCAAAAATTAAATAAACACACACTGGACTCTGGATTCTGTCTCCTCTTACACCTAGGCCGAATTCGATAAATCATTTCGTACTCGATTGTCAAAGATTTACTCGTAATTCTAATCCGGTACAAGGTAAACGGCTCGCGACGTTTCCTGACCTCCCCGCAGTCAAATATCATTTTTATTTGTTTACCCTCAGTCTTGTTCCGCACATCCTAGCAAGATGAGCGTAGTCGGTAGGTTGCAAGCCTAGTGCTGCATATCCCTATGATGATGATGATGAGGGGTGAAGAGACAGCTGACCATTAATTACTATAGGCGTTGATTTCGGCACTCTTAACACGGTTATCGCAGTTGCTAGAAATCGAGGTGTCGATGTCGTAAGTAACCACCGGCCTGGCCTTATCCTTCTAGATATATATATATTATATCTCTAGATGCGCCGTATAGTACTACTAAACACAACTAACCATATATCTAGATCACCAACGAAGTCTCAAATCGAGCTACGCCGTAAGTTAAACACTCATCTCGCACCCCGCTCCGTATACATTACTTGCTAACATATTCGCCTTCTAGTTCCCTAGTTGGATTTGGCCCCAAGTCTCGATACATCGGTGAACCTGCAAAGACGCAAGAGATCTCCAACCTAAAGAACACCGTCAGCTCTCTTAAGCGCTTGGCCGGCCGAAGTATCAATGATCCCGATGTTCAGATCGAGCAGCAATTTGTCTCGGCTCCTCTCGTCGATGTCAACGGCCAAGTTGGTGCCGAAGTATCGTACCTAGGCAAGAAAGAGAGGTTTTCAGCTACTCAGCTGACGGCAATGTTTTTAAGCAAGATCAAGCAGACAGCACAGAACGAACTGAAATTGCCTGTTTCTGACCTCGTCTTAAGTGCACCTGCCTGGTTCACAGACGCCCAGCGAAGAGCACTTCTAGATGCGGCTGATATTGCTGGCCTCAAACTCCTCCGTGTGATGAACGACACCACCGCTGCCGCTCTTGGTTACGGTATCACAAAGCTGGACCTGCCTTCAGGCGACGAGAAACCTCGCCGTGTGGCCTTTGTCGATATCGGCCATGCCGACTATTCTTGTTCGATTGTCGAGTTTAAGAAGGGCGAGCTGAGTGTCAAGTCTACCGCATACGACCGTCATTTTGGTGGACGAGACTTTAACTTAGCCTTAGTCAACCATTTCCACAAGGAGTTCAAGGGTAAATACAAAATTGATATCACCACTAACCCTAAGGCTATGGTCCGCGTCGAAGCTGCTGCCGAGAAGTTGAAGAAGATCCTCTCTGCCAACCAACAAGCGCCTATGAACATCGAGTCGCTCATGAACGATATTGATGTAACAACTATGATTACCCGACAAGAGTTTGAGGCGTTGGTGGAGCCGCTACTGCACCGAGCTACGGTACCGTTAGAGCAGGCCCTTGCAGAAGCCAAACTCAACAAGGAAGATATCGACGTGATCGAACTAGTTGGCGGTTGCACACGTGTCCCTGCTCTCAAAGAGAGGATTCAGTCATTCTTCGGAAAACAACTTTCATTCACTCTTAACCAGGACGAAGCCGTCGCTCGAGGTTGCGCCTTCAGCTGCGCCATCCTCTCGCCGGTCTTCAAGGTCCGGGATTTCTCCGTCCTGGATATCGTTAACTATCCTATCGAATTCTCTTGGGAGAAGGATGTTGATATTCCGGATGAGGATACGAGCCTTACCGTCTTTAACAAGGGTAACGTTCTTCCTTCGACGAAAATCCTAACCTTCTACCGCAAGCAGCCGTTCGACCTCGAGGCCAGATATGCCAACCCCGAGCTGCTCCCTGGAAAGATGTCTCCGTTCATCGGCCGGTTCTCTGTCAAGGGTGTCCACGCTGATCCCAATACCGAGTTTATGATCTGCAAGCTCAAGGCCAGAGTCAACATCCATGGTGTTCTTAACGTAGAAAATGGATACTATGTTGAGGAACAGGAGGTTGAAGAGGAAGTCAAGGATGAGGGAGATAAGAAAGATCCAGACGTAAGTAATATCGCATTATTACGTAGCGGGCCCAGCATTGGATGTTTGCGCGTAAAATGATGCTTCTCATGAAACATTAATAACTAACTCATATCATAGGCGATGGATACCGATCCCAAGAAGGGAGATGAAAAGCCTAAGACTCGAAAGGTCAAGAAGCAAGTTCGCAAGGGTGATCTGCCTATTGTTGCTGGCACCACCTCATTGGACGAGAGCACCAAGAACGCATTGATGGAGAAGGAGGCGCAAATGCTTATGGAAGACAAGCTTGTTGCTGACACGGAAGAGAAGAAGAACGAGTTGGAGACGTACATCTACGACCTGCGTAACAAGCTGGATGACCAGTACGCCGACTTTGCCAGCGAAGAGGAGAAGGAAAAGCTAAGGGCGAAGCTAACAGAGTTGGAGGTAAGCATATTATCCTTAGTCCTGCCTCGATTTTAATGTCAGAAGCTAATTCTATCTAGGACTGGTTATACGAAGAGGGCGAGGATGCTACTAAGGCAGTTTACATCGCTAAGATGGACGAGATCCGAGCCATGGCTGGTCCTATTACGCAACGCTACTTCGACAAGGTAGAAGCAGACCGTCAAGCCCTACAAGCCAAGCTCGATGCTGAAGCTGCTGCCAAGAAGGCCGCCGAGGAGGAGGCTCGAAAAGCAGCTGAAGCAGAGAAGGGAGAAGCTACGAAAGATGAGGAAATGACCGATGCGGAGGCTCCCAAGGCTGAGACCGAAGAAGCCCAGTAGTAGAGTCGACGAAGGGTACTTTCCTCTAAGCGAAGGTACGATAGATAGAACCGGTCCCTTGACGATCAGATGATGTGTGCATGATGAGGACCAAAAGAAAAGAATTTTAATGACTGCATGGTAGGGCGGTTTGACGGATACTGGACATGGGCATCGTTCGGGGGTGTTCTGCTGTTAACTCCGCGGTGCTTCACGAGGAATAGAATTTCATTTTGCGGACGGAGGGGGACGGTTTTAGCACGCAGACTTTAGATAGACCAGATAACGAGGGTTATTTGATACGTTTGCATTACTCGTTGAGCTATTTTCCTAGTCTTGCGTTGGCGTGATAGCTTACAGTACATCGTATTTATGAATTACTTTCATGATATGACGGCGGCTGGTAAATGCTTGTCCTAGTCTAAAATGGTATAGGTTTACTTGTTTTACAATCTTTATATAAGATTCCAAAAGCCATCACTTTAGATTCGTTAAAAAGTGAATTCGCTATATCGTAGATTCGCTATGGTAAGGGTTTACTATACATACTACCCAAGTCTAGGTAGATCATGAGTATAAAACTCGACACACGGTCTTTCCAACCGGATCACCCACCGTTAAAAAACACACGAGCAAAGAGTTATTGATAGGGATTGATTAGAATGAACGTCGGCGGCCCTGGAAGAATTCCCCAATACGAGGTGGTGTATGTGAAGGCAGTGATACTCCACCCGTGGTTTTCCTGTAGTGTTGTTCCGGATCGCTGTTAAAACTGGCGGACGACATATTTTGGGAGAGACTTTCATCGGTTGGTTTGTTTTCGTTTTCCTCTTCGTCCTCGTTGAGCGTGGTTGAGTCATGATTCCTAGAGGAAGAGGAAGGGAGGGGTTGATAGTCTTCGTAGGATAGTTGTCCAGGAGAGGGTAGTGGATGTATAGGTAGTGAAGCTCTATGCGGGGGTAGTACGAGCGTCTGGTAGGCTTGGCAAGGATCGCTGTCGTAACGAAACCATACAAATTTCCAGGGGCTGTAGAAATTGCGGCTTGTTCGGAGTGCCTTTTGCCTCTCTTCCTTGATTGTTCTACACGCCAGGAGGCTTTGCTGAGTGTAGGAAGCGAAAGACCACCGCATCGTCTGGTAACCTAGTTCTTCATCTGAGATCTCGATCGACTCGACGTTGAATGTGAACTTCTCTGAAAATAATATGGAGAGGTTCTCGTAGTTTATAATCTCCTTGGGGCCGCTGATGATAAGAACTCGCGATAATTGGTCCGACACTAGCGGTCGCTCCGGGGAATCTACGGCGATTTTCACAAAGGGTCTTTGGGTTCCGATGATGAACAAACCATCTCTACTCTTTTCTAGTAAACGCACGACGCCGTCGAGCCCCCAGAAATGGACGAATGCTTCTCTCCCGGCTATATTGGCTCGGTTTATCTTTCCCGTGCCGCGGAGGGCGCGGAAAAGTGTCCCATAATCTATATTTACGGGCAGATTGGTGATGTGGACTACGCTGTTATTGTTATACGGGATAAGGATTGATTGATTTAGGTCTACCAAATTGTCCATAGTGTCGGTATGCGTTGCTGGATATGAGTTGTCGGAGTTTTGGTGAGGCTAAGAATGGCGTATCTGTTCAATATAAGCGATATTGTCGTAGAGCGTTTGGAGTTATTATTACAAGTAACGACTGATTGTTGGGGGAGTAAAATAGATATCTTGAATTATAGTGTTGTTGAAAATAAAAAGATCTATTTACGAGTAGCTATTAAGTAAGTTACGAACTTCCTCGAGGCAATGATGAGGGCGACCTTCCGCAGGCGTTATACTACAAGGCGAGTTACGCATGGGTAGTTTTAGCAGGAGCGAAACAGATACCTTAATGATAACTATGAGAAATCAATAGTAAAAGCAACCCAGAGAGCCAATGCGAAGAAGATAGTATAATTTAAGCTATAGCTGGATAACTAAGGGTGCTAGTTGAAATATTTTCTAGTAACTAAATGGAAGGGCCATGTTGATAGCATTATGACCCCTGAGATTATAATGAAAACTACCTAATAATAGAATCTAGATAGAGGAATACAACTGCCTATGTTGGGTAGGTAGTGAAGATGATAGTATAAGTGGAGAGTAAAGGAAAGTACGATAAAATATAGGGAGATAACTGAAAAGGTTTATAGCACAAGTAAACCACTACATCATGCTTACTCCCGCCCGTGTCATATCTCAGGGTGCAAGCTCGTTACTTCTTCTAGTGAATCAATTTGCATCCGGGGTAGGGAACGATCTAGGTAGGGTTGTTGTCCGGAGGTACTTGACGATTTCAGACCGAACGTCTGCCTCTTCGTTAATAGGTGTTATACAATTGATAATGGTCCTGAATGAGACAAAAGTTTCTCTTGATACCTGATCTCATTTTTTTTTCTCCATATCTAACGGATCGCCTTCATTCGTATCCAGCTTCTATGTGACACTAAAAGTTGTAAAGTAGTCGTGTGCCCATTGAGTCCCGACTTGACGACTGCCTCAATATACGGACGTCGCCCAGGGCCATCTGTAACAACGCCAGAGTCTATCAGAAGACTTATCGTATTGAGACGGCCCCTATATGAAGCTGTATCAATGGCAGTGGCTTCACAAACCCTCGACTTTTCCACTAATCTAACATTTGGATCAGCACCGGACGCAAGAAGACGACGAACCATGCTAATATAGCCTTTCTCAACTACAATTTGTAATGCTGTTGTAATTTCTCCTATTGTTTGCAACGCACTTTTGACATCGAGGCCGTATTGAAGTAAGATATAGAGAATATCATGATCCCTACGTAGAATTAGTGGCTATGTGGTATTCATGACCTTGGCTTCCCGCGGGTGCATTTTTGCGACCTCCGGTGCCCGCATTGTTGGACAGCACATCAAGACGCCCTTGGGGACTTTGACGCTATAGAAATTCCTGAGCGGCTAACTTGATCGTGCAGAAGTCCTCCAGGTCCACGTGCATGACGATGTCGTCCCAGCTATGTACTTTCTCAGCAGTGCTGACCGCTTGACAGGACAGCAACCAACGAGGATGATCTTGCCCCTGGTCTGCGACTCGTATGTGACGGCGAGGTCGCCGGCTGTTCTAGGACCTATATTCATGGTTGCTGGTGATATTGGGGTTCGAGGAACACCTTCAACGTACTTGGTACCAAAGTAGTTTATAAAAATACCACAAGGATCTTCTGCGGCTCGAGGTTATGTATGAAGGACCAAGAATAGATGCGCATAGAGAAACTTTTATGGAGATTTGCGGGGGTTTATGCCCTCGTTTTAGGGCCAGTCTAATAACGGCCCCGGGTCGGGGTCGAGACGGGAATCCGACGCGGAGCCGCTAGAAGAGTACAGAAATGTTAGATGCAATACAGGTAAAACCTCCAACACCGAAACATAACAAGTTCTCAAACAAATGCCCATAAGAGGCCAATCACAAGCAAGAACTGTTAATGTTACCCCTTTAGGACATAGACAGCTTTATCCTCACCTTGATTGGCTAGTATCGGACCGAAAAGAGCGCTACGTCTTTATGTAGTAATGAACTCAGAGTGTCGTTTCTAATACGACCAATGACGGCTCCAACTGAGCTAGAGGCGGAGTAACTCCATTCTAAAAGATCGTCTTCTCACGCTTTATTTAGCGTGATACTCCAGTTTAATATATAACGAGGTCGATATATAAGGCATTCATGATTCAACATTGATACCCAGGTAACTTTCCATAAAGGTCCCCTACTTAGGTGGTAGCTAAATATCTATTTACCCTACAATCAATCTTAGTATATCATGTCGTCTAGAGTCCTCCGTCGCCGCGACAAAACTCCCGGTAGTGGACTCCGAGCAGTCATTGCAGCTCAGGAAAGGGGTGGCTCGCCACCCCCAATTCCTATCCCACCCGAGGTCGTAAGCCTAAACTTACCGACTGCTCGGCAGGTTAGCTTCTTTACTAACAGACCCCCGCAGGCGGCAACAGTAAAACTCGACTTCGACTCTTTCCTCCTCGAGTCATTTACCGCAGAAGACGCCTGGGAGCTTGGACATCTGCTCTACGCGCGGCTGCTCCCGTTCTCTGGCCAGAGACCCACGTTGATCTCCATCGCGCTAGCTAACGGCCAGGTGCTGTTCCAGAGCGCCGTTGGTTCCGGCACGACGCTGGACAACGAGATTTGGGTGCAGAGGAAGAGGAACACCGTGCTACGATTTGGCGAGAGTACCTGGTTCCAGCACTGCAAGTATGCAGGCGACGAGGATGCTTTCCGGCTGAAGTTTGGGATGAGTCACGATCAGGCGGAGAAGTATGCGATTCATGGCGGAGGAGTGCCTAGTAAGTGAAGCATTTTCATTTCGACTCTTTGAGTTATTTAAATGAAAGGTTACTGTTATTAACGCTCGTCATAATAGTCCGGGTTAAGGGAGTCGAGGGTATTGTTGCGGTTGTTGTCGTTTCCGGCCTGAGGCAGCAGGAAGATCATGGTGTTATTGTCGATGTCATCAACAACAACTGGGAATAACATCGGCAATATTAAACTATCGAACGTTTAATATTGAAATAATGAGGTAAAAATATGTTGAATCTTATATAAAAGTATTGATTGTTAAGTAAAAAGTCTCCAAGTGAACGACAATTGATAATGACGACCATTTACCAGTACTACGATACCCCTATATTTCCAAAATCACCCTCGTCTCCAATATATTATGCAGGCAGTTCATCAAATATATCCCAAACACTCGTCATTCAGCTGCTTAGCTACATCAATTTCCAAATTCCCAAATCACCAACCCCCCCCCCCCCCCTTTCACTTTCGCAGAATCTCCTCATACTCCGGAAGATCCCACTTAACCCCTTCCTTTAGAAACGCCCGCGCCATGATATCTAACCTGAAGAAAGCCGCAGCTCCCGCAACGAAATTCATAACCCCGACCCCAAAGGACGTCGTTGGCATCATGTTGCTCGTGATACCCTTGCCGTCGCTGACGTCCTTCTGCACCTGCTCCATGAAAGGGCGGAACGTCTCGTCGTAGGCCTTTAACGCAGCCATAATTCCGGCCTTGTTATTGTCTGGCTCGCCGGCGCTGTTCTTGCAGTGCCTGCCGATTTCCCCCGCGAGGACGTATGCGCCTACGATGGCGGACGTAGTTCCCATCCCCGTATTAGCAGTGGGGCAGTAAGCGGCATCCCCGACGAGAGCTACGCGTCCGCGGTGCCAGGAGTCCAGCTTGACGAGGCCCATGTGCTCCAGGTAGAAGTCGTCGGATTCCATCATAGCCGGCACGAGTTCCCCAGCCTCCCACCCCGCGTCCTTGAAGATCTCCGCCATTGCCTCCTTTTCTTCCTTCACGTCTCCCCGGGGGGCATTCTTCAGTCGTTCGGAATCGCTCTTGCAGGTGAGATATACCTGGATTTGATCCGGGCTATGTCTTCTGGTCATGATAGCTCGTCTTCCGGTGGTCATGTATACCGTCGCGAGATATCCTTCTCCTTCTTTAATTGGCTTATTCATCGTGAAGTACGCTACGTAAATTTCGCGGAGTGGGTAGAGCCCCTCCGTGTCGGACCCGAGCATGATCCTACGTGTTCGTGAGTTCTGCCCATCTGCGCCCACTAGGAGGTCGAATCGATCTTTCGTGCCGTCTGTAAGCTGAACCTCCAACCCGTTGTCGTTCTGCTCGAAGCTTTTGACTGACGTTCCAAAGGCATACTTAGTCCGGTCCTTAGAGTAGTCGTATAAGAGGCGGCAGAAATCCCCTCTCATGATCTCATAATCGGTCGTGAAGTTCTGCAGTCCTTTGCCAGACTTATTTGCCGGGAAGAAGGCCCGCCGTTTTCCCGCATTGTTGACTATCTGTAGGCCCTGTTCTGGGGCCATCCTTGCCCGGAAATCCTTCTCGAGACCCATGCGTTTCATGACCTCGATCCCGTGACCTCGTAGATCTAGTTGAAGTCCGGTGGTTCGCAGCGTGGGAAACCATTCGAGAACCGTAACGTCATGACCAATCTTCGAGAGCCAGAAAGCGAGGGCGCCACCTGCGATACCTCCGCCGTTAATTAAGACCTTCATCCTCGTCATAGTCTCGGCGAGTATTTCGTGAAATGGTTGCGTGGATGGAAGACGATAAGTACGAGATTTAGTTCATATTAAAAATTATCGTGGACTTATACTTCAGTAGGAGTCGCTAGACGCAAGTGCATGGTATTAAATATTTAAAATGTTACCACTTAATTCTCGTAGTACTTTGCTGCCGTGGCAGCCGATTATCTCCGTCTTCTCCTGCTTCGGCCGAGCGAATATAGCAGACCGACGAACATATATAACTAGGTCAGCTGCTATGGGCCGCGCGGGAAAGACGTAATAGATTATGCAGAGGCTGGCTGAATTTGTACCAACTTGGGGAATTGTAATCCATTTTCCCTCACGTCCCGTGTTTCCTCCTGCGCCAATGCCTCCTGGGCCGTTACTAGGCCCATTTCCTCCCCGATTCCGCACGAGGACTCCATTATAAGCCAATATCGATTTTATGTAAAATACAAGCGAACTAATGCATAGGCCTCCATACTTAATCTCATACAGGAGAAGTGAAGAGAGAATCTAAACCGGCCAAATGCAAGAAAAGGTTAGGCGTGTTAAAGAACCAAGTACGCCATGAATGATGTTACAAGAGGGTGATTATACGATATATATTTCGGTAAGCCGAAGTTTTCAAGCAAAGCCCGAATCAGTCATCAAAAACTCCAAGTCGAAATCGAAATCCATCCCATACCCACCGTCTAGACTACTTGGCGTCAGGCCAGTATTGCTGGGACGTGGCGAAGGAATACTGCCCGCTTGTTCTTCTATCAAACTAGCGCATAGTTCAAGGCTGTCTTTCGCACTCTGTGCAATCCTGAGGTCGCATGGGACTCCTTCCTCTGTCGCTTCTATCTGGGCCATGATCATGCTTAGGAACATGGGCCCCTTAACATTGGTCTCCCCTTGCCGAACCCGTTCTAACGATAACGAGATCATATCTTTTACAGCTTTCTTCAGATTTTCAACATCCTGAGAATTACATCGGCGTATCCCGTCGGCACGTCGTGCCTCAACTTGGCAGACAAGCTCGCGAGTAATGACACCCATTGCGTACCTGAATCCTTCTCTAAACATACCCCCGCCAATAGCCATAAGACGAGAAAACCCCTCGTCGGGCTCAGGGGAAATAAGGGTCATAGCTGAGTCTAGTGTAACTTTGAGTGAATAATAAAATAGTGGATTCGCTCGGGCTTCGCTGGCAAAAGGGGAATGAAGGGGGATTAAGAATCGCCGCACCAGATGATCAAGCAGGTTTCGATGGAATGCTGTCACACCTGCCTTCTCATTATCTCTTATGAAGCTACTATACGAGCGATATTTGTTGGTAAGTTCTGAACTTAGAGAAAGAGCATCCATGTAAGCAAGTTCGGAATGCAAGCCGTTTAGAAGCTGTAGAATCCGAAGGCGTATAGGTACTAAGTCAAGTAGGATAAGTTGTAGTGATGTTGAGGTACAGTCGTTCTTTGGGTGTGACTGGAGAGTCGTGGTCGTCTCATCTATCTCATCATCGTTGTTATTTGATGGCGCCTCAGTGTCGAAATCATCAAAAGATATTCTAGGTGGCATTGCAGAGTCCAAAGATGATTGCACAACTATCTCAAGTATAGTGGCCCATAGTCTTCTGCGGAGTTCGGCTTGCAGGATGGACATTCTTGGGAGATGCTTGGGGTCGCGGTGTAAACCTATTTGCATTGCCATATGCATAAGCGATCCCGATGACACCCAGACCAGATCACCACCAATAGAGAATATCTGTCGTGCTAGAAAAGTTAAGCAGTAAATTTGGATACCAGTAATATCCAAACGGTCTTTTTCCAGCGGCCCAGAGAGCCACGTCTGGGCAGCATACACCCATTGGGGAATCATATTACGAAACCCGAGATCGCTGTCTCTATGGTTAGATAAGCTCGATCCTATCCCAATTACAAGGAGGATCTTAATGCGTAGGCTAGTCGTAACACTTTCCGGACAGTCCCAAAGTTTCTGATATTCGGACCAAAAAGTAGGGGCATGAATTATTCTGTACGTCGATTCGAATAATTGGAAATATGAAGTTGCCATAGCATCCGCTATCTCCCTCTCGGGAGGTACAAGATCGAAATCGGGATACGAGAGCCATCTGCTAGGCCTTCCCAGCTTGATACTTCTCGCCATGTTTTTACATTTCTGGAGAAGAGTCCATATCTGGGCATACAGGGCTCCCTTTTCAGTATCTTGAGGAAAGGCTCCCTTGGCGGTATTGGCAGCCGCAACATAGCAGGCAATTAGAGGTGCAAACTTGTGATGTGGTTAGTACGATACCATATAGATGAAAGGGATGTATTTTCTACCTCCGGAGCTGTACCTATCCTAAGACTCCACCCTAAGATTCTTGTTTTATTAAGAATTATCTGTGAGTGTTGCAGCCCTAGCTGGCGCGCGAGTATGTCCCGTCCATTTTCAGATAGTCCGTTCATGGGGCTAGATACCGAAGACTTGGCAGGGGTGTTCTGTCCCCGTTGAAGGATACCTACTAGACCTGGTTCGGCTTCCGGAGCGGATACATGTGGTTGAAGGTTGCTAGGGTCAAGGCCGAGAATAATCGGCTCTGATCTATCATTCCGTCCTCCTATGGATGACGATCCCGCTGTAGCCCCTATCGGTGATGGTGTTACCCGAGGACCGGAGCCACTGGTATTATGTTCCGTGGTTGGCCTATTGGTGCCAAGCTCCTGAGCCTGGGTTACCGAGGGTGAAGGTCCATGGCTTGACGGGCTTGACGTCTCTGCCGGCGAGATACCAGGTCTCAGCGGTAGTTGGTTAACGGGTTCATCGTTATAGACCTTATAGATACATTTTAACTTAGCAGAGACACAATGTGTGCATGGCTCATTCCGGTTGCACTTAATCTTGCGGCGCCGGCACTCGAGGCATGATAAAGCCGGCCTTCGACGTCGGCGGTGTTGTCGCTCTGATAACATGGCAACTATAATGTTTCGGCCGTATGATTAGCGTGATCTCCGTAGAAGGGCACGCATATAAGTAGATCGATCCCATATTGTAATGCAAGATTGTAGATACTGTTCCTTACCTAAGGTAAAATAAAGGTGTAAAGGTCTTAGATCCGGAGCGTTCGGATATCAGAGGAAAATGCCGAAGCGCTTATAGCCGTTGACCCACTAGTTAATGGAAGCTGTAGCGTGCCATTGGTCAATTTGTTCATTTAAGACCGCTTAGCTCCGTTAGCGATATTCAAATCATATCTGTAATAGATAAGATTATAGATAAGATTATTGGAAAGTTTTGTTTTTTTAATTCGCATTTCCCAATGAGGATTAATGTCAAAACTTTCCTAAGTTAAATTCGGTCTGTAGGGTGATCGGATTTCCACGCTAGTAACATTTAATACTTGAAAATCTAATGCTAAGACAACGTGGAAGCCCCGTAATACGCTAGTAGGGGCGGTGCGGTGCGTGCTACGGTCTTGCGCCAAAGATAGAAAACATCCTAACCTCTCCCGTGCCGGCATCATGGTCTTCTCCGAAATGTGCGAGTTAGCCCGTCTCTGACTAATTCGCGAATGCGGATCAGCTTGCCAAATTAGTCAATACTGTCTTTTCTATCGTGATTTCGCCCTAGCGCTTACGATGTAATTCCTGAAAATAGGGAGTGTCATGTAATTTTCGATGGAGTTTTTAAATATATATAGCAAATGCGCCGCTCGCTCGCTCTAGTCGAAGTGACGAGCTTCGCGAATGCCACCTAAGACTGCCAGTATTTATTTCAGCTGAGTGTCTCATAAAGCTTATAATATTGATACATTAGTCGTTACCCCTTTTCTTCATCGTAATCAACAAACACTATTCTTGTAAACCCATCCGATAGGTACCATCAACATATTTTATATCCACATCTAACTACGCCAGAATCAGATATTCTACTTCAATCGGTTACTTAATACTTGACTCATTTCATCACCATGGCTACCCAGAGCGTCAACGTAAACCCGGATATAACCATCTTCCGTGGATTCAAAGAAACCAGAAATTACACATGGTCCCCATATGTAAACAAATTAGAAGCACGATTACGCTTTGCGGGTGTGCGATATAAGATAGGAGTAGGCTCGCTTAAAGCGGCGCCTAGGGGCAAGGTACCATACATAGAATGTCGCGATCTATCTGCTACCTCCTCGTCCGGAAAGGGGGAAGATTCCCTGCCAAAAGTACAACTCGGCGACTCTACCCTTATCATCAAGACCCTGGCTGAGTGGGATGTCCTTCCGGATCTAAACAGAGCGCTGGACCCGTCGAAGAGGTTACAGGACATGGCGCTGATAGCTCTACTAGAGAATAAGCTGTCCTTTTACCAAGTAAGTTCCCTTTTCATCGTATCTCTCATACGACTCATATAAGATATATGATTTGCTAACCGCGCGATAGACTTGGGAGCGTTGGATCCAAAATTACTACACCATGAGGGACCATGTCCTATGGCCAATCCCTTACCCGATCCGCATCGTTGTGGGTTTATTAGCTTATCGCGCCAACGCCACGATGTTGAATGGTCAAGGTACTGGCCGGTTTACCAAGGAGGAAATCGAGCAATCCACTTGCGAGATCTGGGAAACAATTAGTGCACAACGTGAGTAGCCTTTTAGAACCCCTCTTTCATGCCTGGTTAAGAAATAAAGACACTAATTTTTATGGTATGCCTAGTTGTGACCTCGCGATCCAGTAGTAAAGGCGGCGACGACAAGCCGTTCTGGGTACTTGGTGGAGAAGAACCGACGGAGGCGGATGCGTGTCTGTTTGGCTTTATTGTTTCCGCTTGGATATGTACTGCGTAAGTAAACAATAACTTATCTTCCAGTTGGAGCCTATACTAATCATAATACTTCACTATAGCGGACCCAAAGCTCATGACATCATCAAAAGCTTCCCGGTCCTCCTTGACTACGCGGGGCGCATTCACGACCGGTATTTCCCTGATTATGAGAAATGGGCTGTGGAATGAGGTTGGATGTGCAGATTTGCATGATGCAAGGTTCGAGCCAGGTACCTAATATAGTAACGGAAGCTGTCCAAAGATAATATTGATTTGCTATGGAAATCAGGTAGGGAGACACGCTGATAAAATGGAAAGAAGTTCGGAGTTTTCAGAGATTGTGACAACTCCTATTAAACCCAAGCCGATTATTACAGCCGTAGGTTCGCCTTTAAGCCATTGCAGAGTAAGGGGCAGTCATTGGCAATTTAATCTGATCGATATCCTCATACGGCACCTCGTCATCCAACCTATGGTGTAAATTTGCTGTTGTCACCCCTATACCGCACCTCGTGGCCCATCGCATCGTATATCTTGCCGTTGTCAGGTTGGAGTCTGCACAGCTATTCCCCAAACCTTATTCTCTCTTGAGATCGGAGAGCACGTATAGGTAGTTATGGTCATATTTAATAGCAAAACTCTAATGGTTTCAAGTATTAATAGAACGTTCGGTTTGACATCGTCTATAGGTAATACCCTTTTATATCGAACCCGAGCGGTCATAATTTTAAATAAATCCGTCCTCCCCCACCGCTATCTAAGCAATGACCCAATATCCACGGTGTCGCTCGAACTTATGAATATTACTCATACACCATATCCATTCGCGCTGGAGATATTCTTAGCAGTGCACACTACAATGCACTGGAGATATGTGTCCGAGGGAATTATACTTTATACTTACTACTAACCCGTTATACTTTGGGGCTAATACAAGTTCCCGTAATGTATAAACTAGATCTTCGTAAGACTCTAAAAAGCTACCCAGGTAGAGTTCTGTTTAGGGGATCAAGTACGTCGTCTGTCCCAACTCCTACAGAGGAGTACAGTCTATACGACTTATGTATAATGAGCAGTCACACCACGTTCTCTACAATATTTCTCTACTTCCTTCTGCAAGCTTTGGTTCTGCCGGTCAACAAGGTCCATGATGTCCCGGTGTTCCGACCCAAGTTCCATAGATCCAGTTCGCGCGCCGACGCTGTTGGCGATCTCTGTCATCTCCTCCATAACAGCTTGCAGTTGATTTGGAAGCCAAGTTACGATTGGGCTACCTCCCGTGGCTGTGGGATGCGAGGTCTGCTTGAGAATGTACTCGCGGGCAAAGCACCAGTGCCGCCACCGGAAGTCTCGAACTTGGTTTAGAGCGTGGAGCCAAAGGCGTCGAGACTCTTTTATTAGTTCTCGATGTTCACTTCCTATTGTCGAGTTGTGTTCCGCACCAATAGCTAGAGCAAACTCTTTCACGTGTAGTTCTTCCGAGCACCTCTTCACCTCGGCAAGGAACTGGCGGTGGTTACTTGGGCGATAATCTCTAAAATCCTTTAGGATCTCAGTCAGAGGCGTATCAGGCATCTCGATCTGAACTATAGTCATGTGTCAGTAAACGTTATTTGAATTATTTAAGGGATCTCGGACGTGTGCGCGGACGCACCTTGGGGGCAATAGTCCCCAACTCGGTCCGGCAAGAAATGTTGGTGATGAATCGGGGATAAAAAAAGATTTTTGATAATACATACGAAGATTGTCCATCAATGGGATCATGGTGTCGTTGGCGCCACTCTCGCCCCTAAAGCTTAAAGGCTTGCCGTCGTTGACGCCCTCGTAAACAACACCGTCGGGAAACATGGACTGAGATGTGATGCCAAATATGAAAGTCCGAAAGCTCGTATACGACCGCGGCTTAGATTTCATCCACATGGTTTCCATTACGCCATTGACTTTCTTCATCGCATCTACGACGGTACGCAGACCTTCATTAAATGACGTTCTCTGTTGCAAGGCTGAAACTCCTTCAGAATTATCAAGCGCCCGCAGACACGACATCGTGCCGCTAACTAAGGGGCCCGAGTTCTTTACCATGTCAATATGCACCAATACGAAGCCGGCCTCAGAAGAGGCAGGATCCAAACCGTGCTCAAAGGCCCGTATCAGGCGCAAGTTAGAGTACTCAAGACCCGCATCTGGATTCTGAAGGCGATAGTTAAAAAGGGCATATGAACCCGCGTACTCCATGAACGGTTTGAATCCAGCTCTATGAGAAATTAGTTGATGCACAAACGACACGACGAAGACTATAATGACTTACAGCTCAGCACAGCGGACAATAGGTCGAGACAATTGAGCAGGAAGGAAAGATCTCCCTAGTCCATATGGCTCGCCCTTGATGAACCTCATGTGACATGGCTCTAGAAGAAACGCCGATGCCAAGAATGAGTAATCACGATAGAGGGCATTCATCATGGGAAGGTTATCATGGTATTTTTCGATTTGTTCGGTCAGGTCTGGAAGAGTTTTGAGTACGGTATCACCCAGCTGGCCAGTGGCAAGCAGTCCAGGCTTGCCTGACTGGGTCTGGACAGGCATTTCTTGAAGCAGAGTTTCGACCGGCTCAAATTCAGGGGGGAGAGTTACAAGAGGATCCATACGTGCCAGAAAACCCCGAGTCGTTGAGACCATGAAGGCAGGAAGTGAGACATCGTCCGGCTTGGTGTCTTCTAAGACTTCAAAGGACGACTTAGGAATGAACATGTTGGAACGTTGTGAGAGTGTGGGCTCTGACAATTGAAATAATATATATATAAATTTTGGACTGAAGTGAGATCTTGAGGTATGAGAAGTTAGACCATTGACCGGAGTGGCGGTTGATCTCGCGTGCTAATATAGACCATGGCCGGAACTGTTCCGGCCTCAACGTAAAAATGCGGAGTTGGCGATCAAGTAAGTTCCAGGACCTCCGGAACCTTCTCACACCTTCCTGGCCGGAACGATTCCGGCCTCGAGCGAAACCGGATTTAATAGCCAACTCACCCATTCCCCTTACATTACCTATCTCATGGCCGGAAGAGTTCCGGCCTATACACCCAGACCGAAGTCGGGTTTATACCTATCATATCTTGTAAGGACTTCCCCTTATCTTTATCTCATAAAAACAAGATAGGGATAGTTGGGGTGTGAAGCGAACCTCAACAATACTCAAAGCTTCATGATTCGTCGCGATCCCTATCGCAAGATGGCCCAGACCAGCTATTAATGTATATACCATGCGGTACAACAACATGCACCCGAATAGTATTAGATCCTACCTTCTCAGATGATACGAGCTCGAGCACAAGAATTCAGACTTGTCCTAGACGACTCTCCCCCTATTACCCTCTTTTCATCTAATAAATTCATAACGTTCAAAATATTTATTATATGATAAGAACAGGCTTTCATGTAAGCATCTATAATTTTGAACGAGAAATACTATTGCTTAATCCAGTACCACATAAGATATTCACTAATTGATCATGGTGGAAGCGTAATTACGTGGTAGTCAAGGAGACATCTTAGCAAAGAAGAAGTCTCATGGGCCGACAAGATTTACGTAATTGAAACTTATCAGCAAGATGAAGCCAAACTTTAACCCCGGCAGGTGATGGGGAAAAGTGGAACCATCAAGCCCGGTAAAAACCGGCCGTGGCCGGAATCATTCCGGCCATTGACATAATCACTACGGAGTCTCGTTACATAGACTTCATCAGCACATCGAAATAAAACTTAAGAGGATATGGGTTGTTGAACTAATTTCATTTTAATAGATTCACTGTACCATCTTCAACTTGTCTAAAGCCAAATGAGAATTATTATCCCGGCTTTGGTTTAGTTATCATGCCCTTTAAGCATCAAAGCTTACTCTCGAGATAGTAGCAGTTAAATAACACATTATATCGGCATACGTACTATTTTCTGTTGGAAGTGCGACCACGTGCTAGTCACGCGGGAGCTTATGTAATCTGTACGCATGTATATTGGCATTATCTCCCTTCGGGGATAACGCACCTTAGAACTTGGACCTTATCATGATCAATATACACACTCGCTCTCCCACCGCTACCGAGCGCCTACGGCGCCTATATCTCTGATAATAGGAAATCTAACGTTAGACCTTGTCCTCCGACATTTTCATTAGACACCCAGCATCACGCTCACTAGCAACATTCTCTTTGGTATTTAATATTAAACCCAAAAGTCAATGAACATCTATAGGACCAATCATACTTTATACCTAGTCTCTGTATTATCACGCAATTGATCATAACTACCAAGGCATGACCATTTCACCGCCTGAAGTTCCATTACTATAATCCCTTTCATTACTGATAGTAGTATATTCATCCTATAGTATTCATTCTATTATACTTCCTGGTAAATCGTGACATATTAGTCCACATAAAGCACGCTTACTAAAAACAATCAATATTGTACTACCCGAATTTTCAGCCATGCCAAGCCGATCTAATTATAGAAAAACTACTTCAGCTTTACTACCAGTTTAACACAGAACATACGACCTTCGCTAAAATACCCAACCAAGTGTAGTATAGAAACGCCTGGCTTTCCTTCAAGGAGATGGCCCACACCAATCCGGCTCCTTCCAATTTCAGGGGTCAAGCCATAGATTCCCGTATTGAATGATCCCATGAACTTCATTTCGGGATTGATAGTACGCTATCGGTCAGCACGGCTAGTTCTTCCGCGTCTTCTTCCCTTAAAAGTCTCTATGTAAGCTTTCTCTAACGCCGGAGCCTCGACGCTTTCCTTTTCACTTTATTACTAATTTAATCCTAATAAGACCGAGAAAAACTTTTGAATTCCGCCTGTCGCTACATAATGGTTCTTCTTTTAACGTCGCGGCGCGTCGCCGCCACGATATTACTATCATGTGTGTCCGCGGTAGAGGCGATTGAATTTCCAGCAACTCTAGAAGTAGACATCATATATCCGCGCAACGGCACGTTCGCGCCTACCGTACTCACACCCATCGTCTTCGCGATCCGGAACCCGCAGCTTGCCGAGCCCCTTGATATAAACTTCAGCTGGGATATCTATAAGGAAAGCCAACCCCTTGGCGATGGCCCATTTTCTTCTGGGAGCAAAGATCTACGATGGGTCGATTTCTCTAACATCAGCGACCCCTACTTCGTATATACGTATTCTAAGATGCTCGATGTCGAGGATTCCTGGTGGATACGATGGGAGCTAGCCTGGGGAAACTGCTCTAAGATCCCCAGCACGATAGATTCCGTTGAAATCAGCTTTGGCCGTCGGAACAATGTTATCGAGTTCACTACCAAGAACGGCGCGAAACAGCTCGACCTCGCCAGCGTTAATACGCCTGACGATGATACTTGTGGCAATGTCACTGATACACGCGTCGCCTTCAATGTGACGGGGGTTTTGGATACTCCTCGTCCAGATAAATATGACGACCGAGAGACGTGCGCCGTTCTTGCGCCGCCGTCTAATGCGACGGCCCCGCCCCCCACAAGGACTTGCGGGGCCGAGGTAGGTGCTTCGGCCGCGTCTAGTATCTCGGCCGCTATCACTTCCCGGGCGTGTGCCGGTTTTGCTACCGATCCGAATGTGACCTGCCCACCTGAGAGTCCGAGTAGCGCCGCGAAAAGCAAAGAAGTGCAATTCCTAGCGGGAATGACGACTTGGTTGAATACATTGGTGTTTGCTGGTGTCGCGTATATTCTTATAGCGTGACGCGGTCGCCCCCCGGAGTATCAATGACCCTATATATAGATACCAAAGTTCCATGTTATAGTTTAGCCTAGAATCTAATGTTAATTCTAATTTTACGGTCAAATCTCCATCCCGACTTTTATATAATACTCTTGTACTAAGCGTAGGTAGGTACTTAAAATTTTAGCGAAACGCCCGCACTCGCAAGCTCGCGCGGGGCCTTATCAATTACCTTATCAGTTTCCTTATCAGTTTCCTTATACCCTAGGTTACGACATTGAGAAAGATATCCTTGAGGCGATTGACGACTTAGCCATCAATTATTCCAATGGATTAAGTCATAATTATTGGCCACAGCCGCGGTGCTCACATAGCTCGCTGCGTTGCTGTTTATTTTATTTTTATCTTTTATTTTTTTTAACCGATCAGGGTTATCTCAATGCAAGAGCGAGGATATGCGTCTACTATATGGCAAGTACTTACACATCTTGAAGTCTCCTTCAACGAGGGGTACACACCAATCTATTCCGAAGTATTCAGTTGGAAGGAACGAGGATCAGACTTACTCATGGCGTCTAACTCCATTGACTACTCCTGAGGAACCCCTTGGAGAGTGTGATGCTTGGTTACACGGCATTGCCCTTGGCTAATATACACAAGATCTAGGCAAACGGCTTGTATATCTAGATCTCGAACTATATATATTGAAATTCTTGCATTACGTTATTTAATAAGTCGCTACCTTTTAAGATGCGAGGGCGAAGTGGCGGTAGAACTCGGTTTCAGTAGGATAAACTATTAGCATCGGTAGGACCAAACCACTAATCTAGATCTATATGTCCAGTTGCTAGAATAGTAAGCCCCTTTTAACCTTATCGACCACTATTTGCGGTTTTCCAGCTCAGCCTTAACCTCCTCAACGAACCCCCGCTTCCACGCTTCCTCTCCCCTCGTTGGCTTCCAGCCCAAGCTCCTAGCCACAGAGGACACAGTCCGCGAGTTGCTCACGATGGCTTTCTCGACCACTTCCTCTGGAAACTGGCCATCCATAAAATGCTTAGCTGCCTCCTTGAGCGTGAGACTCTCCAACTTGTTGCTCGGGATCAGACCCTCCGCGAAGGCCGCATCAGCTACGCCCTGCGCCACGTCCAGCCACTGGTGTCGACCATTACCGCTGAAGATGATACCCTTCTTCCCCGAAGGCACGCCCTCGCCACCCTTCGCTACTATGCGTTCCAGTATGAGTAAGTAAAGGTCCGCTAGATCTTCAACGTGCACGTGATCCCATACGCCCTTGCCGTCTCCCAGCAAGATACCCTTCTTGAGCTCCAGCACGGCGCGGACAAATAGGGGGACCTGAACACTTGTCTTATTGAATAGACCGGTTCCGCGACCATAGATAGTTGCACTGTTGATAACTATCGACTTTACGCCAAGCTCCAAAGCTAGATCTATGGCGCCCATCTCCGCGGTACGCTGGTGGTACGGACCCTCTCGCACCTCGCGGTCCTTCTCGTACCCGTAGATGTCATCCTTGGCGTCGTCGAACTCGCGGCCTTCCGGCTCCACCCACTTCTTCGTGATCGGATTGTCGCAGAAGTTGGAAGTTCCGGACGTGTGAATTAACCACACGTCACGCCCTGTCGCCGCCTTGCGCTGGGCAAGACCGCGGACTACCGCCTGGATGGAGGAGGGGTGAAAGCCGATGGTGGTGTTAATGACGACATCGTGCTGCGCCGCAGCGGCGACCGTAGCGTCAATATCGTCAATGTCTTTATATAAGATTGGCTTCACGCGGGAGCCGTAGGTGGATGTAAGCTTAGCAGCACGATCTTCGCCGCGCAGAAGTACAGAAATATTGGCGTTGCTAAAAGCCGGAGACTTCGAGTTGATGAAGTGATCTAGGATAGTACCGCCGATAAATCCGGTAGCCCCTGTAAGTAGAATCTGGGGAGTGGTAGAAGATGCCATGGTTACTGTGCAAGAGCTGTTGTGTATTCGAATATTAATTTAGTAGGCAGAGCGAAGGAAGTAATATGTAGATGAGTGACACGGTATCGAGAATCATAAACTTGAGAAAAGAATTAAGAATATATATATAATATGCCTACCTATATATATACATGTCTATTACCCCATTGTCCACTCGGACTCGGAGAGATTCTATAACGTGGAAGAATACTTCCACTATTATATCACCGATATTTGCGTACCTGCATAGCAGATGCAAGTACCGGTGATAACGGACCCGTTGCTGTTGTTTCAGTTGAAAGCAATGGCGGCAATTTACCCGCAGGACCTTGTATCCCCCACTATCATTCTCGCCATCTTTGGTTATTATAAGCGGCACATTATTCAACTATTTCTTTGGAAAACCGTAAAACGACCTTAAGCAGCGGAGCGAATATTACAAAGCAACCTCAGCTCGGAGCCTTTTATAAAAGCGGAGTAAATTTGCACCGAGTTTAATTTAAGCCTTATAAAAAATACTTAACAGTCTTATATAAAAGAACTATAAAGAAATATATGGAAAAATAATTAGTTTATAAATGAAACAACTTTTTAATAAGTTTTTTAATTAATGTGCTTTTTTTCTTTCTTTCTTTTTTTTTACTTTAAATCTTAAAATTAACCCGTGATTATATCATTAACTTTTAAAAAGTATTTAAGCCTTTAATATTTACCGTTAAATAATTATTTATATATTTCTTTATATTTAATTTTTTAAAATATCGTTAAAACTTTATGTAATTTTATAAAAAACTATATTTTTAATTCGTTATATATACGGGATAATTAAACTTTATAAGTTTTTTTTATTTAAAATTTATAATGCGAACTTTTAATTTAAAAGCTTTTTAACCGGTTTATTTTATTAAATATATAATTATACGAATTTCGCACTTTTTTTCGTCGGATAAATAAACCGTTCGTATAAATTCATTTATAAAATGATAAAAATAACTTTTATTTAAATTAAACGGCGATTAAATATTAAAGAGTTTAAAAAGAAATAAAAGTTAAAACCCGTTTTTTCCCGCTTTAATATAATGTCCGCCATAAATAATAACTCGTTGTTTTTTCTTTAATGTTTTAATTTATAAAACTTATATAAGTTAAAAGGTTAATTATATGTAAATAAGATTTACTTTTACTTTTTAATTAAATTAAAAGTAAAGTTATTTCCGTTTTTTTTAACATTACGGTATATTTAAATCCATTTATACACTTGTAATTCTTTTTATTACTTATAAAATCGGATATATTTAATTCATTTAAATTCATTATATACATGATTTTTATAATAAGTATAAGTTTAATAAAATCATATAACATTAAATTGTTTTATATATATGTTTTTATCGCGTAATTAACCGGTAAATCGTAAAAGTTAATGTAAATTTTATTATATCATTTAATTACTTTTAACCGTTATAATTTAATAATATTTATAAATTTTATATATTATATCTTTTAATATTAAAATGTTTTAATTTAAAGAATAAATTTTAACCGTTATTTAAAAATATTTTAAGATTTTTAATATCGATTTAAACTTAATATAATTATCTTTTTAAAAAAATGTTAATTTATACATTATACATGTTTTAATTAAAATTTAATATAAAATACATTATTATAATAATATTAATATAACGTTTATATTATAAACCTTTTATTAATTAATTTTAAAACGATTTAATAACCGTTATTATTATAAATAATATTAATTATAAATTATTATAATAAACTTTTTATATAAATTATTTTATAAAATAAATATATATTATTTATTATTAAAAATATTAATAAAATAATATAATTACATTTTATTTTATTAATTTTATAAAAAGTTTAATTTTATTAATAATTATAATAAATATATTAAATTATTTTTATAAAATTAAAATTATATAATTAAATTAAATTAATTAATATTTTTTTTATTAAAATATAACCATATTTTAAAAAATTATTATAAAAATAATTTATAAATAAAAAAAATAATTTATAAATAATGGTATATAATTTATAAATAATAAAAAATAATTTATAAATAATAATATTATATATTATATTTTTTAATTATTAAAATATATTAAATAATAATTATTTATATTATTTTAATTATTATTAAATAATAAATTTATTAATATAAAATCTTTAAAAAAATATTATAATTTAAATAAATTATTATTAAATAATAAAAAATTAATTTATAAATAATAAAAAATAATTTATAAATAATAAAAAATAATTTATAAATAATTTTAAATTAATAAAATAATTAAATTAATAATAATTTTTATTGCCTTTTTTATTTTTTATTAATAATTATAAAATAAAACCATTTTAAACGTTTTAATAAATGTAATTTTATACGAAAAAACGTAAATACTTTTTTTATAATAATATAATTAATTATTAAAAATATTATCGGGGATATTATTAATAAAATTATTACCGAGGTTATTAATAAAATTATTATTAAAGTTATTAATAAAGTTTAATTTTATTTAATTTAATAACTTTTAATATATTAATTTATATATTAACATATATTTTAAATAATTTTTTTTTATATATTTTTTTAATAAAACTTATTTTACTTTTAAAATAACGTAAAATTTTTTTTACATTTATTAACTTTTATAATAATTTTAATAAATATTTATTTAATAATTTATTTTAATATTATAGTTATTTTTATAACCGGTTTATTTTTTATTATAATTATTAAAAAATTTAAAATAATTAAATTAAACGTATTTTTAAAAAAATTCTTTTTTATATATTAAAAAAAATTAACATTATTAAAAAATAATAAAATTATTTTTAAATTATTTTTTATAATATTAATTTTTTTATAAATATTATAATAATAAAAAAAATTTATATACGTTTTTATTTTTATATTTTTATATTAATATTCGTTAATTTTTTTAAAATGTAATTAAAAAAAGATTTTTATTAATTAATTAATTACAAAAAATTTATTATTAATAAATTTTAACGTTTTTTTTATAATTTAATTAAATAAATTATTAAAATAACGTTTTTTTAACCATTATTTTTTAATTTTTAAAACGTCGTTAAATAATTATAATTAATAATCTTTATTTTAAAATTTAAATAATTTTTTAAAACTTATTTAAAACTTTAATAAATTAACGTTTTTATTTAATACATAACTTTTAAATACTTTATAATTAATTTTTATTAATAAAATTATTTTAATATTATAATAATAATTTAAATTAATATAATATATTATTTATTACTTTTATATTAATATATATATACGTAATAAATATTTAATTATAATTAATTATTAATCATTAAATATAATAATTATATAATTTTAAATTATATTAAATAACCATTTACTTTTATTATATATTATTATATTTTATAATTAATAAAAGTCTTTTTTAATGGTAAGTATTTTTTTTATATTTAATTTATCATATGGTATAATAAAATTAATTTATATATAATTTTAATTAATTAAATTATTAAACCTTTTTAATTTATAATAATTATTTTAAAATATGTCGGCCTTTTTAATAACTTTTTTTTTATTATTAAAATTAAAGTTATTTTTATCTTTTTTTTATTTATATAAAATGTTTATTATAACGTTTTTATTTATATAAAAAATATAAAATTATTATTTTACTTTAAAATATATTACTTTAATAACTTTTTTAAGTTTATTATTAAAATTAATAATAATAATTTAAAGTTTAAAAATAATCTTAATTTATAATATATATAAATAATTTAAAATTTAATAATAATTATCTTTTTTTTTATTTAAAATAAACGTAAATACTTTATTAAAAATTAAACTTATTTTCGTTTAATTTATATAATTAAAAAACGGCATTTTAAATTAATTAATTTTATAAATATTATTTATATTAAAAACTTAAAGATATAATTTTTATATTTTTATATAATAAAACATTATTTAAAAGAAAATTATTAATTAATTAATAAATTTATTATTATTTTTTTAACGTAACTTAAAATAAAAAACGTTTTATTTAAAATAATATATAAAAGTTTATATTATTATAAAACCTTTTTACATATAACGTTTAACCTTTTAATAAATATTATTAATATCTTTTAAAAACAATTTATTTTTTCCTTTTATAATCTTATAAATTAAAGTTTATAAAATTAATAATTATAAAAAATTATTTTATATAAAATCTTTAATTAATTATAAAAAATTCTTATAAAAATAACAATATTTTATATAAAATTTAATTATTTATAATAAATTATAATTATATTATAAAAACTTTTTATCTTTATTTAAATATATTTTAAAAAACCATTATTAATTAATTATTTTAATATAAATTAATTTAACTTTTTAAAAATAATTTATAATTTTTTTTATATAATTAAAATATATTTTAATATTTTATAAAACCTTTTTAATGTTTTAATTATAAATAAAATCGATTTTAATTAAAAAATTATTACCGTTTTTATTTTTACGTTTATTAAATAAATTATTATATATAAAATTAAAGTAATATTTTTTTTAAATATACTCGTAACGCATTTTCGAAAACTTTAATAATAATAAATAAACTTTAATATTTATTAAATAAGTTTAAAATTTAATTTTAAAATAATTCATTATTATTTAAAGCAACACTAGTCGTGTAATATGCCCATTACTACCCGTGCAGTAAAACGGGGTACGTACCTCGCTTTTTTCCCACCCTTTTTACATTTACCTTAATAACTTTACGAATCCTGGTCCGAATTATATATAAATTATACCAAATTTTAAATAAGAAAATCAGCAAAATTACGGTCCAGGGTGCACGTGATTCGGCCCGGAATTGGCTGAGATATCAAAAGAGTAAGCATTTGTGTATACAAAGTGACTTTTTTACATGTACCTACTAGTTTATTTTAGCTTATTATATAGAAACAGCCGTATCTTTACGAAATAAATCGGTAAAAATCTGGGATTTGTTTTATAATTTTAGCCGTTTAGTTATCTAAATATTAAAACTTTTCCGGAATTTATCGGGGCTATATTCGTAAAGTTATTAAGGTTGAAAAGTCTGGGGATTATAGGGGATAAAGACCGCTAAAAGTAGCCACTATAGTCAAAATTCATACTTTTGGCCGCATCGGGGTCAATATTGCTCCGAATCACGTGCGGCCGGGTTCATATTTTTGCTAATTTTTTTATATAATTAATGATGCTTTTTTCAAGCGATTTGGACAAGAATTCGTAAAGTTATTTAAAAAGGGATGCGGGAAGCGATTTAAGGCTACCCGGTACGTAACCCCGCATACTACACGGGTAGCAATGGGCATACTGCACGACTAATGTTGCTCATTATTTAATAGTTTAAAAAAGCTTTAAATACTTTTAAATTAATTAATTAAAATTATTATAATTATATTAAAATATTATAATACATTATTTTATTAATATAAATGATATTAACTTATAAAAGTTATAAAAATTATAAGATTTTTATAATAATAATAAAATAAAATAAAATTATATTATTTTATTAATATTTTTAATAATAAATGGCATATATTTATTTTATAAAGTAATTTATATAAAAGAAATATTTTATAATTTATAATTAATATCATTTATTATTATAATTACTTATTTAATATTTTATACGAACCGAAACAGTATTAATAACCGTGGTTTACAAGTTTTATTAAAAAACTTAAGTTTTATTAAATATTAAAAGGTCGCTACAACGTACTTATAGTGTTAAATCATCCATCTCGGTATTAATATCTTATATGTACTTAGGTAATATAATAGGAGCAACCAGTTAAAAGGATAGGTCTTAGCTGACCCTTAAGAGAGTATATATAAGCTTATTTCGTTAGCCTTATACCTTTATTAACACGCAGTCAACTTCCTATGTGATAACCATATCGCATTCCTTTTAATCAGGGCACTTAGCTATTATATTAGCCAACATTTGACATATTAAATTATTTCTCTATCCTATAATGGTAGTAATATAGCACCTTGATCTTATCCTACCCGACGTGCGCCCTTCTATTCTCTTTTCCCCGGCCACTGACCTTTTTCGAACATAAGAATCCGAAAGTTCAAGCCCATCTCTAATAGCCTTATATGCTCTTCCCTTTAGTACGCTTATCGGTTAATTCGATGAACAAAAGATTGCACTACTTGGGATTTTCTGCAGAGTTGACGTGTCCGCATACCCCTTTGAACTATTATATAAATCCTGGCATATTTCCTAACATTAGCAGAGAAAAGACTTGAACATACCCGTCGCTCATCGACTCGAATAAATACCTCGATGGCCCTGGGTGGTAAGTCCTTGGGTCTCGTCCGTGCCGCAAATTCTGCTATCAAAGAGTTCAGGGGCTGGACTTTCTGCTGATCAAGTCATCTGACTTCACCTCATAAATCCGTTCTAGACCTTTCCATGACCTGAGGAAATCCGTTCCACCCTTTCAACCCAACATATCACAACACATATTCAACGGTTTTCCAAGTCCAAATATCTTTTCGCATATGTACAAACTACACGGGAGAAGTGGAGCTTTCACCCCTGTTAAAATATGAAGTCGCTGGCATACCTAAGTAAGACTTTTCCCGTACGACATTCGTATGGTAAAGCCTTCCGAGCCTCCCGTTCCTCCCGTTCTCCTCTTGTTAAATCTAGCGGTGACAACAAATCCATGACAACTATATGTCGTATTAAGGGGTTCCAGAATTCAGGTACGGAATACGCTCCAGTAGATCGAGTGGTTTGTTGTCTTTATATATGTAGGTACATACCATGTAGTAGTCTCGGCAATATTGATAGGTAGGGATGGAACGTCGGATGTCGGCCTATCTGTCTTCTGATTTCGTGGGCCTTTACAAGCTGCAGCACTCTCGGATTCGCTGGGTTCTCTTTGGTAAGATGTTCTCCAAAGGGGCTCAAGAGTCGTGCGACTTTCCCTAGGTATCTTGGGTACACTACCAAGAACAATAATCTCTGATATTTTTAACAAAAACTCAATTTAACTCCCAGTTCGGTTATATTCTAGATACCTAAACCATCTGCAAACCGACGTTACATTTCGTAGAATAAACCAAATTAAAGCTTAGCGCCGGCAGAGTGTCAAGCAGTAGCGTCTACACTAAGCCCCAGCTTCCGTATCCTCTGCCTCACGCCAAGATGTCTTTGCATAATAGATCTTTCAGCTGTATCGAAGGGATAAGCGGTGAGGCTGCAGCTGTGGTTACTCGAGTAATTGATTGGTTGGTCGTGTTCAGATGATGGAGAGACTTTCCCGTACTCGATGAGCTCTATCGAGATGGTAGCCTATGCTAGATGCTTACCCGGGACTACCGAGACACCTTGAACAAAGACCCTGATAGAATAATATCATCATCATCACCACCACCACCATTCGTATTATCACCAATACCATTTTAATATTATCGTCTTAGGTAATTTTATAGCTACTTATTCAAAATAAAACAAAGAAGCACCTTTCCCCTCTCCTCGCAACATAATACCTACTTCGTAGAATTTCATACCAGCCAGCAAGGCCCATATGAGGCGAATTCGGCATATCAGCCGGAACCGGCTCGGGCCTCTTTTTTGCGGGGACGGGACCCCAGACGCAAACCCGGTTATTGATTGGATCTAAGATCACGACCCCGACCTCGTGTCAAGGTTATACGAGAATTGGCATTCGTATCGCGATGGAGCAGCAGCCCTCTGACGACGGCCATGACAGCGACAAACGTATGTATGCGAGAGCATTACCCGACCATTTAGGCGTTACGTCGTAGAAGCGTAGGTAGGTAGGTATATAAGCCGGCTCTTCGTTCGCTGATCTGCAGTATTCATTCTTGTCTCCTCACCAGCGCCTTGTCTTGATAATATCTAATCTCCAAGAACAATACAATATCCAGATCTTAATCAGTAATTTTTACTTTACTCCAACCCGCCAAAATGAAGTTCTCCGCTACCATCATGGGCGCTGCCCTCGTCGCCTCCGGCGTCTCTGCCCAGAAGGCCATCGTCAAGAACAACTGCCCTTCGACCGTCTACGTCCAGTCCTACCCCTTCGACGGCAGCGCCGCTGGCACCCTGACTGCCCTTAAGACCGGAGAGTCTTTCTCAGAGGACTTCCGTCCTTCTGGTTCGGTTAGTATCTCGCCCAATCTTCACCCCTTTAGAATAGAACAAACTAACACACTATGATACAGACCGTTAAAATCGCCACCACCAAGGCCCTCTCCAGCCCTCTGTTCTTCGGGTACTCTTTCAGTACCAACCCCGACTACGCATACTGTAAGTACCTACACACCCCTATCATCACTTGAGATTAGTCTGAAACACCCGCTAACATATCCTTCAGATGAACTCAGCACGTAAGTTTTCTCCCACCATCCAATGGCCCTCATCAGCCATGTAACTAACAAACATCTAGTGAATGGGGCAACCCCTTCGCCAACTCGCACAACATCCTCACCCCCGGCGAGGGCTGCGAGATCTTCGACTGTGCCGCTGGCCAGGCCGACTGCTACAGCACGCCCGCCCACAAGAAGGTGTACGGCTGCCCGCAGCCCGTGGATTTGGAGGCCGATCTCTGCGCTTAAGTTGGTTAGATAGCGTCTGACGAGCTGAGACCATCTCGGTTGTTGTCCCTCGAACCGGATAAATAAGCGAAGGCCCCCTTGTCTCTTCTCATCTTTCCCTCTTACGTAGAGGGCCCCTCAAAATTAATGCCTAACTAGCTGTTGTGCTTCTTTCAGTCAAGGCATCTTTGGAGTACATAAAAGTTTTCTTGTTAGCTTTTTCTGGAATTTCAGGGTACAATATTTGAATAAAATCTTGATAATATCATCTCAACTTCTCGCGGGTCCTTTAGTGATTTGATTATTGATACTCTCTGGAAACCTCTGTTAGATGTGTATCTTCAGAAAGGTAATACTGAAGGTACTGTTTGTCTGTCACAGATAATGGATCTGATACCTTATACTACGGGAAGCTCAGCCGTCGTTGCGGATAGTTTCGTAAGACCCGAGCCTATTATATGTCAATATGAAGTATCTTCGAGCGAAGTAGTTAAAATGTTACACGGCGTAACTGTCGTGCTTGAGGTTTTATGCATGTCACGTAGTACCTAGAATTAGTGAAGCTGTGGGAGATGCCTGTTGACTTTATTGATATCGAAGGTTTAAGTCAGTACTTGGTGCCGGACGAAGTTATGACGAGCATGTTTAAAAAGTTATCTTTAATTAGACCTGCCAGCAGTATGGTAGTATCATAATAATCACCGCCCAATGAAGATATACAAACTTCCTTAAATATCTCAGTTGAATTTTTCCTAATACCTATACTATGTATGAGCCGAGATCTCGGTCTATCCGGTACCAAGCTATTAGGCCACCGTGCTTCGTTCCGGAATGCATGAGAACCACGTTCATATGCTGTACCATTTTGTAGCCCTCCTCGCTTCCACCTCAAAAATACAAGCAGGAAAATGCCCCGCTCCCATGATGTTCGTGAGCCGTCTTCAGATGCATACCAATTCCTTAGTCTTGATCCCCCCTATTGATACCAGTCGGCGTGCTCTAGTTTATATCAAATAGGGGCTTAAGCTTGATGATGAGTTGCCACTCCTCATTTGACACTTCCTTGCGGTAGAATTCCTTGAGAGTGTCGATACTGGCTCGAGATATCAAACTGTAAAGGACATCCTTCTCTTCGAGCTGTCGGCCATACGTGGGCTGATGGCCACCCATTTCGATCTTGACAGCCACAGAAGGTTGACCCTTCTTACAGACCGGGATCTGTTTGTGATCTCTCTCGATTGAAGTCCTATGAGGTTGTTAGCTAAGAAAAAAAGAAATAGCTATATTTTAGTGTCACTTACACTCTGCCTAGACTGATTATCTCCTTGGCACCAGTTACCGGATTTTGCTTCACGGTAGCAATTGGAGTGTTGACCTTGAGGTTACCATCTACCACGTCAACACCAACAACGATGGGGCTCGTCTTATTGAAGACGGCGACGGTGTTGAGGACGCAGGGGAAGACTGCTAGCATCTTAGATTCCTCCTTCTTCTTCTCAAGCTGCTCGTCCATGTGTTTTGTGAAAGCATCGAAGAGATGGTAGATAATATCAGCGGTAAATATCTTAATGCCATTTTCCTCTGCATATGCCTGTGCTTCCTTGTCAATCTTTACATCGAAGCAAAGCATAACGGCGTAATCCGGACTCTTCTCGAGCATAGTCGCGCATTGAACAACGTCTCGCTTGAACACAGGACCGATTCCAACGTTTGCTACAGGAATCTTGCAGTCTTTTAAGAAGTCGAGCAAAGCTTCAAGAGAACCTAGTGTTGAGGCTTGCACGCTCACACCGCGACCTGTCGTGGCGACACGGCTGAACAGCTTGTTAAGATCCGACTCGACTTCCTCTTCAAGATCTTCCTCGTCGTCGTCAGGACCAACTACGAGCAGTCGCGAACCCGCAATAGCACCCTCAAGACCTGGTGCGCTGATCTTTACACCCATGGCTGCCTTAACTTCCTTATTGTGCACGTATTGAGACTTGACACGCAGTTCCTTCATAACAGCCGGTGTCAACAGCGCACGAATGTTGGTAGTGATAGCACCCTCTACACCACACACGACTATCCGATCACCTTCTCGAAGGATACCGTTGGACAGGATAACATCAATAGTCATGCCAAATCCTTCAATGGCCTTGACTTCGAGAACGGTAGCCTGGACTTCGGATAGATACATTAGGGATCCCACCATCCTCTCTTGGGTTAACTGGATGATCAACTTCAACATGTCGGGAATACCCTCGCCAGTGTGTGCCGAGGTTGGTACCAGCGATACGTATCGGGCCATCGACTTGTTCTCGTAGTAGAGTTCGGCGTTGAAACCCTGCTCGGAAAATGCAAGTTTTGTCTGCTCCAATCGATTCTTGAACTCGTTTTGGACGCCCTTGTTCTGAAGTGCCAAACTTTCTTGGAAGCCGTTGTTGTCGACCTTCTTCCAGCCGTAGAGACGATCGATTTTGTTGAGCGCAACAATGAAAGGCGTCTTTCGATCCCTGAGTAGTTTCATGGATTCGAGCGTCTGAGGTTCGAGGCCGTGCATGATATCAACAACCAAGATGGCGATGTTACAGAGCGAAGATCCTCTGGATCGGAGATTAGAGAAAGACTCGTGACCAGGCGTATCAATAATCAATAGACCAGGGACCTTAAATTCAAATTTCCCATCCGGGTTGACGACGGCCGTCTTCTGCTTGATAGCGTCGACGGGGAAATATGTCGCACCAATCTGTTGTGTAATACCACCAGCTTCGCCTTCCTGGACATTGGTCTGTCTGATCTTGTCCAGCAACTTCGTCTTTCCTGTATCGACATGTCCTAGAATACAGCAAATAGGAGAACGGAGGTTATCCTTTGATCTAGCAGCTAAGGCGGCTTGATGGGCCTTCTCTCGTCGTTCGGCGGCTTCCTTCTTCCGTTGAGCTTCTGCAGCCTGTGCTGCTGTCTGGACTTCGTCCTCAGATGATTCATCCGAGGATTCAGAATCTTCTGATACAGGTTTGGGTCGGGAAGGTATCGCCTTTCTTTGCTCGGTTTGTGCTGGTTTATTATTTTCCCCATCGGATTCAGCATCCCAGCTGTCCTTTACACCCTCATCAACGGCAGCGGCGGCAGTCTCCCAATCTTCCTCAACATCCTCTTCTTCGGCTGCCTTTTCTTTAGCAGCTTTGGCAGCCGCTTTAGCAGCATGCCTGGCTGCTTTTTCTTCGGCTGCCTTTGCTGCAGCTTCGGCCTGCAGCCTCGCGCGCTCAGCAGCTTCAGCTAAGGCTTTCTCTTCATCGACCTAGTAGAATGTGGGTTAGGAATTATCGAGGAGTGGTAGATAGGGAAAGAATGCGGTAGCGTGAATAAATACCTTTTGTTCGCTCTTCTTCCCACGCTTCTTATTATCATAGACAACCTTCTTCTTTTTCTCCTCGCCGTCTTCAGAAGGGCCGACTTTAATACCAGCAGCAATCATCTGCTGGAGTTTTCTCTCGTTTCGGGCCTTCTCTTCTTTTTGTGCTTTGGTAAGGAACTTGCCTTCCTTTTTTAGCTGTTCGATTCTCTCCTTTTCTTTCTGCTTTTTGCGAGCTTTCTCCTCTTCCCTCCGCTTAGTTGCTTCGGCTTCTTCCCGCTCGAGTGCCTCTAATCTAGCTTTCTCTTCGATGGCAAGGCGCTCGGCCTCTTCTCGCTGCCGTCGTAGTTCCTCCTGTTGTTTCTGGAGAGCCAACAAATGCGGAGGAAGCTTCTTTCCCTTCTTCCCCCCAGCGTCGGCTGCTGGTACAGGCTCAGGGATATCCTTCTTCTCTTCTACCACGGGCTTCGCAGGCTCGGCAGCTTTAGGGGCTGGCGCGGGTGTGCTCTTCTTCTTCGCGGCCTAGGGAATTTGAGTTAGACTATGAAGTGAAATCATATACCCTCGAAGCTTTACTCACCTGTTCCCTTTTTCTTTGCTTTTCTCGCTCCTTCTTCAACTTCTCCTTCTCGGCCTTAGTTAACATTCTTCCACCCTCTCCCACCTCATCATCATCAGCACCCGCTGCTGCGGATTTCGCTGCCTGCTGCTTGTTCTGTTTCCCACCCTTGCCCTTCTTTTCCGGCAATGCGAACTCATCCTCCATATTCGCTTCTTCGGGGGCTTTAGCAGCCACATCAGGTACGGGCTCGGCAGTAGAAGCATTACCGCCGTCGACGAAATCCTCCGACAGGCCCTTCTTCTTTCTTTTTTCTCTGTTCTTCTTCATCATCGCCATAAGGCCACCTGCCGGTGCATCATCTTCTTCATTATTGTCCTCGGGCGCTGCAGCGGCAGAAGTTGTGCCGTCTCCATTCGCAGGCGCTATCGACTCGCCTAATTCTGCCTCCCAGTCGTCAGCCGCCTTCTTATTTCCCTTCTTCTTAGGCGGCATGTTCGCGGTCGGATGAATTGAGGAGAGATAGAATTAATATAAATATTGAGCAGAAAATGTATCTGATACGTTCAGACACTACTCAAGCCTCTTTTCGATTAACGAAGTCGTACGTGAGGACGTGAAGACTTGAGGATATGAGGATGTGTGCGCCTCAATATGACTGGGGTTGATTAAAGATGGTGGGGTCGCTGCTGCAAAACAGCGAGGGGTGATTTTTAAGTCCGCGGGACCTTAAGGAATAAAAGCGTCAAGCTAGCAGAATTAGTGGGAAGAATGCAATCCTTAGCGGCAAATATGAATCCGCTATACCGTTTCACGATATACGTAAAATCAGATGAGAGCAAATCTTTATTTTCCTACAACGTGCAACGTGGTTTCCTATCGGCGAAGAACGTAAGATGTAGGAAGGGTTAGGGCCGTTATTGCCTTCTTTATAGTGGGGTAATCAATTAACTAGGCAGATAGAGGTAATGATGACGCTGGTCGGTCGTTCCTGGGTGAACCCAAATATTTCTGTGAATTAAGCCTGCTGGCTTGGCATAATATTGCAATATTGACATACAAAAAATTTAGCGAGTCTTGGTAGCTTATCGATAAGAACCGATTAGATACAACAAATAGGAGAGTATCCGTATGATTTCATCTTTCTACCCCTTTTCTCCCAGCCCTCTACTATTTGAAGAGACTATCTAGGTACCTAAGGTACCTACACATATCAAACAACAAACAGGCATCCTTCTACATATGTACCTATAAAGCCTGCCAAGTTCAGATGACATAACTTTAATATGCTCCTGATATAAGTGACTTACGATGAACCCCAGGCTCTCAACAGGGCACGCGCATATAGTATAACACCGCCAATATTATACTC